AATTATATTACACTGGCAGGAATAGGTATAACAGCGAAAACAGCTTCATGTATTTTTTTCAGACTGTTGATCAACAGAAAACTTACAATATAAATTAGGTTGTTAGCAACTCATAATACAAGGGATTTATGCTTCTAGAAGGTTGATAAAATTTTCGCTTTGTATCGGAAATAATTGAAATGGTTTAGAACCTTTTTTGAACTTGCCATGTATTAGATATTGCCCAGTTGTGGACTCCCCTTTCCCCAGGAGTACTGTACATGGAAGCAGAACTTGCCATATATTAGACATTGCCCTGTTATGAACTTCCTCCCCCATCCCCTGGAGTACCCTACACAGTAGCAGGCATTGACCTTCCTTCCACTCAATGCCCAGGACAGTGGTATACCAAGTACTGTAGGGAGAGTGAACAGCACCCTGCCATTATCACCCTAACAACATGGGTCATGTTACCTTTGACATCTGGTGTCAGGTTAACCCATCAAAATACCACACCAGGAGATTGATGTATAACATTTCTTGCTTACGTCTAATAATACCAACCACCTAAATGTTTTCACAGTATATTCATGAATCAGATAAAAAATGAAAATGTTAGACTAAGAAAATATGATGTGAATGTTTGCTGTTTGAATTCTACCCTTTATTTGTACTGTTCAACTCTTGTGAATACTTTATAGTAGATACTTATTACTGACTTTTTGATCAGTGTGAAAAAAAGAAAAACAAGTCTGAAAGACTTACAATTATCTAATAAGGGGCTATAAATGATTTGGATCTTACTTATGATGTCATTTGTTTATAGGTTTTGGGACATGAATTGATGTTTCTATATGTCATACCATTGTATATTAGACTTGCCTTTAAAATCTGAATTGAGGAAGTCAATTTTGTTTACTAGTCTCAATTTTAGGCATGAATTGATGGTTCTAGTTCTAAAGTCATTCTTTTGTTTATTTGTTTATTAGAATCAATGTTGGGATGTTATTAAGCCATACTCTTGTTTACTTGACTTTATTTTAGGGTCTAGATTTGTTTCTAGTTTTGTCAAACTCTTGTTTACTGTATGCGGTTTTAGGGCCTGTGTTGATGACTGTACTATAATGATGTCATATACTTGTTGACGATACTCAGTTTTAAGGTCTGAGTTGATTTTAGATATGATGTCACACTCTTGTTTACAAGACACCATTTTAGGACCTGAATTGATGATTCTAGTAAAGGTGTCATGCCCTTGAACTATATATAGACACTTCATAGATCTTCAAGTTTCAGATTGTTGGTAGTAGATTTACTGAGTTATGAGGTCGCTGGTGAGTGATCTCATTTATCATCAGAATTGTGTTATTTATAGAGAAAATGAAACATTTCACATACTTTGATTGAAAAGAAAGCAGTATGTAACACATTATGATTAAAAACAATGTACATTCTTACCATGTGTATCTGGGTACACAAAAATTAATATCCTGGTTCAGAGTGGACCTTAAGTAATTTTATCGGACCTATAAAGCTAGTGCACTACAGTTTGTAAACAGGTGCATATTGTTCTTTTAAAAATATTGTAGCCAGAAATTATTAAAATGTAAGGTATCAAGGACAAGATCATTTTAAGCTGCTTTATGTCAGTACATTGCTGGTCAATGCCAAAATCTATGTATACATATCAATTAATTTTTGATTTACAGAAAGTATTGATTAAATCAAAAGTACTATACAGGTATTTATGTTCTTGTTATTGCATGACAGCATTAAACACAGTCTGGAAATGCCAAGGATTAATTTTATTGTTCTCTCTGCACCAAACTATATTATTGATAGCTTCAACATGATAGAGCTATCTCAATAGAATTCCAAGTTTATTGATATACCAGATATATATATATATACACAGATGTGTGAGCAGATAAGTGAATGGTAGATGTAAATGTGTTAGGGAGTAAATTTAGTAGCTGTGGGTGTGAATATCTGAGTAAGTATATATAGTAACTTTGGATTTAAATATGTGTTGGGAAATGTAGTAACTGTGATTGTAAATGTGTGAGTGGGTAAGTGTAATAAAGTGTGGTAGGTGTAAATACACAAGTGGGTAAGTAACCCTAACAACATAAGTCATGTTACTTTTGACATCTGGTGTCAGGTTAACCAATTAAAATACCACACCAATAGATTGGTGTATTACACTTTTTACTTATATTTTATAATACCAACCACCTAAATGTTTTCACAGCATATTCATGAATCAGATAAAAAATGAAAATGTTAGACTAAGGTAATATGATGTGAATGTTTGCTGTTTGAATTCTACCCTTTATTTGTACTGTTCAGCTCTTGTGAATACTTTATAAAGATACTTATTAAGTGTGGGTATGTGTAGTAAGTGTTGTTGTAAATGTAGAAGTGGATAACTGTAATAACTGGGGGTTCAGGGTATGTAGTTGGTGGAGTTTTCTTTTTGAGGATGACAACATGATTAGTCATCAGTTATAACAGACGTTACAGTCCACCCACCTGTAGTGGAATGCTAAGTTTTATCTGTTTACCTCACAAAGGTGATACTTTTCATCATAGCTGTGATTTGTCCCAGGTTTCAGGTGAAAAACTTGGATTTTGATGGTGAATATAATACAATATCTATACTATACTTTATCACCAGGTTGATACATGAACCATGTTGTTTATTTTTGTATATTTATCATGTTACTTACTTCTGTAAATTTCTTGTGAACAAATTAAATGAACATTTTTTTGAGATTTAAATACACCTACATATATAAATTATCATAAAATCTTAAGTTTATATGTGTAACACAGCATGATGAATAATATTATGAACAAAAGTTGTATAAGGATATAATACATTTTTATCATTGATACAATGCGATAAGAAATGTTAAAGATTACATGATACCTGTGTAATGGAGATCACATACAAACAGTTTCATAATACACTATTGGTGACTTGCATGTAATATATAACTACCTCCCATTAGTTTGGGACTTATGATATTGAATTTAGTTATAATAAAGGTGATCTTTTTTCACTTCAGTTTAAAGACTACTGAAATTTTGAAGAAAACAATGGTGTACGTACAGTTTCTTTCTGTGTGTATGTGTAGACTAGAGTAACCTCCTATATTAGCTTGGTCTGTTCCCTATTAAGATTGGTATTAAGATCCTTATGGTTTGTCAAGCTTGTATGTGTGTAGGCAGATGAATGGATGCTGGAGATAGTCTTGTGTTTGTTATCTTGGACTTTGAAAAGTGGTGCTCGGCTGTGAGGGTCCAAACCTCAAGCATGTCTCTCGTTCTGTACAGTACACAGTTAAGTGTAAGGTCATTACTTACCTCTTTGACTGTTTCTAGGACATGTTGTTTTCCTGTCTATTTGTGTTGCTGTATTTTAGACTTAACTTTGTTGTGGTTTAAAATAATTGATTTCACATGAGTTACAACTCTGAGCATGTTACATCATATTAACATCATATCAACTCATTCAAGTTTGAGGAAGTCTATATTTGAGAATCCTAGAATTTGTTGAAGTCAGCACCAGAGAATCACTCCAGTGTTGAGGCATATGTACTTTAAACTATGGAGAATTAGATCTGTTAATAGTGTGCTGAAGTATTTAATACACATCCATATATAACAATTCAGAAATTGTTAGAGTGGTTATATTCTAGTATAAAGCAAAACAACACTTGGATGAGAGGTATGTTTACTCCTTTAATAGTTTAATGTGTATGATAAATATACAAGCTGAAGTGCCTTGATCCCTTTAACCACTTCAGTGACTAATTCTGTTTGGGTATATGTACATACAGACTAGCTAATTGTATAACCACTCCTAAATACTGCATCTTTTGAATGTTTTATTGGAATTCTAGGATGTTTCAGGAGTTACTGTCTAGTTACAAACATGTCTCATGGTCACATGTAAGACACACTGGTCTTCTGTAGGAATTACTGTATAGTTACAAACATGTCTCATGGTCACATGTAAGACACACAGGTCTTCTGTAGGAGTTACTGTATAGTTACAAGCATGTCACATGGTCACATGTAAGACACACAGGTCTTTTGTAGGAGTTACTGTATAGTTACAAACATGTCTCATGGTCACATGTAAGACACACAGGTCTTCTGTAGGAGTTACTGTATAGTTACAAGCATGTCACATGGTCACATGTAAGACACACAGGTCTTCTGTAGGAGTTACTGTATAGTTACAAGCATGTCACATGGTCACATGTAAGACACACAGGTCTTCTGTAGGAGTTACTGTATAGTTACAAGCATGTCACATGGTCACATGTAAGACACACAGGTCTTCTGTAGGAGTTACTGTATTAGTTGCAAGCATGTCTCATGGTAACAGGTAAGATAGATTATATGCATAAAAGTTCAGGTTTGGTGTAGTTTTGACCTCCAGTAAAAACAACTAGCATTACAGGTACATATTTATACTAAAAGAAACTGAAAAGTTTCTGATAAGTCATAGATGACAGAACATACATAAGAATTGTATACTGTATGTAATTATAGCCTCTACCTGTAACTCTACTGTTACTATTAATGGAGGTCAATGTATACCAGATATAATTGTCATAAATAAGAAAAAAAACATGCTGACATGTTTACTAGTAATAGGTACTGTATATATACAGCTTCTTTTCTCATAACACAGTACTACTAGTGGTAGTTATCTATAAGCTCCATGTCTGAGGTGTGTTGCTCTAGGCCTTTAATGTGCATGTCTGAGGTGTGTTGCTCTAGGCCTTTAATGTGCATGTGTCAATATTTATGTAGCTGCTATATTGCTTGTTTATTTGGTACATATAGAAACAATAAAAATAACAAGCTTCTTTTCCAAAGCAGATGTGTAACTGTTGATTGGATTAAGATCTTTCTTGTCATCAGCCGACCTTGTAACTCCTGATCATGATCTGTTTTGTATCTTTACACAGGTATGTCAATGTAAGCTGGCCTTGAGGAGCACAGACTGTTGAATCATTGACCCAAGAGGACACTGAGAGTGACCTAATTACTTACCCAGCATTGATCTGTAGACATAATCCGCTGGTATAAGCCCCAATACACAGGGATTAACTCAGACAACTGAACCCGGGCAGGAAAAGCTGGGGTAGAATGATAAGTAGACATGCTGAACAACAACAAATAAATGTAACAATATGGAGGATATGTATGAATGGGTAAATCTGTTGAGGGTGTAAGCGAACACAGTAATCACGACAACCGGCCGCAGTCTGCACTGAGAGGACAGAATGACAGACATGTCTTTAACATAATATGGACATCTATCCTATCTATCGTCATGTATGGAAATGTATTTCTTTTCATAAATTAGATACGTTTATATCCAAATAGATTACAATGCCTGTGTTTAACAAATTGTTATCCTAACTGGTTTTAATCCCTACACATTTCTCTGTGTTTATATTGACTAAGATGGGTGCTGTGAACAGTTGTTGCATCCCTCACCACACAGGGAGTGACTGTGGTGAAAACCATACCAAGACACCAAAGGGTAAAGGTCACAGGCGCAATTTAAGTGCGACCTTCAACCTGAGCTTGGTAGAAGAAGATCCACTTCAAACTCTGATCAATATTAATTTCGCTACAGAGGAAGAGCTTATGACACTGCCTGGAATTAATAGGACAACATCACAGAGTATTATAGAGTATCGAAGGCAAATTGGAGGCTTTAAAAAAGTAGAAGATTTAGCTCTGGTGTCTGGAGTAGGTGCTACAAAATTAAATGTCATCAGGAATGAAATTTGTGTGTCAAAAAAATCAACAAATACAAGTGGAACAAGTTCATCACGTGGAAGTTCACTGAGCAGCAGTAAACAGGACCTGTCAGTAGCACATTTAAACAAGGAACAACCAAAAAAGGCAACAGGTGTTCTTACCCAAGTAAATATCAATTCTTCCAATGTTTTCCAATTAATGAAAATAAAAGGTGTTGGACAATCCTTAGCTGAGAATATTGTGGCTTACCGTGACAAAAAAGGTCCGTTTTCAACAGTCGAGGATCTAGTCAAGGTCAAGGGTATTGGCCCATCATTGTTAAGTGCAATAAGGTATCTAGTAACTGTTGAAGATAACTCCCTTCCTTCAGAGGAGCGGTATGAACCTGTGTCAGAATTAAATGGGGATTTGGCAAATAGAGTCTCTCCCCCTGAAACACGAGGTACAGGGTTAGACAATAGTCAACCACGGCTATTGACTGCTTCGGTAGAAAACATCTTGGATATTATAAAGCCAATTGTGAAAAATTCTAAAAGGCCAAATGTAACACCATTTTTATTCAAGAGAAAAAAGCGGCATGCTGTGCGATTAGCATCTTGGAATATTGAACGATTTTCATCAGAAAAAGCAGATAACATTGGTGTGAAAGAAGTTGTTTGTCTGACAATTTTGGAGAATGGGTAAGTATTAAAAACAACACATTGCATTAGATATAAAATTTCATTCAGAATTCCTGGACAAGTACATACAGATTTTGCTTTGATTGCAGTTGCATGTGTTTCTGGATTGCCATGTTTGTGTAGTAAGTCAACAGTTAGACATCAATAGCAAAATGTCAGTGTGTTAACATAGAGAGCTAAAAAGGTTTTGAACAAAATTAAAGACATAAGTTCTTAGTATGAGTTAAATGGTAGAAGATTTAGATTGCTGAAAAATTTGTTTTTAAAAATGGGGGAAAAATATATACCTGGGGTAAGTTCTGCTGAGATCAAACACCATTTAATAGAAAAAGAAACTTGAGAATGCAAGGGTTAAAAAAACAAAAACACATTAAATGTAGGAATTAATTTCAACAAATTTTCTATATAACTTAGGCTTGCATAGTCGTCCTCTCAGTTAACTCAGCTGGTATTTTGAAAAAGCAGATAACATTGGTTTTCCCTTATTTAGTATATAAAAACAGTTTTGTAAACAAAGTTCTTACCAGATAATGACCTAAATTCTAAACTGGAAGAAAATAATGAAGAGCAGCTTATACAAAATGGCATTATCTTGTTGTTAGGGTGTCATTGACAGAATATGCCATTTCTCTAATTTTTGCTAACACTGTTTTATTTTATGTTTTGTTTGTATTTTTTCTTTATTTGTTTTTACTTTAATAATATAATGAAAAGGAAATGTAATTGTTTCCTGTGGCAGAATAAATCTATTGTTTACTTATACTCTGCATTTGTGAAAAATATAGATATACTGTATATTGTCTTGTAAAAAATATTTATGACATTTAACGGGAAAACATTAAATTTCCTCTATATAATAATCATTACGTAATAAGGATACAGTTAAAGAAGGTTTTATTTCTGGTAACTTCTTCCTGGCTCTAACAGGTATGCAGCACATACTAGCTAAAATAACACTTTAATGTCCTGAAGTCTAGCCTTGCTAAGTTTGATCACGTGTTACACAATACACCCATGTTTATGTTGATAGTGTTTAATAGATAATCTATATTAGGTATATATATATTCCTCAGTTAATTGACTGACATGCCTTTCAGGATAACTATTGAACTCAGTAACACTTTACAAAAAAATTAATACCACATGTTAAGGACATGCACAATGGTAAACAGAAGTTTAAAGTAGACATCTTTGTCTGTTGATTCTATCCAACATGTCATCACATTGACTATGCTTTGTAGGTGGTACAGTAGTATGTTTACATCTAGCCTTCGGGTAGTACAAGGTTCAATATTAACCAAACATCCTCTGTAAAAGCTGGTGATGGAGTAACTGTATCAAAGAGGGTATGCTCACAAAGACTGGGCTATTACACTTCAAAATTTTAAACTAACCATAATTTGAGAGTGTCATTAGAGGCCAACAGAAATGTAATTGCCTGTGACCAAGGTTACAGAAGTGTTGTCGCTTGTGACAGAGGTTATAGAAGTGTAGTAGTTGCCTATGCTGGAGGTGACTGAAATGTTGTTGCCTGTGACAGAAATATGATTGCATGTGACTTAGATGAATAAGATATTGCCTGTGACAGATGTGACGGAAATTATATTGCCTGTGACAGACGTGACAGAAATGCTGTAAATAGTGGTTACAGCTGTGACAGAGTTAACATTAGAAGTTGTAAATGTTGTTTTCTGACACAGGCCTACATCAACACATATATTTATCAATTAAAACCTTGTACATGTTATCGGTTAGGTTTAACAGATGAACCAGAATCTGTATGGTGTTTGATACAGGTCATCACTGCTTGGTACAAGGTTCAGAATACAATACTAGTTATCACCTGATTCAGCATCTGTTATGTATACAAACATTATAACCCCAAACATGGATGTTGAATTTGCACTGTGCAATACCATTCTAATAGGCCATGGTCCTGTTTCCCATCTTAATAAACTGACTATACAGTGGTAAACTGTACAAATAATTTGAACCATTTGACCAGTTGGAATTAGGTTGAAATTATTTTCTTTTATGTTATGCGTTGCCAATAGGTGGCATGATGGTCTGAGATTTGCATATGCAAACTCATACGACAAGTTTACCTGTACATGCCATTCAGGCGACACAGGTAGCAGCAGACAGACGTTTCCCATCTTAATAAACTTGGGCTATATCATGGTAAATTGTTAATGCTTCTACATACTTCTTATTATGCATCTTTGCTAAACGTTTCACCTTAGATTGCCGTGAATAATAGCATGTGTATCAAACTTTTCCTTCCATGCTTCAGTGACTTAACATGCATCAGTTATTACAACATATTATATTGTTCTTATCTGGGTAATGTTTGAAAGTTATCATTGTTGAACTGGATAAACGGTTTTTCCTGTTTTAATCAATACTAGAATTTGATGAGTAATTTTCCTGTTTTTATCATTGTTGGAACTTTATGAATATTTTCCTGTCAACTCTTTTTTTTGTCCAATGACCTATTTTGAATTGGAGGGGTGTCTCAGTAACGGGCTGCAGGATTTTCTATCAATAACATGTAACAGGAAGGTTATAATATTCCTTACCAAGTCTACTAACAGATTGCATGGTCTGTATAATGCAAGAAATAGGGTGGGAAAAATGTGTTCAAATTAAGTGAGTGTATGTCCACATTCAACGTCACAGGGTTAATTGTAACCTATTTACTTTTAGACAAGAATTAAAAATAATATACTAAAGGGGGAAAGGACGGATTTTCCTTAGAAAAACTTACCAATATTTGAAAGGCCTTTTTAAGCATTCAAAGGGTATGAAGAAATGGGATACATTTTAAGCCAAGGGACCCTTTTTTAAGTCTGAAGTGTTGAATAGGTAATCTGAGTGACTTACCATCATAAAGCATTCATAGGGTATAAAGGGATTGGATGTATTTTGAGCCAAGTGACTTGGTGTTAAGTCTACAGTGTTGAATAGGTGATCTGAGTGATATAGTATCATTATTGTTATCCTAGATTTTACTGAGAGTTTTAGTGTAATAAAGCTTTGTCAGTGGACACATGCATGTGTAGAATATAAAACAAGAAAGAAAAACTGACATGTGAACAGAAGGTAAATTGTACCACAAACTGGCAAAATAAAAACAAAAGAAAGATTGGCACAGAGAAAAAGTACAAGGATAATAAGACCAGGTGATCTGTCTTCTCCTTCATACAACAATAGAAATGTAAATGTTGTCAATACTAATGTTAGTCATGTTCCCAACTTAGAACAAGGTAGAAAGTCATAACTGCCAGGCATACTTAACACTTAGATAGGCAATGCTTTTGTGAAGAATAGTACCCTTTAAGTGCTGGATGGTGACCTCACACATCTAATAAATCTCAGTGCTATGGTGTGATTGCCCAATAAATACGTACATCTATATATTATTAAAGCTGGTGTTAGACATGAAACAAATACTATTGATGGACAAATACCGGACTGTCCTACCTAGAGCACTGTCATAAATTTGCTGAAGATTGTGTATGGTTTAGTACACCTGTGTTCTGTTTGTTAAAAGTACAGGTGAGAATGTACATGTTTAGAGCTGGTGTCTCAGTCATCACAGCTAGGACATAAGTACTGATTTCAGGAAGAAGAAAGATTTTTTTTTATAATTTTGCCAAAAACTGATCAGTTTTGGTATCTTCCATGGCCATCTTGTGTAATTTCTGTAGCTTCCATATCCGTGAATCAAGTATGTAAGCTGGCAGTCTGAATACATGATAATTAGATCTGTTTGTCCAGCCGAAAAATCCCAGTGGGCCTATTGTTTGGATGAGGTCATTCCATTCAGTAATTAATATTCTGCTCTCTGATGTAGAAAATTATTCTTACTGCTGATGAAATGTCAGGTCTTATAGGTCTGAATTTCCTACAAGTTTTAACAGGCAACATATACCAAAAATATTCATGTTTCTTAGAAACCTCTTTGGCAGTATCTCTGTTAGAGCATCTGTTTGAAATTAGATGGTTCTTGGTATGTTTGGTTCTTTCTCTTGTCACTTTTTGAAAAGAACTAGAATTCTAACTTACTGGTTAGGAGACCTGCACACAATACAACAAAGAGTTCCACTATTTGGTTCATGTCTTCTAATACATAGATAGACATACTATACAAATGATTAGTGATTGTTTAGGATGGTATTGAGGGAAGGATACCTGCAGATCTTTTTTAGGTATAAATGGTTACTCTGTACAAGTAATCTGTATACAGCTATAATTCTTTGTCAATACTGTTGCAGGTATATACACTTAAAAACCTTCATTAGTCACAATTGAAATTGTTTTAAGTAAACACTTTAATCAATCACCTCTTGACCTTTGAACTTTAACTGTAGATATAAATAATGAATTGTCCTAATTTTATAATAGAATATTTAATCAGAAAATGTCGGCCTTATCATAATCAGCTGACCACTATTACAAATGTTTTAATTGGTACTATATATGTGATGTAGGTTATCTGAGGTAAAATGCTAAGGGACTCCAGGCCTAACACATGTCTGTAACCAGAGTAGTATTTCTCACTAAACAGTACTAGGTTTGATGGTCATGGGTGGACTATCACAGAACAGGTTTAATGGTCATGGGTGGACTATCACATATTTAGGTCTTTTTGTCGTATAGATATACCATACAAATAATGCAGTTTGCAAATATCATCTAAATGTGCTGATAATTAATGTTAATTATGTATAAGTACAGGAGTATATAATCATGTTGTACATGTATGATTTCTGTAGCATGTCATAGATTGTTCATTTTATGTATGACAGGATCCAGATTTTTGATATATGAATTATGTACAATTCTAATTTTGAGAGAAGCTTTTGGTCTGACATTTAACATGCACGTTGTACACATTAATTAAGAAACAACTTCAGACAGAGGATTTGGCGTCTGTATATTGATTCCACTGCATTTCTCCAGCCATTACTTTTTCAACCTCAATTTTGTTGGGTGATGTGATTGATTTGAGTCTGATAAATAATCACCATGGTAATCTAAGTCACCCTGGTATCCTGACTGTTTAGGGTTGTGATTCTGACTAAATAATCACCATGGTAATCTAAGTCACCCTGGTATCCTGACTGTTTAGGGTTGTGATTCTGACTAAATAATCACCATGGTAATCTAAGTCACCCTGGTATCCTGACTGTTTAGGGTTGTGATTCTGACTAAATAATCACCATGGTAATCTAAGTCACCCTGGTATCCTGACTGTTTAGGGTTGTGATTCTGACTAAATAATCACCATGGTAATATAAGTGACCTTAGTAACATGACTGTATCACCATGGTAATCTAAGTCACACTGGTCACATGACTGTATCACCATGGTAATCTGTCACACTGGTCACATGACTGTATCACCATGGTAATCTAAGTGACACTGGTATTCAGACTGTTGTGGGTTGTGAGTCTGTGAGTCTGTTTAAAAAAGATGAATTAGGTTTAGTTTTCATGTGATGGTTTTGCCACCAGAGGTATTTCATTATAGTTCTGGATTGTCTGTGTGTAATTTAGTATGATTATTTACTTAACCCAATGTACTATGGTTTACCTCAACACCAATGTGTTAGAATTGAGAGGAGTTTTATCCTCTGATATGAGACAGAGAATGTGTTGGGAGTTGAGAGGAGTTTTATCCTCTGATATGAGACAGAGAATGTGTTGGGAGTTGAGAGGAGTTTTATCCTTTGAGATGAGACAGAGAATGTGTTGGGAGTTGAGAGGAGTTTTATCCTTTGAGATGAGACAGAGAATGTGTTGGGAGTTGAGAGGAGTTTTATCCTTTGAGATGAGACAGAGAATGTGTTGGGAGTTGAGAGGAGTTTTATCCTTTGAGATGAGACAGAGAATGTGTTGGGAGTTGAGAGGAGTTTTATCCTTTGAGATGAGACAGAGGATGTGTTGGGAGTTGAGAGGAGTTTTATCCTTTGAGATGAGACAGAGGATGTGTTGGGAGTTGAGAGGAGTTTTATCCTTTGAGATGAGACAGAGGATGTGTTGGGAGTTGAGAGGAGTTTTATCCTCTGAGATGAGACAGAGGATGTGTTGGGAGTTGAGAGGAGTTTTATCCTCTAAGCTGAGACAGAGGATGTGTTGGAGTTGAGAGGTGTTTTATTCTCTAAGCTTAGACAGAGGATGTGTTGTGAGTTGAGAGGAGTTTTATCCTCTAAGCTGAGACAGAGGATGTGTTGGGAGTTGAGAGGAGTTTCGCCCTCTTATCTGAGACAGAGGATGTGTTGGAGTTGAGAGGAGTTTTATCCTCTAAGCTGAGATAGAGGATGTGTTGGGAGTTGAGAGGAGTTTCGCCCTCTTATCTGAGACAGAGGATGTGTTGGGAGTTGAGAGGAGTTTTATCCTCTGATATGAGACAGAGAATGTGTTGGGAGTTGAGAGGAGTTTTATCCTTTGAGATGAGACAGAGAATGTGTTGGGAGTTGAGAGGAGTTTTATCCTCTGAGATGAGACAGAGAATGTGTTGGGAGTTGAGAGGAGTTTTATCCTTTGAGATGAGACAGAGAATGTGTTGGGAGTTGAGAGGAGTTTTATCCTTTGAGATGAGACAGAGAATGTGTTGGGAGTTGAGAGGAGTTTTATCCTTTGTGATGAGACAGAGAATGTGTTGGGAGTTGAGAGGTGTTTTATCCTTTGAGATGAGACAGAGAATGTGTTGGGAGTTGTTGGGAGAGGAGTTTTATCCTTTGAGATGAGACAGAGAATGTGTTGGGAGTTGAGAGGAGTTTTATCCTTTGAGATGAGACAGAGAATGTGTTGGGAGTTGAGAGGAGTTTTATCCTTTGAGATGAGACAGAGAATGTGTTGGGAGTTGAGAGGAGTTTTATCCTTTGAGATGAGACAGAGAATGTGTTGGGAGTTGAGAGGAGTTTTATCCTCTGAGATGAGACAGAGGATGTGTTGGGAGTTGAGAGGAGTTTTATCCTCTAAGCTGAGACAGAGGATGTGTTGGAGTTGAGAGGTGTTTTATTCTCTAAGCTTAGACAGAGGATGTGTTGTGAGTTGAGAGGAGTTTTATCCTCTAAGCTGAGACAGAGGATGTGTTGGGAGTTGAGAGGAGTTTCGCCCTCTTATCTGAGACAGAGGATGTGTTGGAGTTGAGAGGAGTTTTATCCTCTAAGCTGAGATAGAGGATGTGTTGGGAGTTGAGAGGAGTTTCGCCCTCTTATCTGAGACAGAGGATGTGTTGGGAGTTGAGAGGAGTTTCGCCCTCTTATCTGAGACAGAGGATGTGTTGGGAGTTGAGAGGAGTTTTATCCTCTGATATGAGACAGAGAATGTGTTGGGAGTTGAGAGGAGTTTTATCCTTTGAGATGAGACAGAGAATGTGTTGGGAGTTGAGAGGAGTTTTATCCTCTGAGATGAGACAGAGAATGTGTTGGGAGTTGAGAGGAGTTTTATCCTTTGAGATGAGACAGAGAATGTGTTGGGAGTTGAGAGGAGTTTTATCCTTTGAGATGAGACAGAGAATGTGTTGGGAGTTGAGAGGAGTTTTATCCTTTGTGATGAGACAGAGAATGTGTTGGGAGTTGAGAGGTGTTTTATCCTTTGAGATGAGACAGAGAATGTGTTGGGAGTTGAGAGGAGTTTTATCCTTTGAGATGAGACAGAGAATGTGTTGGGAGTTGAGAGGAGTTTTATCCTTTGAGATGAGACAGAGAATGTGTTGGGAGTTGAGAGGAGTTTTATCCTTTGAGATGAGACAGAGAATGTGTTGGGAGTTGAGAGGAGTTTTATCCTTTGAGATGAGACAGAGAATGTGTTGGGAGTTGAGAGGAGTTTTATCCTCTGAGATGAGACAGAGGATGTGTTGGGAGTTGAGAGGAGTTTTATCCTCTAAGCTGAGACAGAGGATGTGTTGGAGTTGAGAGGTGTTTTATTCTCTAAGCTTAGACAGAGGATGTGTTGTGAGTTGAGAGGAGTTTTATCCTCTAAGCTGAGACAGAGGATGTGTTGGGAGTTGAGAGGAGTTTCGCCCTCTTATCTGAGACAGAGGATGTGTTGGAGTTGAGAGGAGTTTTATCCTCTAAGCTGAGATAGAGGATGTGTTGGGAGTTGAGAGGAGTTTCGCCCTCTTATCTGAGACAGAGGATGTGTTGGGAGTTGAGAGGAGTTTCGCCCTCTTATCTGAGACAGAGGATGTGTTGGAGTTGAGAGGAGTTTTATCCTCTAAGCTGAGATAGAGGATGTGTTGGGAGTTGAGAGGAGTTTCGCCCTCTTATCTGAGACAGAGGATGTGTTGGGAGTTGAGAGGAGTTTTATCCTCTGATATGAGACAGAGAATGTGTTGGGAGTTGAGAGGAGTTTTATCCTTTAGATGAGACAGAGAATGTGTTGGGAGTTGAGAGGAGTTTATCCTCTGAGATGAGACAGAGAATGTGTTGGGAGTTGAGAGGAGTTTTAATCCTGTGTTAGTTGAGAGGAGTTTTATCCTTTGAATGTGTTGGGTGTTGAGAGGAGTTTTATCCTTTGTGATGATACAGAGAATGTGTTGGGAGTTGAGAGGAGTTTTATCCTCTTGTGTTGGGATAGAGACAGATGAGAAGAGAATGTGTTGGGGGTTGAGAGGAGTTTTATCCTTTGAGATTGATATAAATGTGTTGGGAGTTGAGAGGAGTTTTATCCTTTGAGATGAGACAGAGAATGTGTTGGGAGTTGAGAGGAGTTTTATCCTTTGAATGAACAGAGAATGTGTTGGGATTCTTTTATCCTTTGAGATGAGACAGAGAATGTGTTGTAGAGGAGTTTTATCCATAATAGACTTCATTACTTGTTTTCTTGATCCCTTTTATGTAAGCTGACTTCCAGATAGTGAAATAAGTTATGTAGCATATTCAGAGGATGTGTTGTGAGTTGAGTATATTTCAATCTCTAACAGTTTTCTGCCTCTTTTTTGTTATGAATAAGACTGCAGTCAGATTCTGTGCACAGACTGTGGACGTACAGTCAGACACGTCAATTAACATTGTTTCTTCAATTTTGGTTGCTATTTTCTTTCCATTTTCCCCATTGACTGATGATTCTGATTAAGATATTTTGTTTGAGTCGTTCTCTCCTCCATTATAACTGTTTCTCATTGTTTTTCAGTCTGAGTTTGGTAGCATTCCAAGAACTGGCTGACGAAGAGGCGCTTACAAAGGTGAGTATGGCCACGGCAATCAGTAGCCATGACAACAAGGAGTCAGTGATCGTTATTGGTGCTCACACGATGGCAGTGTGTAGTGGGCTGTTATTGTGTTTATACCTGAGTGGAGGTACAAAGGTGGGAGGATATAGCTTTTAAAATGTTTTCATTACTTATCCCAACTGTTCATTCCTATCACAACACCAGTACAACTTCTCAGTCAAGTCTTTTATGTGTGTATGTATGGTTGTTTAGCATCTACAGTTTGATGAAGTGATTGTCTATTGTGAAAGTTTCTGTTGGTGATGTACATAACCAGAGAATGCTGAAATCTTAATTGTGTTAAGGGTAGAGGAGCAGTTTTGATTGTCTGAAGGGCAGGGAAGCACTCTTGATTGTCATTGTTTTTCTCTTAAGGTTTCAAATTGTTTTTTTTATTTCCCAGTAGAAAATCATAATTGTTTAAGAGAAGTACTCTTAATCGTCTAAAGTGTAGCATAGCATTCTTAATTAATTATCTTAAGTGTAGGGTATCACTCTTAATTGTCTTAAGAGTAGGGAAGCACTCTTAATTGTCTGAAGGGTAGGGTATAGCGAAGCCTCTCTCAATCCATCTTATGGGTAGCTTTGATTATTTGTTGTAATTGATATAACCATCCCGTCCGTAGGCATTAACTCAATGAATATTTAATCCTATTTAAAAAATGTAAACATTCTTTATAACATGATGTGTAAAGGCTTAAACCTTATTCTCATAAACAACATAATAAAATTCATTACTTGTTTTTTTATGATCCCTTTTACCTGGTACTTCCAGATAGTGAAATAAGTTATGTAGCATATTCCAGTATATTTCAATCTCTAACAGTTTTCTGCCTCTTTTTTGTTATGAATAAGACTGCAGTCAGATTCTGTGCACAGACTGTGGGTATCACGTCAATTAACATTGTTTCTTCAATTTTGGTTGCTATTTTCTTTCCATTTTCCCCATTGACTGATGATTCTGATTAAGATATTTTGTTTGAGACGTTCTCTCCTCCATTATAACTGTTTCTCATTGTTTTTTCAGTAGTTTGGTAGCATTCAAGAACTGGCTGATTACAAAGGTGAGTATGGCCACGGCAATCAGTAGCCATGACAACAAGGAGTCAGTGATCGTTATTGGTGCTCACACGTGGCAGTGTGTAGTGGGCTGTTATTGTGTTTATACCTGAAGGTGGGAGGATATAGCTTTTAAAATGTTTTCACTTATCTGTTCATTCCTATTGTCTCAGTCAAGTCTTTTATGTGTGTATGTATGGTTGTTTAGGTTTGATGAAGTGATTGTCTATTGTGAAAGTTTCTGTTGGTGATGTACATAACCAGAGAATGCTGAAATCTTAATTGTGTTAAGGGTAGAGGAGCAGTTTTGATTGTCTGAAGGGCAGGGAAGCACTCTTAATTGTCTGAAGGGTAGGGTATCACTCTTAATTGTCTGAAGGGTAGGGTATCACTCTTAATTGTCTGAAGGGTAGGGTATCACTCTTAATTGTCTGAAGGGTAGGGTATCACTCTTAATTGTCTGAAGGGTAGGGTATCACTCTTAATTGTCTGAAGGGTAGGGTATCACTCTTAATTGTCTGAAGAGTAGGGAAGCACTCTTAATTGTCTGAAGGGTAGGGTATCACTCTTAATTGTCTGAAGAGTAGGGAAGCACTCTTAATTGTCTGAAGGGTAGGGTATCACTCTTAATTGTCTGAAGAGTAGGGAAGCACTCTTAATTGTCTGAAGGGTAGGGTATCACTCTTAATTGTCTGAAAGGTAGGGTATCACTCTTAATTGTCTGGTAGTAGGGAAGCACTCTTAATTGTCTGAAGGGTAGGGTATCACTCTTAATTGTCTGAAGAGTAGGGTATCACTCTTAATTGTCTGAAGAGTAGGGAAGCACTCTTAATTGTCTGAAAGGTAGGGTATCACTCTTAATTGTCTTAAGGGTAGGGTATCACTCTTAATTGTCTGAAGGGTAGGGTATCACTCTTAATTGTCTGAAGGGTAGGGTATCACTCTTAATTGTCTGAAAGGTAGGGTATCACTCTTAATTGTCTGAAGGGTAGGGTATCACTCTTAATTGTCTGAAGGGTAGGGTATCACTCTTAATTGTCTGAAGGGTAGGGTATCACTCTTAAATGTCTGAAGGGTAGGGTATCACTCTTAATTGTCTGAAGGGTAGGGTATCACTCTTAAATGTCTTCAGAGTAGGGTATCACTCTTAAATGTCTTCAGAGTAGGGTATCACTCTTAAATGTCTAAAATGTAGGGTATCACTCTTAAATGTCTAAAGTGTAGGGTATCACTCTTAAATGTCTAAAGTGTAGGGTATCACTCTTAATTGTCTGAAGGGTAGGGAAGCACTCTTAATTGTCTGAAGGGTAGGGAAGCACTCTTAATTGTCTGAAGGGTAGGGAAGCACTCTTAATTGTCTGAAAGGTAGGGTATCACTCTTAATTGTCTTAAGGGTAGGAAACCACTTGTCTAAAGTGTAGGGAAGCAATCTTCATTTTCTAAAGTGTAGGGTAGCACTCTTAATTGTTTTAGGGAAGCACTCTTAACAGAGATGCAACCTTTCGCAAATTGTCAAGATGACTTTGACAGATGACCTTCTCATATTTGTGAATAGGTTTTAGTCTTGGCTAAATGATTTAAATACTATACCACAGTACAAAAGAGCCTTTACCTCACCTGTACCAAGTGAACCTTAAGCACTGGCCCATCATTTATTCAGCCTGATCTATCACTGTCCTCAAACTTTCCTGTAAAACGAAAGGCCCTAGAAAGGTTGAACTACCAAATTGTTGATAATATATGTTAGTACCATTGTGTGTGAAATATTCCTGGAACAAGTTTCATGGGTATTGAAGTGAATGAATTTACCTGGGTACCCATAGATTGAGAGTGGCCATATATCACTTGCTGAAAATTCCCACTGCTAGTCATAGATAATCATTCAAGTTTGGCTCAATTAAATTGATAATTTTTTTTAGTACAGAAATTCAGAGAAAAATTTTTTTTTTTAATTCATTTGTTTCAATATTGATACTTCGGTTCATCAAATGAAAAAAAAAATTGATTGATTTAACAGATTATAAATAGATTTTTGGTGGTATAGATTGATGAATGTACGGAATTGATTTATTCTTCCTCCAGTTTTGAGATATTTATGAGTCGGTGGCCATGCAGTGGTTAGGGGTCATTAGGATGCTATAGGGCACACTTGGGAGGCAAACAGAGGATTATTGTAGGAGAGGAAAACAAAACAGGTAGTGATAAGGCTTCCAGTAGGGATACTTTTGATGATCTGATGGCTAGACAAGATAGCTTTCCTACGTATACTTTATAGGTGTATCGTTAGTGTTTGTTTAGTCTGGTTTATGTTGACAAATTAACGGTAGTGTGGACTTCTTCATTAAAGAAAAATCCATGTACTACTCTGATGAAATTCAGAAGTGGAAATAAGGGGTGGGGATTAGAAGAGAAGCAGGAATAGGAGGTGTGATGATGGGAAGGTAGAGGGTGAAGGTATAAGGAAAGGAAAGGCAATGAGGGACAAAGTGGGAAGGGAGAGGAGGGGAACAGAGGGTGTGATGATGGGAAGGTAGAGGGTGAAGGTATAAGGAAAGGAAAGGCAATGAGGGACAAAGTGGGAAGGGAGAGGAGGGGAACAGAGGGTGTGATGATGGGAAGGTAGAGGGTGAAGGTATAAGGAAAGGAAAGGCAATGAGGGACAAAGTGGGAAGGGAGAGGAGGGGAACAGAGGGTGTGATGATGGGAAGGTAGAGGGTGAAGGTATAAGGAAAGGAAAGGCAATGAGGGACAAAGTGGGAAGGGAGAGGAGGGGAACAGAGGGTGTGATGATGGGAAGGTAGAGGGTGAAGGTATAAGGAAAGGAAAGGCAATGAGGGACAAAGTGGGAAGGGAGAGGAGGGGAACAGAGGGTGTGATGATGGGAAGGTAGAGGGTGAAGGTATAAGGAAAGGAAAGGCAATGAGGGACAAAGTGGGAAGGGAGAGGAGGGGAACAGAGGGTGTGATGATGGGAAGGTAGAGGGTGAAGGTATAAGGAAAGGAAAGGCAATGAGGGACAAAGTGGGAAGGGAGAGGAGGGGAACAGAGGGTGTGATGATGGGAAGGTAGAGGGTGAAGGTATAAGGAAAGGAAAGGCAATGAGGGACAAAGTGGGAAGGGAGAGGAGGGGAACAGAGGGTGTGATGATGGGGAGGTGGAGGGTGAAGGTATAAGGAAAGGAAAGGCAATGAGGGACAAAGTGGGAAGGGAGAGGAGGGGAACAGAGGGTGTGATGATGGGAAGGTAGAGGGTGAAGGTATAAGGAAAGGAAAGGCAATGAGGGACAAAGTGGAAAGGGAGAGGAGGGGAACAGAGGGTGTGATGATGGGAAGGTGGAGGGTGAAGGTATAAGGAAAGGAAAGGCAATGAGGGACAAAGTGGGAAGGGAGAGGAGGGGAACAGAGGGTGTGAAAATGGGGAGGTGGAGGGTGAAGGTATAAGGAAAGGAAAGGCAATGAGGGACAAAGTGGGAAGGGAGAGGAGGGGAACAGAGGGTGTGATGAAGGGAAGGTAGAGGGTGAAGGTATAAGGAAAGGAAAGGCAATGAGGGACAAAGTGGGAAGGGAGAGGAAGGGAACAGAGGGTGTGAAAATGGGGAGGTGGAGGGTGAAGGTATGAGGAAAGGGAATGAGGGACAAAGTGGGAAGGGAGAGGAGGGGAACAGAGGGTGTGAAAATGGGGAGGTGGAGGGTGAAGGTATGAGGAAAGGGAATGAGGGACAAAGTGGGAAGGGAGAGGAGGGGAACAGAGGGGGTGAAAATGGGGAGGTGGAGGGTGAAGGTATGAGGAAAGGAAAGGCAATGAGGGACAAATTGGGAAGGGAGAGGAGGGGAACAGAGGGTGTGAAAATGGGGAGGTGGAGGGTGAAGGTATGAGGAAAGAAAAGGGAATGAGGGACAAAGTGGGAAGGGAGAAAAGGGGAACAGAGGGTGTGATGATAGGGATGTAGAGGGAGATGGTAAAGGGAGATTATGGGACAGGAAGGGAAGAAGTATATGAAAGTAGTTAAGAGGGAGGTCTGTAGGGAAGTTATGTACAATATTTACCACTTACACCAGCCTTTGGTAACTATGATTCATAACAGCTGCTGATGACTGTGTGTAACAGGTGCTACTGAACTACGGGTGTAGTCTCCATAGGAGGGGCCCATCATTTTTGTGTTATTGTTGTATTGTGTTGGTGTGAATCCAGGTCAGGTTCGACTTCAAGGTGTTACCAACTTTTTAGTCACTGCTGGTTTTCACCAACATGACCACACAGCACTGAATTACACACTTCCAGGTCCCATGATACCTTGTAGTTGATGGTGGTGGCGATGATGGTTGTAAAACAATTTAAGTAAAGAGAAAAAAAAATGAGATTGCTGCAACTGGTTGTCTGCAGATGTTTATCAAAACAACAACACTGTCTGCTATATTTAACATGCATGTTTTGGTGCCCTAACCCAGACTTGTGGCGTTTGCTCCAGACACTGTGATTTATTTCTGAGTTTCTTTGTGGCAGTAAGCCTCAGTATAACTGTACTTGGATTATCTGATTATGTAAAAGAAAAACAGCATTTCATGTTTCACTTTGTTATAATAAGGAACAAATAGACACATGCTACTTGTTTAAGTAATTTTTGTTCTGTTTAGAAGAATCAACCACATTGAAGAATAGACTTGAATGTACATAAGAAGTTTTTAAATGTACATTGTTCCTGTCGAATAGGAGCAGTATAAACTAAGTGTTGGTCTGGAGAGGTTGAAAATGTGGCTAATCTATAGATAAGATTTATAGTCAATGTGTATTTTCTTATTCCTATCAATAACTCAATCTTTTTCCAACACCTATTTCTTTCATCAAGGGAGCAGTACATTTAGGAAATATCTTACATAATGACTAGGGCTCATGGCATAGTGAAATTGTAAACTCCCTGTCATCAACTGCTTGTCTTCTACGCAAGGTATTCAGCAGTCCAGAGAAAGCAAGTTAACATGAATATGAAATGATAACAAAAGGCTGTAAAATAAGGATGGTTCTTCTGGGATTTCATCTCCTCTGGTCATGTTATTGATTAATATGAGACTAATGAAATGCGAACTTGTAAGGGTGTTTTGGGTCAGGACAGAAGGGAGAAGTAGTAGTGCTGTCATAAGGTTAACTGATAGTGGACGATGATTATAGTAGTCTCACTAATCAAGGTGTGTGTGTTCCTACAGTTCCTCAGGGACTGTGCTGGGTAAGGGAAAGGCAGATGGGGTTCCTATACCTCCTCAGGGACTGTGCTGGGTAAGGGAAAGGCAGATGGGGTTCATATACCTCCTCAGGGACTGTGCTGGGTAAGGGAAAGGCAGATGGGGTTCATATACCTCCTCAGGGACTGTGCTGGGTAAGGGAAAGGCAGATGGGGTTCATATACCTCCTCAGGGACTGTGCTGGGTAAGGGAAAGGCAGATGGGGTTCCTATACCTCCTCAGGGACTGTGCTGGGTAAGGGAAAGGCAGATGGGGTTCCTATACCTCCTCAGGGACTGTGCTGGGTAAGGGGCAGAGGGATAGGGTTCCTATACCTCCTCAGGGACTGTGCTGGGTAAGGGAAAGGCAGATGGGGTTCATATACCTCCTCAGGGACTGTGCTGGGTAAGGGAAAGGCAGATGGGGTTCCTATACCTCCTCAGGGACTGTGCTGGGTAAGGGAAAGGCAGATGGGGTTCATATACCTCCTCAGGGACTGTGCTGGGTAAGGGAAAGGCAGATGGGGTTCCTATACCTCCTCAGGGACTGTGCTGGGTAAGGGAAAGGCAGATGGGGTTCCTATACCTCCTCAGGGACTGTGCTGGGTAAGGGAAAGGCAGATGGGGTTCCTATACCTCCTCAGGGACTGTGCTGGGTAAGGGAAAGGCAGATGGTGTTCATATACCTCCTCAGGGACTGTGCTGGGTAAGGGAAAGGCAGATGGGGTTCCTATACCTCCTCAGGGACTGTGCTGGGTAAGGGAAAGGCAGATGGGGTTCATATACCTCCTCAGGGACTGTGCTGGGTAAGGGAAAGGCAGATGGGGTTCATATACCTCCTCAGGGACTGTGCTGGGTAAGGGAAAGGCAGATGGGGTTCCTATACCTCCTCAGGGACTGTGTGGGGTAGGGGGCAGAGGGATAGGGTTCCTATACCTCCTCAGGGACTGTGCTGGGTAAGGGAAAGGCAGATGGGGTTCCTATACCTCCTCAGGGACTGTGCTGGGTAAGGGGCAGAGGGATAGGGTTCCTATACCTCCTCAGGGACTGTGCGGGGTAGGGGGCAGAGGGATGGGGTTCCTATACCTCCTCAGGGACTGTGCTGGGTAAGGGAAAGGCAGATGGGGTTCCTTCACCTCCTCAGGGACTGTGCGGGGTAGGGGGCAGAGGGATAGGGTTCCTACACCTCCTCAGGGACTGTGCGTGGTAGGGAAATGGCAGATGGGATTTTTACACCTCAGGGACTGTGCTGAATCATTTTAAATATTGTACACACAGAGCCATAAAATAAATCAAATATTGTGTATGCCTTGACCTATACAAAGGTTTAAGTCTACCTTACTATTATCATATAATGATCAGTCATTTCGGTTTATCAGTCAACTTCAAAATTCTAACAATTCAGATAACAAATCATTTGTAATTTATCGTTGATCTAATTTCATTTAGAACAAAATTGAAGTTCTTCCATTGAAGGAACTCGCAGGTAAAGAAGTTTCCAGATGTGATAGTTTATATCGTTGAACAAATTTATTCTCTAATAGCCATTGTACATACTCACTATTTTCTTGCTATTATGTGTCAGACCTCAAAATGCTTTAAGATCTTTTTTGATTATTCATTTTTGTTTTATATCGCATTGCTTTTGATGTACAAATGTTTATCTTGTCTTGTTTTGCACTTTAAGTTTTGAAAGTAATATGGACTTAATGAGCTTAGTGACATAGATTTTTTTATCTCTTTTTATGAATTTCAGATTTGTAAAGAATTAAACAATCCTAGCATTCCAGGGGTGAAAAAGTTTCAAGGTCATCGAGGTGTTTGGAAATGTGTAGTATCCAAGGCAGCTGGCCGAATGTACCAGGTAAGTATCAAAGGGAAGTAACTGATGAATCTTCCAAGTAAGTGTGTGTCAAAGGCAGATTACAGAAAAATCTACTTGGCCAATTATTTCAGGGGGGAAGTATTGAGGAACATACCAGACAAGAGGTTCAGTTAAGGTGAAAAAGGAAGAAAGTGCTAGGTAAGTGGGTATATAAGGGAGGTAACTGAGGGCAGAACGTACAAGTAAGTTAGTATTCAGGGGAGTTAACTGATATTGGAAAGTAACACGTAAGTAGGTATTCAAAAACTGATAGTGAAAAGTCCAATGTAAGTGAGTACATTGTAGTTTTGTAGTGTTGAGAGATTGTAAGAAACACTTTGCATGAATTGGATGATATTATTTGTATCAATCTGAGGTCATATGATTATGGTATTGTTTGTGTGTTAACAGCATGAGAGATGTGGTTGACAGTGTCAAGATGGTGTTAACAGAAGAGATAGGAAAATATAGCAGAAACAGCATTCTAAAATTTTCATTAAAAGTAGATACCTTAAATGTTAAATATTAAGGGTTCATATTTACCAGGACATAAACTGTACTTCTTCCTTCATTTCAGAAGGCAGTTGCAGAAAAAATATCATTAATATGTTAAATTTATAATGATTTGAGATTTAAAGAATTTAATGTTTGTTTCCATGGGAACAGTTTAATTAATGCTTCGTTGTGACTCATTTCTGTAGTCCAGTTCTGATTGTTTAATTACAATGGTTCCATGTGACAGTTTTAAATCTAATTAGTACTCTTGTCGCTAATGATTTGCTATTAAATCAGTGTTTATTGGTTCAGGCATCCTCTCCTTCTTGTTATATCACTGTCTGTACAAATCTACTTCTGATCAGACTAACATCCTCTCCTTCTTGTTATATCACTGTCTGTACAAATCTACTTCTGATCAGACTAACATCCTCTCCTCCTTGTTATATCACTGTCTGTACAAATCTACTTCAGAACAGACTAACATCCTCTCCTTGTTATACCACTGTCTGTACAAATCTACTTCAGAACAGACTAACATCCTCTCCTTGTTATACCACTGTCTGTACAAATCTACTTCTGATCAGACTAACATCCTCTCCTTCTTGTTATATCACTGTCTGTACAAATCTACTTCAGATCAGACTAACATCCTCTCCTCCTTGTTATATCACTGTCTGTACAAATCTACTTCAGATCAGACTAACATCCTCTCCTCCTTGTTATATCACTGTCTGTACAAATCTACTTCAGAACAGACTAACATCCTCTCCTTGTTATATCACTGTCTGTACAAATCTACTTCAGAACAGACTAACATCCTCTCCTTGTTATACCACTGTCTGTACAAATCTACTTCTGATCAGACTAACATCCTCTCCTTGTTATATCACTGTCTGTACAAATCTACTTCAGAACAGACTAACATCCTCTCCTCCTTGTTATATCACTGTCTGTACAAGTCTACTTCAGATCAGACTAACATCCTCTCCTCCTTGTTATATCACTGTCTGTACAAATCTACTTCAGAACAGACTAACATCCTCTCCTCCTTGTTATATCACTGTCTGTACAAGTCTACTTCAGATCAGACTAACATCCTCTCCTCCTTGTTATATCACTGTCTGTACAAGTCTACTTCAGATCAGACTAACATCCTCTCCTTGTTATACCACTGTCTGTACAAGTCTACTTCAGATCAGACTAACATCCTCTCCTTGTTATACCACTGTCTGTACAAGTCTACTTCAGATCAGACTAACATCCTCTCCTTGTTATACCACTGTCTGTACAAATCTACTTCAGATCAGACTAACATCCTCTCCTTGTTATATCACTCTCTGTACAAATCTACTTCAGATCAGACTAACATCCTCTCCTTGTTATATCACTGTCTGTACAAGTCTACTTCTGATCAGACTAACTTTGTAGATAGAATCTCACAGGAGTTTTCATTTGATTTTGTAATTTAATAAAACAAGTCTTCAGAGTTTTTCATTTTAATGAGCCTTGGGCTTTTATATTGTTGAGGCATTGGACATTGTAACTTAGTATACAGAGTGACACATAGACAGGTAGAACATGTAGGAAATACCTTTGGAGGACTTGGTGACACATTAGATTGTGTAACTTAGTATACAGAGTGACACATAGACAGGAAGAACATGTAGGAAATACCTTTGGAGGACTTGGTGACACATTAGATTGTGTAACTTAGTATACAGAGTGACACATAGACAGGAAGAACATGTAGGAAATACCTTTGGAGGACTTGGTGACACATTAGATTGTGTAACTTAGTGTACAGAGTGACACATAGACAGGTAGAACATGTAGGAAATACCTTTGGAGGACTTGGTGACACATTAGATTGTGTAACTTAGTATACAGAGTGACACATAGACAGGAAGAACATGTAGGAAATACCTTTGGAGGACTTGGTGACACATTAGATTGTGTAACTTAGTGTACAGAGTGACACATAGACAGGAAGAACATGTAGGAAATACCTTTGGAGGACTTGGTGACACATTAGATTGTGTAACTTAGTGTACAGAGTGACACATAGACAGGTAGAACATGTAGGAAATACCTTTGGAGGACTTGGTGACACATTAGATTGTGTAACTTAGTATACAGAGTGACACATAGACAGGAAGAACATGTAGGAAATACCTTTGGAGGACTTGGTGACACATTAGATTGTGTAACTTAGTATACAGAGTGACACATAGACAGGAAGAACATGTAGGAAATACCTTTGGAGGACTTGGTGACACATTAGATTGTGTAACTTAGTGTACAGAGTGACACATAGACAGGAAGAACATGTAGGAAATACCTTTGGAGGACTTGGTGACACATTAGATTGTGTAACTTAGTGTACAGAGTGACACATAGACAGGAAGAACATGTAGGAAATACCTTTGGAGGACTTGGTGACACATTAGATTGTGTAACTTAGTATACAGAGTGACACATAGACAGGAAGAACATGTAGGAAATACCTTTGGAGGACTTGGTGACACATTAGATTGTGTAACTTAGTGTACAGAGTGACACATAGACAGGAAGAACATGTAGGAAATACCTTTGGAGGACTTGGTGACACATTAGATTGTGTAACTTAGTATACAGAGTGACACATAGACAGGAAGAACATGTAGGAAATACCTTTGGAGGACTTGGTGACACATTAGATTGTGTAACTTAGTATACAGAGTGACACATAGACAGGAAGAACATGTAGGAAATACCTTTGGAGGACTTGGTGACACATTAGATTGTGTAACTTAGTGTACAGAGTGACACATAGACAGGAAGAACATGTAGGAAATACCTTTGGAGGACTTGGTGACACATTAGATTGTGTAACTTAGTGTACAGAGTGACACATAGACAGGTAGAACATGTAGGAAATACCTTTGGAGGACTTGGTGACACATTAGATTGTGTAACTTAGTATACAGAGTGACACATAGACAGGAAGAACATGTAGGAAATACCTTTGGAGGACTTGGTGACACATTAGATTGTGTAACTTAGTGTACAGAGTGACACATAGACAGGAAGAACATGTAGGAAATACCTTTGGAGGACTTGGTGACACATTAGATTGTGTAACTTAGTATACAGAGTGACACATAGACAGGAAGAACATGTAGGAAATACCTTTGGAGGACTTGGTGACACATTAGATTGTGTAACTTAGTATACAGAGTGACACATAGACAGGAAGAACATGTAGGAAATACCTTTGGAGGACTTGGTGACACATTAGATTGTGTAACTTAGTGTACAGAGTGACACATAGACAGGTAGAACATGTAGGAAATACCTTTGGAGGACTTGGTGACACATTAGATTGTGTAACTTAGTGTACAGAATGACACATAGACAGGTAAAACATGTAGGAAATACCTTTGGAGGACTTGGTGACACATTAGATTGTGTAGCTTAGTGTACAGAATGACACATAGACAGGTAGAACATGTAGGAAATACCTTTGGAGGACTTGGTGACACATTAGATTGTGTAACTTAGTGTACAGAGTGACACATAGACAGGTAGAACATGTAGGAAATACCTTTGGAGGACTTGGTGACACATTAGATTGTGTAGCTTAGTATACAGAATGACACATAGACAGGTAAAACATGTAGGAAATACCTTTGGAGGACTTGGTGACACATTAGATTGTGTAGCTTAGTATACAGAATGACACATAGACAGGTAGAACATGTAGGAACAACCTAGGGGGGACTTGGTAATGCAGGGTGACACATCAACTGGTTTGACTTCCCAAATTTGTTATTATATTGTTTAGCTTTTTTTCAGAGGGTTTAAATGTTCATTAATAGCATTTTCTTGGAGAACATTAAATAGATAACACTAACCCAGGAGTAATATAAATAGTGGTACTGGTGTTTATGTATAGGTATACATATAATATTCATCAGCACAGAAATACAGTGTGTCTAGCTATTACTTGGTGCATCAGAGTGCTTGTAATATATGTAACAATAGTGTCTTGTAATATGTTCTGTCTCTGTTCTTCTGTTGGTGAGACTTATATGTGGGTTACTTAAACTCTTCAAAGTGAACCAGGGCATTTATATTTACAAACTTTTTTGTTTTGATTTATTTAGTATTGTCTAATCTGTTATGAAAAGTCTGGAAGGCGAAATTGTGAGGTTACTTTTCTGCTGTCAACACTGGCTAAAGCAGTGTCTGCATCAACATTGATATTTTAAATGAAGGTTTTGCACTTAGATCTCTTGCTGAAAAAAATATAAGTTCTACTTTAACTAAACTTGATGTATAGCTGGATCACCTACTGAGCCCCTAAACACATCCATCACTTACAAAATAGCTTTCAGATTTTGAGTCTCAGCTACTCTGGAAAATTAGGTACATGTATGCTAAGAACATGGATTTGCATGAAGACATCTTAGCAATGACTACAAAGTCCGTAAGACTTATTCTATTTAATTCAGATTTAGGTGAGATACATAAAATTATAGTAAAACTATTCGTACAAATGAACTATAAGCTAAATATTCCTTTCAATCCTCAGGAAGAGTGATATTTCAGGGATATAAAATTCACAAAATTTCCATTTCATGTTTTACAATACATTAATATTATATAGGAGAATTACACATTTGTGGTGTTTACATATATTATTAGATCAAATTATTGACTTGGACATTTGAGGGATAGGATGTGTGGGAGTATTCTGGAATTCGCTTAGAAATTACCTCACTAAACAGGTTTGGACAGAATGGCAAAAAATTGTGAAAAATTGCCATAGATTAAAGACTGTAAAGGTGATTATTTTAAGCAGGTATTTTACATAGTGTAACATCCTAAGGTGGAAGTCATTATGTACTAAAACCACAAGAAAGGTCACCCTGGTATTAGCAGATCTATACATAAATCCTATCTCATTGCTGACTTGCACATCAACAAGTAAATTTGAGAAATGAATTTGTTTGCCCTCTTGGAATTTTGGTAGGTTTATCTCTGACTTTATTAAATTCCTGGAGTATTAATTTCAATACTAGGGCTGTCAGATCTCTCTGATTATATCAGAGGTAGGGAGAGATAGATAGGATTAGTAGAGGTGGGGGAGGGGGACTGTATAGGGAGGGAAAAGGAGGGAAGTGTTTGGTAAATGGGAAGTGGAGGGAGTGGGAGGGGTGACAATTAGAGGGTGAAATCTAGACGCTGCACACATAAAATGCTTACCATAACATTTTACAGGTGAGGTCAGTGTAATATACCTGTACAGGTGTTTATGTAACCTTGTCAGGTAATACATCAACATAAACAGGTAACTTAGTGTCTATCAGGTACTTAACTAGTGATTGACCTATCATTGTCCTATATACCGATGCCTGTACATTCTTTAACCTTTGTAACCACAGTGTGTAAACTGACCACCAAGCGTATGTTCATCCTTATTAAAAATGTTTTGTATATTTTTACTGTGCCTACATCATTAAGAATATTCCTGACTTTGTCTTGATAAGGTGTTAATACCTTAGTGCAACATCTATTTCTAATTGTGAAAAAGGTCTTACAGTCACTGATAAATTGTCAGGCGTCGTGAGTTTGACTCTACCAATATTCTGTTATCTCAGGGTTCTGATATATAAGGTGGGAGACCTTGAAATGATTAGAGACTTATAAGGAAACTGCTGACATTTCTATCATTTCTTAACATATCTGTCATTGACTTACATTACAGGATGGAATATACAAGGACCTCACTATTATAGCCTCATACATCCAAAACCATTGTCCAATAAATAAACTCTCACAACTACACTGATATGGTCTCATACATACATAGCCTTCACATCTACAGTCTGATACATACACAGCCCTCACATCTACAGTCTTATACATACACAGCCCTCACATCTACAGTCTGATACATACACAACCCTCACATCTACAGTCTGATACATACACAGCCCTCACATCTACAGTCTGATACATACACAGTCCTCACATCTACAGTCTGATACATACACAACCCTCACATCTACAGTCTGATACATACACAGCCCTCCCATCTACAGTGTGATACATACACAGCCCTCACATCTACAGTGTGATACATACACAGCCCTCACATCTACAGTCTGATGCATACACAGCCCTCACATCTACAGTCTGATACATACACAGTCCTCACATCTACAGTCTGATACATACACAACCCTCACATCTGCAGTCTGATGCATACACAGCCCTCACATCTATAGTCTGATACATACACAGCCCTCCCATCTACAGTGTGATACATACACAGCCCTCACATCTACAGTCTGATATATACACAGCCCTCACATCTACAGTCTGATACATACACAACCCTCACATCTACAGTCTGATGCATACACAGCCCTCACATCTACAGTGTGATACATACACAGCCCTCACATCTACAGTCTGATACATACACAGCCCTCACATCTACAGTCTGATGCATACACAGCCCTCACATCTACAGTCTGATGCATACACAGCCCTCACATCTACAGTGTGATACATACACAGCCCTCACATCTACAGTCTGATACATACACAGCCCTCACATCTACAGTCTGATACATACACAGCCCTCACATCTACAGTCTGATACATACACAGCCCTCACATCTACAGTCTGATACATACACAGCCCTCACATCTACAGTCTGATACATACACAGCCCTCACATCTACAGTCTGATACATACACAGCCTTTACATCTACAGTCTCATACATACACAACCCTCACAACTGAAGCCAGATACATACAAAACCCTCACAATTACAATCGCATACATAATAAAGTTATTCAGCTTAGTGATACTTAATACATCAATTATACATAAACCTAATAGAAAACAAGTCTTTTTTATGTTGTAAGAGATAGAATTTTGAAGTGTTTTGATATGTCAAATGGAAAGTTCTATAGAAGCAATTTTACAGATTTAATTAGGTCCTGTTGTTGTTTATCAGTGAAAACAAAGATAAAATATAGTGTGATTAGCTCCGTGGTCTCTGACCGGTAACTAAATAGTGCATAGTCTGATTCACTAGTGACTAGGGCAAGGTTCAAAGTTACCTGGGGTCTGTAACAACTTTTCTGGGGGATGAGGGTATGGTATACTATAATTTAGTCTTTCCCCAGAAACATTGTTCCAGATCGCTGTGGTTACCTGGAGTGAAATTTGGGCCAAAGTAATATTCAAGCTGTCTTGACAATTTATCTCTACTGATTGGAACGACTGAAAGATTTTTGATTTTCATTCATAAATTGAACATATGTATTTACAGATTTAAATGTAGATAAAATGACATTGGATAATAGAGGTGTCTATGTTAAACCTGTTACAGTATCTTCTTATTAGTCTGCATTGTTTAAACTCTTTTATGACCAGAAGAGCGTCTCTTTTCTTTAATTCAGAGTATATAACCATTTCTGTGTGTTACGAGTAATTCAGATGGTGTTATTGTAGTGTAGATTACACAGAAGTGATATGATTGTCATCGGGTAAAAATAAAACAAACAGGATGTCATTGATTCAACTGAAATGTAATTCATATTAAAACTGTTGTAGGAAACTGTTTAATGTTAGTTGTTTTAAACGGAAATTCTCTTCATTTAGCTTCATTGTAATAGCAGTAGCAAGAAGTTTGAATTATTGATAACAGGACAATAAATGTGTTGTTATCTGTAATCCTTTATAGCTGCAGCCAGGAAGTTCTCTGAGGAGTGCTCGAAACATACAGCTATAGTTATATTGTAACTGTAGTAACACAGTCAGTGGTTACTGATGACAATAACATAATCACTGGTTACTATTTATAGTAACACAGTCAGTGGTTTCTATTGATAGTAACAGTCAGTGGTTACTATTGATAGTAACAGTCAGTGGTTACTATTTATAGTAACATTGTCAGTGGTTAGTATTGATAGTAAAATAATCAGTGGTTACTATAAATAGTAACAGTCAGTGGTTACTAGTGATAGTATCATAGTCAGTGGTTACTATTAATAATAACATAGCCAGTGGTTACTATAACACAGTCGGTGGTTACTATAAATACTAAAACATAGTCAATGGTTACTAATGATAGTAATATAATCAGTGGTTACTAATGATAGTAACATAGTCAGTGGTTACTAATGATAGTAACATAGTCAGTGGTTACTATTGATAGTAACATAGTCAGTGGTCACTAATGATAGTAACATAGTCAGTGGTTACTATTGATAGTAATATAATCAGTGGTTACTAATGATAGTAACATAGTCAGTGGTTACTAATGATAGTAACATAGTCAGTGGTTACTATTGATAGTAACATAGTCAGTGGTTACTATTGATAGTAACATAGTCAGTGGTTACTATTGATAGTAACATAGTCAGTGGTTACTATTGATAGTAACATAGTCAGTGGTTACTATTTATAGTAGCATAGTCAGTGGTTATTATTGATAGCAACATAGTCAGTGGTTACTATTGATAGTAAATCATTCAATTTCCACTCGTTAATCACTACATGTCTAGTTAAAATACTATAGTAACATTTTAACTGGTCACTGTAATAAAAAACATAAAACATTGTAACTGGTCACTGTAGTAAAGCAGTAACTTTGTAACTTGTCACTATAGTAAATTGTAACTAGATACTATAGTAGTAGTAACTGTAGTATCACTGTATAACTGTAGTAACTTGGCCTCTGATCATTCTAGTTATATTTGCAATGTTTATGGAGATAGAAGCCCTGACGACTATTGTGATGTCCATGTTTTAGCCACGGTCAGAGATAAAAGTCCAGTCTAACACAGTCATGTATGATTTCCACCATAATCCTGACAGTTATTATGTGAGTAGATCATATTTATTGTCTTCTTTTTCAGGCCACAGAATACAATGGCTTCCTGTTTGACACTTCACAGCAAATTGAAATGAAGAGTTCTGCACTCCTAGAGAAAGCCAAGAATGTGTCCAAGCCTTTTGTGAGGAAGCCATTTATTGGTGTATTTAAGGTAATCAGTTGACAGCTGCCTTTTACAGTCGAACTTCATTAATTTAAACTCAGTCAAGTCGAATAACTTGCTTAACTCACTCAAAGTACTTGTTGGTCTTAGCCTTGTTCTCTTTTTATGGTAGTAAGAAAGACTTGGGAAACCTCAAAGAATTGAAAAACTCTGATAATTTAAAGTTAAAATTGGTCCTGGAAATCAAATCCTACTTAAAAGTATCTCTTCACCTGAAGTTCTAAACTTAAACCATGAACAATCGATTGAACTTCTGATAAAGTGTTACAACAGACCGTGTTGCAGTACATTGTTATCATACAACATTCAATGTCGCTGCTTCAATTTAGTGAAGAAAAAATCTGTCTGGCTATTGTTACGATAAAAAAATATATTCATGATGAGAATCTGATTTCATTAATTTTGATTAACAGTAAAAATGGTTCTCACAGAAAGCCATTTATTGACACTCTTAAGCTCATGAAAATGTAACACAGAAACATTAGTCACAGTTTATGGCAAGGTGGAACTTACCTGCAAAGTTGAAATCATAATCTTAGCCTGTATTTCTATAGAATTGATATGGATTTGACATCAAAGGAGAATGCTGAAGTTACTATTGATTAGGTGATATCGAGGAGATGGCAAGTGTCACATTTTCAAGTGTCACACTCTGTCAATGCTATTTATTGCTTTTGTGTGACCTGTACTGCTCATTAAGTATCATCAACTACATCAACAGCAGTTTTTTTGTATCAAGTGTGTTTTGGCACATGTTTATTTCTGATCTGAAACTTCCATTTGTCTAAGCTAACTCTTGTACTAAGGGGTTGTTGTTATAGTATTTGTTAATTTCATGTAATATATCATATTTCATGTAATATATCATATTTCATGTAATATATCATATATTACCCTTATAAAGCTTCATATAATTTTTGAATAAATTACTGAAATTTTGTGTCATTAGATTAATGACCCAAATAGCATCATTTCTTGTTTACTTCCAATGGCGATATATCATAAAAAATCTTATACCAATGTTGAAACTCATTTAACTTAAAGATTTTCATGACCCCCAACAACTTCGAATTAATGAAATTTACTGTTATTTGTATCTATATATGTTGTAGAAATGTTTTGTTATTACATAAACTTTAAAATCTGTCTTCATTTAGTGAGGATATCCAGCCTTAAACAGGCTGTAACAAACCACATGGTTACAATGTTAATGTTTTGTTTCAGATCCGTAAGTTTGATTGTGTAGTTGTGAGTGTACACCTGAAGGCTACTGGACTGAACAACCAGGACCTTCCCCAGCTACAGAAGGAAATAGATCGTGTACCGCATGTGGTGGAGGCAATAGAAGACCACTATCCAGGTAGGCACCACGACATCAAAACCTTAATCTCATTCATGATTTTATATATATTCCGTATCCACTATATTATGGTATAAAATTCTTCAGATGTATTTTCCAGCCAGAACACGAGGGAAATAAGGCGTTACACTGTTGCAGTGTATTTCTTTTATTATCTGCAGTAACTTATACAACTCATTTCTTTCCTCAGGAGAGAAGGATATTATCATGCTGGGAGATTTCAACCTCGCACCTGACAAGGACGGTAAGAAACAACATAAACAACAGGCACTGTACACTTAAAACATGTACAATGTAGAAGTATTAACTTCATCTATTTTGCAATAATTGCAAAACAAGTAAGCAGATTAAATTATTGAGTGGTGGTACTGAAGTGTGAAAGAAGGATGTCCTGTGAAAGAAAACCACAGTAATTGGGGAAAACTCACACAGGTGACCTTGTTTCACATCCATTCTGGAAATTAAAATCAGGTCAGTAAGGTGCTTTGTCACTGCACCACCTGACCCTGTCCAACATCAGAGGTCAAATCTAGCTGAATATAATCATTTCACAGTACTAAAAATTGTCATTGTAATGAAAATATCATGTAAATGCTTACAGTACATCTATATTTTGTTGTGGATTTTTTAATCTAATTTGTGATGCATCATTTGGTAAACCTAAGGTTAAACTGTTGTGTCCATTTTCCCTATGTAACTTTTGTCTCTTGGTTCTCCAGATTTCACTTGCTTGCGTGACAGACACTATTCCAATTGTATCCCTAATGGCCATTTCACTAACATCAGCAATAACAACCTGAAGGGCTCACAGACCTATGACCATATCTGGATCTCTGAGCAGTCCAAGGAGATATTCACAGGTAAACAGCACGGAGAGGATTCCCATCTGTGACGTGATGTCATAAGACATAAGTCATAATGTCAAGGGACTTTCTCTGTAGGGAGATGAGATTTAAAGTCATGATGTCATAGGACCTTCTCTGTAGGGAGATTAGATTTTAAGTTGTAAGGACATAGGGCCTTCTCTGTAGGGAGATGAGATTTTAAGTTGTAAGGACATAGGACCTTATCTGTAGGGAGATGAGATTTTAAGTTGTAATCTCGAAGGGCCTTCTCTGTAGGGAGATTAGATTTTAAGTCATGATGTCATAGGACCTTCTCTGTAGGGAGATTAGATTTTAAGTCGTAAGGACATAGGACCTTATCTGTAGGATGATTAGATTTAAAGTGACTTAATTATATGTTAGTATGTGTATCATTCTTGAACTCAATTCAAAATGAATCATTCTTGAAAATATATTGGCCTGTTATTAAGATATTCTATCTGAAGTGTTTTGCAAATGGTAAATGGAAGGGAAGTAACTCTATAAGTTAGATATTGATTCTTCTTAAAATAAACATCTTACCTGTAATTTAGGTAATTTTCTCTTCTTATTTTCCACCCATAAATGGAAACATGGCAGTGCAGCATTAACACATATCTACAAGATACCATCTAAATTATTTTCTTACTTTCCGCCATTTTATATAATTGATTTTCTTAAAATGTTATTCGGAAAAACTTTTTTCCCCCATGCAATTTTGAGTAATGTTGGTCTAAGTATGAAGTTTATTACTTATTGATTTTCATGTATATTCAGTATTCTGTTTTAAGTTATCAATATTCTATTATGAAGTTGTATTCTATATGATGCTGTCAGTATTCTATATGAAGTTGTCAGTATTCTGTATGAAGTTGCCTGTATTCTATATGATGTTTTCTGTATTCTATTGCGAAGTTGCCTGTATTCTATATGATGTTTTCTGTATTCTATTGTGAAGTTGCCTGTATTCTATATGATGTTTTCTGTATTCTATTTTGAAGTTGCCTGTATTCTATATGATGTTTTCTGTATTCTATTGTGAAGTTGCCTGTATTCTATATGATGTTTTCTGTATTCTATATGAAGTTGTCAGTATTCTATATGAAGTTGTCAGTATCTGTATGAAGTTATCAGTATTCTATAAGAAGTTATCAATATACTGTATGATTTGTTTATAGGGTACTCGGGGGTGGTCAGAGAAGGACTCAGCAGTCCCTGGATCCCAAATGGCTGGTCGTGGGGAGGACTAATTAGTGACCACTGTCCAGTCTGGGCCGAATTCTACTCCAACAAAGACTTAGACACAGCAGACCTAAGTCTCAGTGCAGAAACCATTAAATTTGCAGTCGGAGCTGATTGAAGTTAATGAAATCATGAATCTAGCCAATCAGAAAGGATGTAACAATGACTGTTAAATAATAGGTGTAAGGGGGTTCAGGATTGGACCAAGTTGACTTGTAATTGATTGGAATACACAAAAATCTGTATTTTCGTGACTACAAAGACATTTCTCCGTGTGTAATACAAAATCAGATTATTTATATATGCAGTGGCTCATTCTAGGAACTGACAGAATGTGGCAGCTAATATGTAAAGATTTTCTGTGGTATGTGTTGCCTGTATCAGAAGGAAAAGGTAGAAGCTACAGAATTGTTACTACTTCCTATATTTATTACCTACTCAGTAAAGGAATGTATTATGTATAACCTACTGTTAGAGTTATCTCCCACTTTATAAAGGAAGTAGATTTGAAGCCAAAGTTTCTGTGATCGAGACAGACTACTTCACTCAAGACATAACTAAGACGAAGCAATTGAAACTTTACCATAGAGAGTATGATGTTTGAATGAGATTGAGTGACGACATACAGTAACACTCTCTGTGTTAGGTATATCCAACATGAAACTGAATAAGTGCTGTTTAATTCACTTACACAGTTTTTGATTGGGACACAAGATTCTTGCCATTTATTATGTTTCAAAGCTTTAAAATTTAAGAATCTTGCCATGTTTAATAGTTAAAGTAGGCCAATTTTTGGTAACCATTTGATACTGTCAGACTTAACATAACAAGCAGCTGATGTGATTGAGCCTGACCTTGTATAATACATATAATTACCACCTGTAGATGTAAGTGTCCAGCCATGCCTGTCCAAATGACTTCCTAATTTTATGGTTTCCCCATAGAACTAAGTCTATACATGTATATGTAAGGAACTACTTTAAAATTAGTACCTGAGAAAAGACACAACTTTTTTAACTGCTTTTTTTATTTTATAGTAGAATTTGTATTATACACTTTGAGCCTGATATATCATCACAAGTCTGATACAAGAATACTGATAATAAAATTTTGCTGTATTTCCTGGGATGTTTTAAACAGGTTGTAAGTAACTACAGATATACTAGGACATAATTACCAGGTTAAAAGTAACTACAGATATACTAGGACATTATTACCAGGTTAAAAGTAACTACAGATATACTAGGACATTATTACCAGGTTAAAAGTAACTACAGATATACTAGGACATTATTACCAGGTTAAAAGTAACTACAGATATACTAGGACATCATTACCAGGTTGTAAGTAACTACAGATATACTAGGACATCATTACCAGGTTGTAAGTAACTACAGATATACTAGGACATCATTACCAGGTTAAAAGTAACAACAGATATACAAGGACATCATTACCAGGTTATAAATAACTACAGATATACTAGGACATCATTACCAGGTTAAAAGTAACAACAGATATACAAGGACATCATTATCAGGTTTTAAGTTACTACAGATATACTAAGACATTATTACCAGGTTAAAAGTAACTACAGATATACTAGGACATTACCAGGTTAAAAGTAACTATAGATATACTAGGACATCATTACCAGGTTAAAAGTAACTGCAGTTGTCTGGGGTTGTTATAACCATATGATGAAAACAGCATATATCCTTGGATTAGATAACCAGGTTAGTGTAACTATAAATATCCTGGACTGTTATTTCTAGGTTCTCAGTACCTGTATATGTTACAGCCCATTATAACCAGGTAATAAGTAACTACAGATATTCAATAACCTTATAACCAGGTTAGTGTAACTATATATATCCTGGACTGTTATTTCTAGGTTCTCCGTACCTGTATATGTCACAGCCCATTATAACCAGGTAATAAGTAACTACAGATATTCAATAACCTTATAACCAGGTTAGTGTAACTATATATATATCCTGGACTGTTATTCCCAGTTTCTCAGCATCTCTGTGTCCTGCCCAGTTATAACCAGGTTATAAATACCGGGTAATTACAGGTATTGATTATAAATGTGACATGTACGCGGGAAGCAATTTTGTTTGTATTTTAAGATGATTATCTTGTGATGGTCATTACAGTTTTCTTAAAAGCTTTTTTTTGATGGATTAATCCAGAAGGTTAATTTCTCCATTACAACAATATCCATCTAGTCCAAACTATTTAGGCAAGGGATGATAAATATAGTCAAAGGAATCTGCAGAACCATTGGGGAAATCCATGTAAGACTAATGTCATGTATGTAACAAACACTGTGGTGATATATATACCAGTATATAAAGAGAGGTATTTGATATTTATTTAAGGAGCCCTCATTCATCAACTCTTCAAATGTTCTTAATCAAAACATTGTATTCATTGTTATGAATGTATGTGTTTATATGTTTTTATGATTTGTTACAAAGCTTTGCTATTTTCATGTTTCATCCCACTGTTCTTATTCTCTTCTGTGTTCAACATCAGCTTCCCTATTAACTGACTTCATAAAGTCCAGTTTGTGTATTATATAGCTGTACACACCAGGTGGTCTTTGTTATAGCCTGGCTTTATACAGACCAGCACTGGTATGATACAGCCATACTTTTTAGACCAGTTGATGTATGTTACAGCCAGGCTTTGTAGACCAGTTGATGTATGATACAGCCAGGCTTTGTAGACCAGCTGATGTATGTTACAGCCAGGTTTTGTAAACCAGTCGATGTATGTTACAGCCAGGCTTGGTAGACCAGCTGATGTATGTTACAGCCAGGTTTTGTAAACCAGTCGATGTATGTTACAGCCAGGCTTGGTAGACCAGCGAGTGTATGATACAGCTAGGTTTTGTAGACCAGCTGATGTATGTTAAATCCAGGATTTGTAGACTAGCAGGTGCATGATTTAGCCTGGCTTTGTAAACCAGCTGATGTAATATACAGCTAGGTCTTGTAGACCAGCTGGTGTATGATACAGCTAGGTCTTGTAGACCAGCTGATGTATGATACAGCTAGGTTTTGTAGACCAGTGGGTGTATAATATAGCCTGGCTTTGTAGACCAGCTGATGTATGTTACAGCCAGGCTTTGTAGATCAGCGGGTGTATGTTGCAGCCAGGCTTTGTAGACCAGCTGATGTATAATACAGCCATGTTTTGTAGACCAGCTGATGTATGTTACAGCCAGGCTTTGTAGACCAGCGGGTGTATGTTACAGCCAGGATTTGTAGACCAGCGGGTGTATGATACAGCCATGTTTTGAAGACCAGCTGGTGTATGTCATCATGTGTTGTAAACCAGCTGGTGTATGTTACAGCCTGGCTTTAATTATTGCCTCTGTAATATATTAAATTATAGATGTAGTTACTGATCAAAACTTAGTAGTGTTTGAGGTTTTGTGACTAATCCTATTTATTACTGATGTTTGATTTCAGGTTGTTTATTTGTTATACTTCTGTTTATTATGAAACTTTATTGATTTTTTTTGCCTTTAAATAAAACATTTGGACCAAGTTTTAATTTCATCCCAAACATAATAAAAACTTGTGTTAGTTTTAATTTTAAACATTAAGCATTTTTGTTTTGTTTGGCAACCAAGCGAAAAAGGCAGAAATTAAACAACATTGAAAGTTTCCTTGGAACAGTATACCTTCTTGATTGCGATATCAAATTCTCTGTGATAGTGTGTAGGATAATCTCATACATTACATATCTGTTAAATTTCAATTTTCCATGTCAATGTTTCCTTCAAATACTCATGGTTATTGACTACCAGGCTACTGTACAATGATTTGTAACTTTGGTTTAATCATCTTTTACAGTAGAAGCAATATAGTTTTTATATGTTGTAGATAGGGTAGCAAACACAATGCAATTGGTTTATTTTTGAAGTGCTCTATTCGCATGTTCATACCTTGTTTTATATATAGATGGATTATTGTTTTTAACTTCAATGCAATAACTTATCTGTCAGTTAAATTATTCAAAAACTGTTTTAACATTCAGATTTTTCACAGGTACAAAGAGTCACCATTATTTAAGTGCAGCAACTTTGTGGAGGACTTCAGACATGAACCTAAATGTATCTGTGAAGTTGTTTGTCATGATATCAATAAAATGTTGGAATATTGTTATATCATTTCAAAATATATCATCAAAAAGAACAAATGTAGTAGGAGTGATGTACCCTTTCTTACATGTTACAACTTTCTAAACATAATTCAACTGATCAAACACCCATACAGCGAGATTTTTAACTGCTCAGTAGCAATTCAGTATTAATTTTTTGCATACATATTTATCAATATTAATATAATTTATAGATGCATTACATTGTTGACTGCTCACATCTGCCTAGCTGTATGGATGGGTAGTGATGACATACATTGTCCTCAATCTGTCCTATGATTTTTCACCTCTGATTCTATGTGAATTTTAGCTGATCAGAGATACTGCATATGCATGTCCAATGATAAACAGAGGGCAAATACAGACCGACATTTGACTTTGTCTTCCGAGCAGTATATAACACTGATGTATTTTCCTAGTTTTATCAATTATAAGGAAAGAAATTGTAATTGCCGGACGAACAAAGTTTTTTTTTTGTATTTATTACCTGCACTTATTGACAATATGGGTCAAAGTAGCATTTTTCTTGTCTTTATTTTGGCCAAAGTTGACTTAGCTTTGTCATACTATTATGTTGACTTTGTATTAAATGTTAAAGATATTTGATGTAAATGTTGAGAAATAGTCGTAATAAATGTTGAAAAATAGTCTTAATAAGACCATGTAGCAGGAAGAAGAAAGATATGAATTTGATAATTCTTATTTAAGTTGTAAGACAGTTTTTTCCTAAGACATGTGTTTCAGAGCTGCTAATGGTGATATTTTAGAGGATGGATTGTTCAAGTTACAGCATGCTTCAATATTATAATCCCATTATTGTTGTTGTCATCAACATTGTAATCATCGTCAACATCATGATTCATCTCAACATTTGTTACCATTTCAATTCTCATCATCTTCAGTCATCATTATTATCATCATCATCATCAACAATAATAATCAGTGTCAGCTTTATCTTCGTCATCATCACCATTGTCGTCATCATCATTGTTGTCATCATCGTTGTCGTCATCATCATCATTGTCATCATCATCGTTGTCATCATCATTGTCATCATCATCGTTGTCATCATCATCGTTGTCATCATCGTTGTCATCGTCGTTGTCATCATCATTGTCGTCATTGTCATGAATTGCCATCATAACCCTTGCCTTTGTATTAGTCCTGTAGAAACCACACGCTGGCCAGTTTTCTTTCAAGCTTGATCTTTACTTGTGGTGAACATAAAGCAACAGTAACATCATATGACGAGATGTCCACAAAATGCTAAGATGTTTACTGTATATAGGGTAGACACTTTTATATTACAACTTGTTCTTTTAATTTGTATATCAAGATGTCATCATCAATTCGTATGAATATTTAAAGTTTTTAATTTCTTGACGGTTTATTGTTTACCTTGTCATTTTTTGTTTTTGAACCAAAAATGTTACTTCACACGTTGATAAGAAATACAATATTTTAAGCCTGTAATAACTGTTGGTGTTTTGATTTAATGGACACTGTGTAATCAACCATCGCTGTGTTGACTCGTGTATTCAGTGAATTAGGGAGCATTGATACCCAAGACTAGGGAGTATTGAGCTTTGTAACCTCTAGTGAAGGGTATACAGTTCAACAATCTGTACTGACTGATCTTTGTAACCTCTAATGAAGATCCAAGGTCTACAGTTCAATGATCTATCGACCTTCTGGTGATCATTTCAGCTATATGTATATGATACCAGATTATAATGTTCGATTTATCATCCAAGATGTTTACATTCTTGTCACCAGAGATACAAATAGAATTACTTAAAAAACACAAAAACGACAATCATTATTAAAAGTGTCAGTTTATTGGTCCTCAAGGATATCACATTTCACAGTGGATTTTTTCAGTAATGGTAGACAGGAGAGCAAGCTCGAAAACATCTTAGTGGACAACATAAATCTTAAAACTTCAATAAAACAAAAACAAAATTCATCTGAAAACCTAGTCTGAAAACTCTAACGTTTGTCTATACATAAGTCGTCATCCATATCACTTACATTGAAAATCTATTCAATACTTATTATACATTAAAAATTCAAACATGTTTTTTTTTTTTTTAATTTGCTTGGTACAAACAAGGGGACAATTTAATACTGACTTGATTTTGATATTACTTATATCTGGTGTATATCTATAGCGTTAATAAGTGAGATATAAGTGTGCTATCAGACATAACTCTGTGAATGTGTAATCGAGTCATTCTTTTACAAATATTTACCAAACAAATTATTGAAAAATTCCCACGTATGTACAACAAAAAATTATATATGTAAACAAAGAGAAAAGATGGTTCAGAAATGTTTTGATTGTATTCTCAATATCCTTGCCATCAATTAAACTAAATAGCAACATTTCAAGGGAATTTACTAAACTCTTATCAGTGTTACAAATGTTGACACTTATACCCCACATCAACCTTACACATGAGAAATTTTATAGGTGGAAACAAATGGTGAAAGACAAGTTTAAGAGAAGAGGGGATTCAGAAAAAGTATGTAACGTGAACATCAAAAAACAAAAATGTGAATTCACTTTTGGTGTGAAAGTACGAGACTGAACTTCAATGGTGGAGGTCTTAGGTACTGTGATTCAGTTGGGATAACAAACATTTCATTCATTCTGGAAAATGATATGACAAGTAAATAAACAAATTCTCATATAAAAACTACTAATAAAATTTATAACTAATAATATGACTAGAATACCGGACTGCAAGTGATATGATACTTATTATCAACAGTTAATAGGGTATTAACAAGTCTCCTGATATTGTATAGGAAAGAGAGCACAGAGTCTATTATCAACACCGTCCCACCAATAGATAACACTTATCCCATGTTCATCAACAGGAACTGGCTCATCATGATGAAATACTTTCCCAAATGAGGAAAGCTTCAAAACATTCTTTTCAGGATAAAAACTGTTTGACAGGTTGAAACTGTGAGGTATAATATCATTATAATATTTTTGCTACAGCTCATGTTAAACTCAACGTAAGAAAGATTCATACCAAAACAAAAATCAAACATTAGCTCACATACTCGATATCACAAACGCCTGGTACTATCATCAGACACAACAGGTTTTTTTATCATTCAAACTGAAAACCGGGAAAAGCACAGGAATAAAGACCAGAACGACATGTTTTATACTTTGTCCATCTGGATGGGATTTTGTAGAAAATTCACAGGTAAACAGGGTTGACTTTCACATGGACATCAGGCAACGTATTAGAGATCAGCGACAAGGACCAGTAATGTCTTCTATTGGTTGAGGTATCTGGGCTATCAAGCCCAGTGATGTCTCTACAATATTTCACCTCGGTTACCACACAATCACTCACAAGGTATTCATTACATTTTACCTACGACATTATCACAGGGTATTCCGACTCGCCTGCCACTAGAAGTAAGAAAATATCCCTCATCAGTCTGTGTTTCAGTTCTTAACTTACATACTGTGTTATTTAATTAATCAGCACTTCCTGAAGCTTTTGTATATTATTATAATGATAAATATTACAGCAATATTATGTTCTCTTTACCAAGGAAAATCTACTGGAGGTCATTACAAGGTCACCTTGAAAATCTATTGAAGGTTACTACAAGGTCAAATCCATGGTGAATTTGGTGTTTGTTAATGTTATCTTTTTCACTGCTAAAGTTTTCTCCAAATATGGAGATAGAACAGCAAAATCTCAATAATACAAATCTAGTTAACAATGTTATTAACATAGTACTGATCAATATTCTATATATCACAAACACAATCCGACACATCAAATCATATATAATAACAAATAAAGCAAAACACAGAATGTACAGGGCAAGGGGCGAAACCACAACAGTTGTGTAAAAACAAAACAGACATTCTGTAAACCATGTTTCACTACAGTAGTTAAGAGGTCTTAAATACAATATTCTATAAATTGTGCACCATTAAAGTAGTAAAGAGAATCTCAGATACAACATTCTGTAAACTTTGCTTCATTACAGCAGTATAAAGGTTTTAGACACAATATTCTATAAATTGTCTACCATTAAAGAAGTAGAGAAGTCTACAACACAATAAAACAACAAGTAACCTATGAATCATCATTAGAACACGTGTGACATGTCTGAGTAGAGTCAATCTTTGTGTCACTTTAGAAGTCTTCTTGACTATCCTAAAAGACCTCCACATTTTATTTAGATAATATTTATTTGAAACAAATCTTTGGGTAAGATATTCACACCTGGATTACAGATAAAATTATTAAGACGACAACACCTAATTCTCCCAGAAGATATCATTAAAGGGATGTAACTCCTCAGCATATTATTTAAAAAGAGGGAGGTGAATCTAACTTCAATTCTAAGTTTTAAAAAAGAACTAGTTGAAAAAGCGAGAGTATAAATTGCATAACAGCTCATATAATATCTTTCAAAGATTAAGTAATAGCAAGTTCACAGCTACAGATTGCGGGTTTCAAATTTCAGTACAAAAATGATGAAGAAAGTCAGCAACCTTAGCTCTGGACAAACTTCCATTTACAGACAGATGGACGGACATCCGAATTCCAGTATATCCCAGACCTTCTGACTTTGAGCTGAACATATATATACTTTGTTAAACAATATTTCACTGGAATAAATTTGGAATCAGGTAGATTACTATACAATAGTTCCATCCAAAACACTACAAGATATGTGAATGAACAAATTAGAATCACAGTAAGATACAAGTCACATGAAACCTGACCAATTAGAATGAGGGTAACAAACAAACCAGACATATAACAAATTTGAAATCTAAATTTGATTATAACACAATATAGTAAAAGACAGTTAACCTTTTTAAACTGACCTAAGTACACACTGCTAGGAAACATCGGCCAGTGTACATTTCATTCTATAATTAAAAACATGCACATCACTCATAGCAAAAATATGGCTTCCTTTGTAAACTAATAGTATGTATTAGCAAAAATACTACATCTTCACATTAATGATAATCTAAAACCATGAGAAATCAAAAATGGAAAAAACACAATGAAGCATGACTATTCAATGAATTAGTCTCTCAGTGAATATGTACAGATGATGAGTTGGTACTAAGTCTAGACACTAGATGTTGGATAGAACCACCATATTCAATAAGGAATAGTGCTGGTGTTACTATAGTAAATTATATAACTACACAGTCAATGACCATCACAATGCTGGTAGTGACTCTTGGATCTTGGTCTACAACCAAGCTTGCAATGTAATAATGTAATAATAAGTTTAAGCTTGTCAATGCAATGTGAAAAATTACATACATTTAAGTTTGCCAAGCCCTGTGGATAATAATTTAAGTTTAAACTTGTCAAGCCCCTGTGGACAATTACATAAGTTTAAACTTGCCAAGGCTTTATGGATAATTTTACAAGTTTAAACTTGCCAAGGCCTTGTGGACAATTACATAAGTTTAAACTTGTCAAGGTCCTGTGGACAATTACATAAGTTTAAACTTGTCAAGGCCTTGTGAACAAATATACAAGTTTAAACATGTCAAGGCCCTGTAAACAATTACATAAGTTTAAACTTGTCAAGGCCCTGTGGACAAATACATAAGTTTAAATATGTCAAGGCCCTGTAAACAATTACATAAGTTTAAACTTGTCAAGGCCTTGTGAACAAATATACAAGTTTAAACATGTCAAGGCCCTGTGGACAATTACATATGTTTAAACTTGTCAAGGCCTTGTGGACAATTATACAAGTTTAAACATGTCAAGGCCCTGTGGACAATTACATATGTTTAAACTTGTCAAGGCCTTGTGGACAATTATACAAGTTTAAACTTGTCAAGGCCCTGTGGACAATTATACAAGTTTAAACATGTCAAGGCCCTGTGGACAATTACATATGTTTAAACTTGTCAAGGCCCTGGGGACAATAACATTAGTTTAAACTTGTCAAGGCCTTGTGGACAATTATACAAGTTTAAACTTGTCAAGGCTCTGTGGACAAATACATAAGTTTAAACTTGTCACATTCCTGAAGATCAAAAAGCTAAGCTTAAGCTAGCCAAGACAGAGTCGACTTCTGACCTATGCCTATCATGTTTATGTGGATATGTGATATTGGGTATTATGGAGAAAAGGACAACCTAAACCAAGTCTTGGAAATACTATAAGTATCTTAGTGCTGTGTATCTTAGAGGCACGATTTAGGTGATCTTAGCCTTAGGATACAGTATCTGCTATATACATCATGAAAAACAAATCAATTTGTACACTTAAATAGTGCTTTCTTTTTATATTTTGTGTCAAATATATACAACCCATTCATCACTCATTATGTTAAGTGTACAATTTTCCCAAACAAACATTACATTATACTATTGCAATCAAAATATTGCCCCTAATAAACCAGCACCTCCTCATGGTTGATGCCACAACCTAATCATGCAGCACCTCCTGACAGCTGATGCCACTACATAATGATGCAGCACCTCCTGACAGCTGATGTATAGTGATGCAGCACTTTGTGATAATACCATGACATATTCATGCAGCATCCCTGATGATTGATGCCACTACATAATGATGCAGCACCTCCTAATGGTTGATGCCACTACATAATGATGTAGCAGCCCTGATGGCAGATGCCACTACATAATGATGCAGCACCTCCTAATGGTTGATGCCACTTCATAATGATGTAGCACCCCTGATGGCAGATGCCACTACATAATGATGCAGCACCTCCTGATGGTTGATGCCTCTCCTCATGGTAGATACCTTTCCCTTACGATATATCTCCTGGCTTCCACCACTAATGATGCAGCACCTCACGGTTGATAAGACTTGTCTCCACCTCGTCGTCCGAGTCAGACTCGGACGGTGCTGCCCGGACATCTTTAGACCATTGATTAGTGAGGTAGTCCATCTGTGTTCGACCCTCACGAACTTCCTGTAAAAAATAATTAAATAGAGTTCGTTCCTCACAATCTGGCCATCAATCAGTGACAGACCACTGTCCTGATGGACTGAACTTTCCTTAAAAGATTTGTGTTAGTTTGGATCAGGTACATTGACCTTCCCTATAGTGTTGTGTTGGTTGGGACCTGGAGGATTGACCTTCCCTATATAGTGTTGTGTTAGTTTGAGACCTGGAGGATTGACCTTCTCTATATAGTGTTGTGTTAGTTTGAGACCTGGAGGATTGACCTTCTCTATATAGTGTTGTGTTGGCTGGGACCTGGAGGATTGACCTTCCCTATATAGTGTTGTGTTAGTTTGAGACCTGGAGGATTGACCTTCTCTATATAGTGTTGTGTTAGTTTGAGACCTGGAGGATTGACCTTCTCTATATAGTGTTGTGTTGGCTGGGACCTGGAGGATTGACCTTCCCTATATAGTGTTGTGTTAGTTTGAGACCTGGACGATTGACCTTTCCTATATAGTGTTGTGTTAGTTTGAGACCTGGAGGATTGACCTTCCCTATATAGTGTTGTGTTGGTTGAGACCTGGAGGATTGACCTTCCCTATATAGTGGTGTGTTGGTTGGGACCTGGAGGATTGACCTTCCCTATAAAGTGTTGTGTTGGTTGAGACCTGGAGGATTGACCTTCCCTATATAGTGGTGTGTTGGTTGGGACCTGGAGGATTGACCTTCCCTATATAGTGTTGTGCTGGTTGAGACCTGGAGAATTGACCTCCCTATATAGTGTTGTGTTGGTTGGGACCTGGAGGATTGACCTTCCCTATATAGTGTTGTGTTGGTTGAGACCAGGAGGATTGACCTTCCCTATATAGTGGTGGGTTTATTTGTGCCTGACATTCCCTATATAGTGGTGTGTTGGGTGAGACCTGGAGGATTGGCCTTCCCTATATAGTGGTGTGTTGGTTGAGACCTGGAGGATTGACCTTCCCTATACATTGGTGTGTTGCCTGGGACCTGGAGGATTGACCTTCCTATATAGTGTTGTGTTAGTTTGAGACCTGGAGGATAGACCTTCCCTATATAGTGTTGTGTTAGTTTGAGACCTGGAGGATTGACCTTCCCTATATATTGGTGTGTTGGCTGGGACCTGGAGGATTGACTTTTCCTATATAGTGTTGTGTTGGTTGAGACCTGGAGGATTGACCTTCCCTATATAGTAGTGTGTTAGTTTGAGACCTGGAGGATTGACCTTCTCTATATAGTGTTGTGTTGGCTGGGACCTGGAGGATTGACCTTCCTATAAAGTGTTGTGTTGGTTGAGACCTGGAGGACTGACCTTCCCTATATAGTGTTGTGTTGGTTGAGACCAGGAGGATTGACCTTCCCTATATAGTGGTGGGTTTATTTGTGCCTGGTGGATTGACATTCCCTATATAGTGGTGTGTTGGGTGAGACCTGGAGGATTGGCCTTCCCTATATAGTGGTGTGTTGGTTGAGACCTGGAGGATTGACCTTCCCTATATAGTGTTGTGTTGGCTGGGACCTCGAGGATTGACCTTCCTATATAGTGTAATGTTGGTTGAGGCCTGGAGGACTGACCTTCCCTATATAGTGTTGTGTTAGTTTGAGACCTGAAGGATTGACCTTCCCTATATAGTGTTGTGTTAGTTTGAGACCTGGAGGATTGACCTTCCCTATATAGTGTTGTGTTGGTTGAGACCTGGAGGATTGACCTTCCCTATATAGTGGTGTGTTGGTTGAGACCTGGAGAATTGACCTTCACTATATAGTGTTGTGTTGGTTGAGACCTGGATGATTGACCTTCCCTATATAGCGTTGTGTTGGTTGAGACCTGGAGGATTGACCTTCCCTATATAGTGGTGTGTTGGTTGGGACCTGGAGGATTGACCTTCCCTATATAGTGTTGTGTTGGTTGAGACCTGGAGAAATGACCTCCCTATATAGTGTTGTGTTGGTTGGGACCTGGAGGATTGACCGTCCTATATAGTGTTGTGTTGGTTGGGACCTGGAGGATTGACCTTCCCTATATAGTGGTGTGTTGGTTGGGACCTGGAGGATTGACCTTCCCTATATAGTGGTTTGATAGTTTGAGACCTGGAGGACTGACCGTCTTATATAGTGTTATGTTAGTTTGAGACCTGGAGGATTGACCTTCCCTATATAGTAGTGTGTTAGTTAGAGACCTGGAGGATTGACCTTCTCTATATAGTGTTGTGTTGGCTGGGACCTGGAGGATTGACCTTCCTATATAGTGTTGTGTTGGTTGAGACCTCGAGGACTGACCTTCCCTATATAGTGTTGTGTTGGTTGAGACCTGGAGGATTGACCTTCCCTATATAGTGGTGGGTTTATTTGTGCCTTGTGGATTGACATTCCCTATATAGTGGTGTGTTGGGTGAGACCTGGAGGATTGGCCTTCCCTATATAGTGGTGTGTTGGTTGAGACCTGGAGGACTGACCTTCCCTATATAGTGTTGTGTTGGTTGAGACCTGGAGGATTGACCTTCCCTATATAGTGGTGGGTTTATTTGTGCCTTGTGGATTGACATTCCCTATATAGTGGTGTGTTGGGTGAGACCTGGAGGATTGGCCTTCCCTATATAGTGGTGTGTTGGTTGAGACCTGGAGGATTGACCTTCCCTATATAGTATTGTGTTGGCTGGGACCTGGAGGATTGACCTTCCTATATAGTGGTGTGTTGGTTGAGGCCTGGAGGACTGACCTTCCCTATATAGTGTTGTGTTAGTATAGACCTTGTGAATTGACCTTACTATATAGTGTTGATTTTATTTGTGCCTGTTGGATTGACATTCCCTATACATGAATATGACCAGGCAATAGGAGCTACATATTCTGTGAAAAAGCAATGGAAAATGGATAGGTGTAATTACTTCAGCAGAAACTGATTTTCTATTTAAAGTGTCTGTGACCTTGGCATCTGACCTCAGGAAATATAACTAGATATAATATCCAACATATGTTGGTACTCTACCTGTTGTGTGAAACGTCTAGTGAAGAAAGGCATTAGGTATTTAGCATCAATTTTAAGGAATCCCTTCAGGTGAGGTTTGCTGGTGAAGCTGATTTCATATTCCTCCTCTGTCAATTCTGACAAAAGTTCAGAATCCACAGCATCGCCCTGAAATGGAAAAATAACACCATAAGTGACTGCAACATGTTTGCTAGCATAGCTGATATCTGCTGAAGTGGTTGATGTCTTTATTTCATAAAGCTTAATTCTAATGTTCAGCTGTATGTCAGTGTTTTAACAGTATGTCTTTTACATTACATATGAGTATATAAAGTAACTTGACAAGGAACATATTGATTATTAGTTAGGAGTCTGTCTTATTGAATCTGTTTCTATCTTATACATGTATGTGTAAACCTGTTTGACAGACTATTTATCACCAGTACAATAGAGTAATGCCAATTAACAAGAGATCCTAGGGGGTTCTTAGTACCCATCACTGTTTGATCTTTATTTGTTCTTTAAAGCTGGATCTTTTTCCCTTACTTTCTATTCTTTCCTCTGTTTTCGTTCTTCATAATATGAAATTTGATTTCTTTCAATAATATTTAATTGTCAAATCCAAGATGGCCACCGGTCAGTGACCAATCAGTCTCAAAAATCAAACAACTAGGGGCCAATGATCCATTCAATACTTCTCAAGAAATAGCTGTTACAAACATTTGCAGTCATAATCAAAGATGGCTGTATGTCAGTCATTTTCTGATCAGTAATTCTTCAGACAAAGTGAAAAAAATTGTTTACAGATGGATTACCAGCAACTGTCAAAGGATAATTTCAGGCTAATCATACAGTATGTGGATAACTGTTTTACTTACCACAAGTGATTTTAGTGTGTGGAATACTGTATTACTTATCACAAGTACAATACAGTAGGAATAAGTGAATATATTGTGTGGATTACGGTATTACTTATCAGAAGTACAATATGGAAGCAATAAGTGAATATATTGTGTGGATTACTGTATTACTTATCACAAGTACAATACAGTAGGAATAAGTGAATATAGTGTGTAGATTACTGTATTACTTATCACAAGTACAATATGATAAAAAGAAGTGAATGTATTATGTAGATTACTGTATTACTTATCACAAGTACAATACAGTAGGAATAAGTGAATATATTGTGTGGATTACGGTATTACTTATCAGAAGTACAATATGGAAGCAATAAGTGAATATATTGTGTGGATTACTGTATTACTTATCACAAGTACAATATGATAAAAATAAGTGAATGTATTATGTAGATTACTGTATTACTTATCACAAGTACAATACAGTAGGAATAAGTGAATATATTGTGTGGATTACGGTATTACTTATCAGAAGTACAATATGGAAGCAATAAGTGAATATAGTGTGTGGATTACTGTATTACTTATCACAAGTACAATATGATAAAAATAAGTGAATGTATTATGTAGATTACTGTATTACTTATCACAAGTACAATACGGTAGGAATAAGTGAATATAGTGTGTGGATTACTGTATTACTTATCAGAAGTACAATATGGAAGCAATAAGTGAATATATTGTGTGGATTACTGTATTACTTATCACAAGTACAATACAGTAGGAATAAGTGAATATAGTGTGTGGATTACTGCATTACTTATCACAAGTACAATATGATAAAAATAAGTGAATGTATTATGTAGATTACTGTATTACTTATCACAAGTACAATACGGTAGGAATAAGTGAATATAGTGTGTGGATTACTGTATTACTTATCAGAAGTACAATACGGTAGGAATAAGTGAATATAGTGTGTGGATTACTGTATTACTTATCACAAGTACAATACTTTAGGAATAAGTGAATATAGTGTGTGGATTACTGTATTACTTATCACAAGTACAATACCGTAGGAATAAGTGAATATAGTGTGTGGATTACAGTATTATATCACAAGTACAATACGGTAGGAATTATTAATTACAGAGTGTAAACTAATGTATCACTATAACAAGTTCACTAATGATAGAGCAATAATAATGAAATAGTTTGAGAAATACTACTTGACAAAGGTAGAACCAAACAAAATTATGTGAGAAACAATATATATTATCAATCATTTTATACTTTATATTCTAATACATTGTAGTGTAAAGTACAACAATAGCTCAGTAAAAACTTACCATTTCTCTGGTCTTACTTAAGGATACCTCCACACCAGTTTTACTTTTCTTTTTCTTTGTTTTATTAGCATTAAGTAACTGCAATAGAAAAACAATATTTAAAACAAACTTGTTAATATGATTTATATAACAGAAAGAATAAGCAAATGATATTTTTTCTGTAAAATGTATACAGACAATATCCTGATAGAGAAAACTAGTTTATCAGATAATTCAGAGCCAAAACAAAAGAGTTGTACTGTATTTTCATGGTATCTATATAAATGCTACACATTCGTGACAGGACAACAGTTCTGGCAGACAGACGACCGAATTATTTACACACCAGAAATTATAAAAATGTAACAAAGAGATTGTTTCCTGTTTCTGCCATGAGTAAATACCCCCTGAGCCTTAAAACCTATACAACATCTTTGCTTTTATTCTTTTTCAATGACATCACATTAAAACATGTAGTAGTAAAGGCAGTCGTGACATTTATATACACTACAGTAGGATCAGTGTATACAAACCTTCATCATGGGCATAGTGGCGCCCCCTAGGAACATGACAGTGAACAGAACGATGATTAACGTAGCAGTGACCACAACAAAACGCTTCTCAGGAGAAAAATCCAAGTGCAGACTCAAGGCAAAAGCAATTGCACCTCGTAACCCTGTCAATACAGTTTATACAAATATCATCACACAATAGTGCCTCGTTACCCTGTCAATAAAGTTTATACAAATATCATCACACAATGGTGCCTCGTAACCGTGTCAATACAGTTTATACAAATATCATCACACAATGGTGCCTCGTTACCCTGTCAATATAGTTTATACAAATATCATCACACAATGGTGCCTCATTACCCTGTCAATACAGTTTATACAAATATCATCACACAATGGTGCCTCGTTACCCTGTCAATAAAGTTTATACAAACATCATCACACAATGGTGCATTGTTACCCTGTCAATACAGTTTATATAGATATCATCACACAATGGTGCCTCGTTACCCTGTCAATACAGTTTATACAAATATCATCACACAATGGTGCATTGTTACCCTGTCAATACAGTTTATAAAATATCATCACACAATGGTGCATTGATACCCTGTCAATACATTTTATACAAATACCATCACACAATGGTGCATTGTTACCCTGTCAATACAGTTTATATAGATATCATCACACAATGGTGCATTGTTACCCTGTCAATACAGTTTATATAAATATCATCACACAATGGTGCCTTGTAGCCCTGTCAATACAGTTTATACAAATATCATCACACAATGGTGCCTTGTAGCCCTGTCAATACAGTTTATACAAATATCATCACACAATGGTGCCTCGTTACCCTGTCAATACAGTTTATACAAATATCATCACACAATGGTGCCTCGTTACCCTGTCAATAAAGTTTATACAAACATCATCACACAATGGTGCCTCGTTACCCTGTCAATACAGTTTATACAAATATCATCACACAATGGTGCATTGTTACCCTGTCAATACAGTTTATATAGATATCATCACACAATGGTGCCTCGTTACCCTGTCAATACAGTTTATACAAATATCATCACACAATGGTGCATTGTTACCCTGTCAATACAGTTTATACAAATATCATCACACAATGGTGCATTGATACCCTGTCAATACATTTTATACAAATACCATCACACAATGGTGCATTGTTACCCTGTCAATAAAGTTTATACAAACATCATCACACAATGGTGCATTGTTACCCTGTCAATACAGTTTATATAGATATCATCACACAATGGTGCCTCGTTACCCTGTCAATACAGTTTATACAAATATCATCACACAATGGTGCATTGTTACCCTGTCAATACATTTTATACAAATACCATCACACAATGGTGCATTGTTACCCTGTCAATACAGTTTATATAGATATCATCACACAATGGTGCATTGTTACCCTGTCAATACAGTTTATATAAATATCATCACACAATGGTGCCTTGTAGCCCTGTCAATACAGTTTATACAAATATCATCACACAATGGTGCCTTGTAGCCCTGTCAATACAGTTTATACAAATATCATCACACAATGGTGCCTCGTTACCCTGTCAATACAGTTTATACAAATATCATCACACACTGGTGCATTGTTACCCTGTCAATATTATTCATATGAAAGTGACACTCAATGATCCTATGTAAAAATGTCAATGGATATTAATGAGGGCAGATTATACACTACTGACAGGGATGTTAAGCCATTTGATTAATCGAGAAGAGAAAGGAAGGAGATTTGTTTTGCCTGAGATACAATCCTGCAGTAATATACATACCACTAAACCACATGATAAATTGCATCTTTCGTGTTATCTTGTGTTCTCGAAAGTAATTGAGCAGGAAGGACAAAGGAAATATATTCAGAGCTCGACCAATCAATATCAAAACCTGAAACAGAAACACAGAATATTAACAAGAGGCCCAATGGGCCTGCATTGCGCACCTGGTATACAATGGCTTTCACAATTTCATTTCAAATGATTGAAATATATCCTAGAAACCTACCAGCTAAATATAATATTCTAGGTCTTTTGGTTAAACAGAAAAATTCGACAAATTTGACCCCTGTTACATTGATTATAGGTCAAGGTAATTTCTTTTCACAAATGTTGTTGGCATTCTTTCCACGAACCTTCCAACCCAATATCATCATTCTAGACCCTTTGTTTAGTCAGAAGAAATTGTTTAATGGTTTTGACAAATTTCACACCAGTGATCTTGATTGTATGTCAAGGTCATTTCCTTTTCACTTTGTTGACCTTCATCCAAGAAACCTTCCAGCCAAATATCATCATGATTCTAGGCTTTTTGGTCAATGAGAAGAAGTCATTTGAAAATTTTTGAACAAATTTGACACTGTGAGGTTGATAACGGGTATAAGTAATTTCTTTTTCCATTTTTGTCAGCCTTAAGCACAGAAAACTACCTACCAAATATCAAGATTCCAGGCCTTTTGGTTAATAAGAAGTCATTTGACAGCTTTTTTACACAAATCTGCCCCTGTGAGCTTGAACATGGGTAAAGGTGATTTCCTTTCATATACTTAATTTGCCTTTATCTAAGAAACTTGACAGCCAAATATCATGATTCTAGGCTTTTTGGTTACTGAGAAGAAGTCATTTAAACAAAAAATCTGACATCAGACAGACAAGGACAATGAACCACAGGCCAGATGAGATAAACAGAAACCTTGATACTTTAACTATCTTTATCATACATCTGTATATTATTGACCTGTTTAAACTTAAATTGCAGTTTTTGGGGCAATAACATTGACGAAATAGAAATGTAAATACAATCTTATTTAATAAACATGAAATTCTAATTTCCAAACAGCGATGAGATGAGACATTTTATGTTAAAAAACAGACAATCCTGTGGCTACTTACAATGCTCCAGATTATAAAGGCAGGTTTCACTATCAGCTTGAAACTAAAAAATGCCAGACCTAGGTAGGCAAACACACAGGTCTCTGAAATCAACAAAGCACACCATAAACTTCACTTACATAAAATGAGAGTTTAATACACATTGATTAAGTTATGTTAACTTTGTGAGAAAACATTGAAAATATTCTGCAAGTATCCTGGTGTATTTCTATGAAGAGATAAGCAGTAAACAAAAGGAAATATATATTGTTAACAATTATATCTTCTTTTTTACCGACCAGTATCAGCAGAATAATAATATAAACACAATGTATAGAGGGACTGATTCTGAATATCTAATCTAACTCACCTGTCATAAAGGTAATGGTTCTGAATATCTGTTATGTGTCACCTGTCATAAAGGTAACAGTTCTGAATATCTGTTATGTGTCACCTGTCATAAAGTTAACAGTTCTGAATATCTGTTATGTGTCACCTGTCATAAAGGTAATGGTTCTGAATATCTGTTATGACTCACCTGTCATAAAGGTAATGGTTCTGAATATCTGTTATGACTCACCTGTCATAAAGGTAATGGTTCTGAATATCTGTTATGACTCACCTGTCATAAAGGTAATGGTTCTGAATATCTGTTATGACTCACCTGTCATAAAGGTAATGGTTCTGAATATCTGTTATGACTCACCTGTCATAAAGGTAATGGTTCTGAATATCTGTTATGACTCACCTGTCATAAAGGTAATGGTTCTGAATATCTGTTATGACTCACCTGTCATAAAGGTAATGGTTCTGAATATCTGTTATGTGTCACCTGTCATAAAGGTTTTGGTTCTGAATATCTGTTATGACTCACCTGTCATAAAGGTTATGGCACTGAATATCTGTTATGACTCACCTGTCATAAAGGTTTTGGTTCTGAATATCTGTTATGACTCACCTGTCATAAAGGTTATGACACTGAATATCTGTTATGACTCACCTGTCATAAAGGTTATGGCACTGAATATCTGTTATGAGTCACCTGTCATAAAGGTTATGGCACTGAATATCTGTTATGAGTCACCTGCCATAAAGGTTATGGTTCTGAATATCTGTTATGCGTTACCTGTCATAAAGGTTATGGCACTGAATAACTGTTATGAGTCACTTGCCATAAAGGTTATGGTTCTGAATATCTGTTATGAGTCACCTGTCATAAAGGTAACAGTTCTGAATATCTGTTATATGTCACCTGTCATAAAGGTAACAGTTCTGAATATCTGTTATGACTTACCTGTCATAAAGGTAACAGTTCTGAATATCTGTTATGTGTCACCTGTCATAAAGTTAACAGTTCTGAATATCTGTTATGTGTCACCTGTCATAAAGGTAATGGTTCTGAATATCTGTTATGACTCACCTGTCATAAAGGTAATGGTTCTGAATATCTGTTATGACTCACCTGTCATAAAGGTAATGGTTCTGAATATCTGTTATGACTCACCTGTCATAAAGGTAATGGTTCTGAATATCTGTTATGACTCACCTTTCATAAAGGTTATGGCACTGAATATCTGTTATGAGTCACCTGCCATAAAGGTTATGGTTCTGAATATCTTTGTGAGAAAACATTGAAAATATTCTGCAAGTATCCTGGTGTATTTCTATGAAGAGATACGCAGTAAACAAAAGGAAATATATATTGTTAACAATTATATCTTCTTTTTTACCGACCAGTATCAGCAGAATAATAATATAAATACAATGTATAGAGGGACTGATTCTGAATATCTAATCTAACTCACCTGTCATAAAGGTAACAGTTCTGAATATCTGTTATATGTCACCTGTCATAAAGGTAACAGTTCTGAATATCTGTTATGACTTACCTGTCATAAAGGTAACAGTTCTGAATATCTGTTATGTGTCACCTGTCATAAAGGTAACAGTTCTGAATATCTGTTATGTGTCACCTGTCATAAAGTTAACAGTTCTGAATATCTGTTATGTGTCACCTGTCATAAAGGTAATGGTTCTGAATATCTGTTATGACTCACCTGTCATAAAGGTAATGGTTCTGAATATCTGTTATGACTCACCTATCATAAAGGTAATGGTTCTGAATATCTGTTATGACTCACCTGTCATAAAGGTAATGGTTCTGAATATCTGTTATGACTCACCTGTCATAAAGGTAATGGTTCTGAATATCTGTTATGACTCACCTGTCATAAAGGTAATGGTTCTGAATATCTGTTATGACTCACCTGTCATAAAGGTAATGGTTCTGAATATCTGTTATGACTCACCTGTCATAAAGGTAATGGTTCTGAATATCTGTTATGTGTCACCTGTCATAAAGGTTTTGGTTCTGAATATCTGTTATGACTCACCTGTCATAAAGGTTATGGCACTGAATATCTGTTATGACTCACCTGTCATAAAGGTAATGGTTCTGAATATCTGTTATGAGTCACCTGTCATAAAGGTTATGGCACTGAATATCTGTTATGACTCACCTGTCATAAAGGTTATGGCACTGAATATCTGTTATGACTCACCTGTCATAAAGGTTATGGCACTGAATATCTGTTATGAGTCACCTGCCATAAAGGTTATGGTTCTGAATATCTGTTATGCGTTACCTGTCATAAAGGTTATGGCACTGAATATCTGTTATGAGTCACCTGCCATAAAGGTAATGGTTCTGAATATCTGTTATGAGTCACCTGTCATAAAGGTAACAGTTCTGAATATCTGTTATGTGTCACCTGTCATAAAGGTAACAGTTCTGAATATCTGTTATGACTCACCTGTCATAAAGGTAATGGTTCTGAATATCTGTTATGTGTCACCTGTCATAAAGTTAACAGTTCTGAATATCTGTTATGTGTCACCTGTCAATATCTGAATATCTGTTATGACTCACCTGTCATAAAGGTAATGGTTCTGAATATCTGTTATGACTCACCTGTCATAAAGGTAATGGTTCTGAATATCTGTTATGACTCACCTGTCATAAAGGTAATGGTTCTGAATATCTGTTATGACTCACCTTTCTGTTATGCGTTACCTGTCATAAAGGTTATGGCACTGAATATCTGTTATGAGTCACCTGCCATAAAGGTAATGGTTCTGAATATCTGTTATGAGTCACCTGTCATAAAGGTTATGGCACTGAATATCTGTTATGACTCACCTGTCATAAAGGTAATGGTTCTGAATATCTGTTATGACTCACCTGTCATAAAGGTAATGGTTCTGAATATCTGTTATGTGTCACCTGTCATAAAGGTTTTGGTTCTGAATATCTGTTATGTGTCACCTGTCATAAAGGTAATGGTTCTGAATATCTGTTATGACTCACCTGTCATAAAGGTAATGGTTCTGAATATCTGTTATGACTCACCTGTCATAAAGGTAATGGTTCTGAATATCTGTTATGACTCACCTGTCATAAAGGTAATGGTTCTGAATATCTGTTATGACTCACCTGTCATAAAGGTTATGGTTCTGAATATCTGTTATGCGTTACCTGTCATAAAGGTTATGGCACTGAATATCTGTTATGAGTCACCTGCCATAAAGGTTATGGTTCTGAATATCTGTTATGAGTCACCTGTCATAAAGGTTATGGCACTGAATATCTGTTATGACTCACCTGTCATAAAGGTAATGGTTCTGAATATCTGTTATGACTCACCTGTCATAAAGGTAATGGTTCTGAATATCTGTTATGACTCACCTTTCATAAAGGTTATGGCACTGAATATCTGTTATGAGTCACCTGTCATAAAGGTTATGGTTCTGAATATCTGTTGTGACTCACCTGTCATAAAGGTTATGGCACTGAATATCTGTTATGAGTCACCTGTCATAAAGGTTATGGTTCTGAATATCTGTTGTGACTCACCTGTCATAAAGGTTATGGCACTGAATATCTGTTATGAGTCACCTGCCATAAAAGTTATGGTTCTGAATATCTGTTATGAGTCACCTGTCATAAAGGTTATGGCACTGAATATCTGTTATGAGTCACCTGTCATAAAGGTTATGACACTGAAAATCTGTTTAGACTCACCTGCCATGAAGGCAATGGTTCTGAATGTCTGTTGGGTAGTGATCTGTGTCACTGGTGACAGGTTCAAATGGGTGTAATGGGACATAACTATACCACACATAAGAATTGCCATGATCCCTGAAATAGTGACATTCCACATATCAAATCAGATTACAGGTTAGTGTCAATGTTGTTGTGATAATAAGGATGGATTATACTGTTTGATTTCAGGAGTCCACATTCTGTACATACAAGTTGTTATTTCAATGGGATCAGTGTCACTGTGCAAAGCAATAACTTTAAATTAAATGTATATATATATATCAGGTTTACAACACACACATGGTAGCGTAGAAAGACTAGTAAAACAAATCTTAAATACCAGGAAAGTGGTACATACCTGACAGATGGATCCCCTCTGCCAGGACGTATGGAAGATAGGAAAATGATAGCATCAAGCCAAACTCCAGAGATGGTGTCTTCCTCAAATCTATAAACTTTAACAGCTGAGATTGGTCAAGGGCGATAACTGTGTTATGGTTAATAAGATAGTAAAAGAGAAAAGACAATTTTATTATATATATATTTAAAGCTGTTACCTCCAATGCAAATAATTTACTCAATACAAATATAAATAGTTATTTTTGCCCTTTTTATACATATTCTTTGTTTTATTATTTCTAATACTGTCATTTCTATATATATTCTGTATATTTTATTATTTTTATATACTGTTATTTTTATATACACTCTGTATGTTTTATCATTTTTTATCCTGTTATTTTTATATATATTATACAGGTTTTATCATATTTTAACACTAAGTTGTTGCAATCAGAATACAAAAAAAAAATACTCAAGTTTATGTCTACTAGTCACATTTTGTACAGTTTACCTTGACATCTTGTGTACAAAGTTCTACTAGTCACATTTTGTACAGTTTACCTTGACATCTTGTGTACAAAGTTCTACTAGTCACATTTTGTACAGTTTACCTTGACATCTTGTGTACAAAGTTCTACTAGTCACATTTTGTACAGTTTACCTTGACATCTTGTGTACAAAGTTCTACTAGTCACATTTTGTACAGTTTACCTTGACATCTTGTGTACAAAGTTCTACTAGTCACATTTTGTACAGTTTACCTTGACATCTTGTGTACAAAGTTCTACTAGTCACATTTTGTACAGTTTACCTTGACATCTTGTGTACAAAGTTCTACTAGTCACATTTTGTACAGTTTACCCTGACATCTTGTGTACAAAGTTCTACTAGTCACATTTTGTACAGTTTACCCTGACATCTTGTGTACAAAGTTCTACTAGTCACATTTTGTACAGTTTACCTTGACATCTTGTGTACAAAGTTCTACTAGTCACATTTTGTACAGTTTACCTTGACAACTTGTGTATAAATTTCTACTAGTCACATTTTGTACAGTTTACCTTGACATCTTGTGTACAAGGCTTTGTCTACTGTACTCTCAATTTTTGACTGATGAACAAAGGATACCATAGCACTAACAATACCAAAGGCCAGGCCAATGGCTGAGGAGGCAAGGAACATCACACAGAATCGTCCAACAGCTGAGAAAAAGGCATTTATCCCACTAGTCACTACAACACCAGGCTGACTGAACTCCAATATTGTCCTACAATTTGAAAGCAATCTTCAATACTGACCACAAGGTAAAACAATATATGCCCATCAAATGACAAAGTGACCTACTTTTGTGTATCAGATTAAAGAGAAATATGAAAATGTAACAAGAATGAGTGTCAAAATCAAAATGCAGCTTATAAAATCAGGAATAAATGTTATCATTTAAAACAGAGTAAGACCAGTGGACAAGGTTAAAATTGCTGACAGAAACAATGTGTAATACATATTTTTCAAAACCAGACAAATCATTATGCTGGTTCAGAAACACTATTGCATTTCATTCCCTCATGTTATCATTTTGATGAATGTTTGAGTTATTTCCCCTGAAACTTTATCAATTGTATGTAATTTGACCTTACTTTGTGAGTACAATAGAAACTGCATCATTGAGAACACTCTCCCCAAACACCAACATATACAGGATAGGGTCAGCATCCAGAGCGTGGAAGATAGCTAGAGTGGCAACAGGATCCACTGCTGAGATCAGAGAACCAAATGCAAAACTCTCCACCAAGTCCAATTCGTAGGCTATCTTAGCCTGTAGCAATACATAATCACATACATAGAAATCTAATATATTTTATGTTGAAAATGATTAATCTAGCAACTGCAAGTCTATGGAATTACAGTGGGTCAGTCAGATTTACTGAGGTGAGACAAAGAGTGTGAGTCAGATTTACTGAGGAGAGACAAAGAGTGTGAGTCAGATTTACTGAGGTGAGACAAAGAGTGTGAGTCAGATTTACTGAGGAGGGACAAAGAGTGTGAGTCAGATTTACTGAGGAGGGACAAAGAGTGTGAGTCAGATTTATGAAGGAGAGACAAAGAGTGTGAGTCAGATTTATGAAGGAGAGACAAAGAGTGTGAGTCAGATTTACTGAGGAGGGACAAAGAGTGTGAGTCAGATTTACTGAGGAGGGACAAAGAGTGAGATTCAGATTTACTGAGGAGGGACAAAGAGTGTGAGTCAGATTTATGAAGGAGAGACAAAGAGTGTGAGTCAGATTTACTGAGGAGGGACAAAGAGTGTGAGTCAGATTTACTGAGGAGAGACAAAGAGTGTGAGTCAGATTTACTGAGGAGGGACAAAGAGTGTGAGTCAGATTTATGGAGGAGGGACAAAGAGTGTGAGTCAGATTTACTGAGGAGGGACAAAGAGTGTGAGTCAGATTTACTGAGGAGGGACAAAGAGTGAGAGTCAGATTTATGGAGGAAAGACAAAGAGTGAGAGTCAGATTTACTGAAGTGAGACAAAGAGTGTGAGTCAGATTTACTGAGGAGGGACAAAGAGTGTGAGTCAGATTTACTGAGGAGGGACAAAGAGTGTGAATCAGATTTACTGAGGAGAGACAAAGAGTGTGAGTCAGATTTACTGAGGAGAGACAAAGAGTGTGAGTCAGATTTACTGAGGAGGGACAAAGAGTGTGAGTCAGATTTACTGAGTGTGAGTCAGATTTACTGAGGAGAGACAAAGAGTGTGAGTCAGATTTACTGAGGAGAGACAAAGAGTGTGAGTCAGATTTACTGAGGAGGGACAAAGAGTGTGAGTCAGATTTACTGAGGAGGGACAAAGAGTGTGAGTCAGATTTACTGAGGAGAGACAAAGAGTGTGAGTCAGATTTATGAAGGAGAGACAAAGAGTGTGAGTCAGATTTACTGAGGTGAGACAAAGAGTGAGATTCAGATTTATGGAGGAGAGACAAAGAGTGTGAGTCAGATTTACTGAGGTGAGACAAAGAGTGTTTTACTGAAAGTTAAAGAGTGTGATCAGATTTACTGAGGAGGGACAAAGATTGTGAGTGTGAGTCAGATTTACTGAGGAGTGACAAAGAGTGAGATTCAGATTTACTGAGGAGGGACAAAGAGTGAGATTCAGATTTATGGAGGAGAGACAAAGAGTGTGAGTCAGATTTATTTAAGAGGATTTAATATTTATGGTAATAAAAAGTATATAGTAATGTGTTACAGACCCGACCAAGTAGGAAAATGCCGCCTCCCACAATCAGTGCTGATATCACAGTTCCAAAAATAGCAAATATCAAGATGGAACCTATGTTCTGAAAAAAGTTTCCCTGTACAAAAAAAATAAAAAAAATTGGTAAGATAAATGTTTAATGAAAACCGTCTTTTATTTGTTAATCAAAATATATCAGCTGTGAGATAGAAGACCTTGATTTTTATGGGTTTTTTTCTATTTTTAAAACAACTTTTTATTAAATGATATCTGAATAGTTTATCTGATTTTGCCAGCTGGTTAATAAACGTGACACAGCAGAACAAAATGTATGGCAACAGATCAGCCTACAGCCTGAATGGCATTGTTTTATTACACAGATGATACTGGTGTATTTATAAACTATAAAAATTCTTTTACCTTGTGTAAGTTATATCCTGATTCAAATATAATTGGTGGCAACAAAACAATGAAAAATATGGTCGGGCTGAAGGCTTCTTCATTCTGAAAACACAAAACAATATAAATTACCCAGAAACAAAACACAAAACAATGAAAAATATGGTCGGGCTGAAGGCTTCTTCATTCTGAAAACAAAGAACAATATAAATTACCCACAAAGGCAACCAAACACAAAACAATATAAATTACCCAGAAACAAAACACACAAAACAATGAAAAATATGGTCGGGCTGAAGGCTTCTTCATTCTGAAAACACAAAACAATACAAATTACCCAGAACAGAAACAAAATACAAAACAATATAAATTACCCCGAAACAAAACAAAACACAAAACAATATAAATTACCCAGAATGGAAACAAAACACAAAACAATATAAATTACCCAGAAACAAAACAAAACACAAAGCAATATAAATTACCCAGAATGGAAACAAAACACAAAACAATATAAATTACCCAGAAACAAAACACAAAACAATATAAATAACCCAGAAACAAAACCAAACACAAAACAATATAAATTACCAAGAAACAAAACACAAAACAAGACATTACAAATTACCCACAAAGGCAACAAAACACAAAACAATATAAATTACCCACAAAGGCAACCAAACACAAAACAATATAAATTACCCAAAAACAAAACACAAAACAATATAAATTACCCAAAAACAAAACACAAAACAATATAAATTACCCACAAAGGCAACCAAACACAAAACAATATAAATTACCCAAAAACAAAACACAAAACAATATAAATTACCCACAAACAAAACACAAAACAATATAAATTACCCAGAAACAAAACACAAAACAAAGCAATACAAATTACCCACAAAGGCAACCAAACACAAAACAATATAAATTACCCACAAAGGCAACCAAACACAAAACAATATAAATTACCCACAAACAAAACACAAAACAAAGCAATACAAATTACCCACAAAGGCAACCAAACACAAAACAATATAAATTACCCACAAAGGCAACCAAACACAAAACAATATAAATTACCCACAAAGGCAACCAAACACAAAACAATATAAATTACCCAGAACAGAAACAAAACACAAAACAATATAAATTACCCACAAAGGCAACAAAACACAAAACAATATAAATTACCAAGAAATGAACAAAACACAAAACAATATAAATTACCCAGAAACAAAACAAAACACAAAGCAATAAAAATTACCAAGAAATGAACAAAACACAAAACAATATAAATTACCCAGAAACAAAACAAAACACAAAACAATATAAATTACCCAGAAACAAAACACAAAACAATATAAATTACCCACAAAGGCAACAAAACACAAAACAATATAAATTACCAAGAAATGAACAAAACACAAAACAATATAAATTACCCAGAAACAAAACAAAACACAAAGCAATAAAAATTACCAAGAAATGAACAAAACACAAAACAATATAAATTACCCAGAAACAAAACAAAACACAAAACAATATAAATTACCCAGAATGGAAACAAAACACAAAACAATATAAATTACCCAGAAACAAAACACAAAACAATATAAATAACCCAGAAACAAAACCAAACACAAAACAATATAAATTACCAAGAAACAAAACACAAAACAAGACATTACAAATTACCCACAAAGGCAACAAAACACAAAACAATATAAATTACCCACAAAGGCAACCAAACACAAAACAATATAAATTACCCAAAAACAAAACACAAAACAATATAAATTACCCAAAAACAAAACACAAAACAATATAAATTACCCACAAAGGCAACCAAACACAAAACAATATAAATTACCCAAAAACAAAACACAAAACAATATAAATTACCCAGAAACAAAACACAAAACAATATAAATTACCCAGAAACAAAACACAAAACAAAGCAATACAAATTACCCACAAAGGCAACCAAACACAAAACAATATAAATTACCCACAAAGGCAACCAAACACAAAACAATATAAATTACCCACAAACAAAACACAAAACAAAGCAATACAAATTACCCACAAAGGCAACCAAACACAAAACAATATAAATTACCCACAAAGGCAACCAAACACAAAACAATATAAATTACCCACAAAGGCAACCAAACACAAAACAATATAAATTACCCAGAACAGAAACAAAACACAAAACAATATAAATTACCCACAAAGGCAACAAAACACAAAACAATATAAATTACCAAGAAATGAACAAAACACAAAACAATATAAATTACCCAGAAACAAAACAAAACACAAAACAATATAAATTACCCAGAATGGAAACAAAACACAAAACAATATAAATTACCCAGAAACAAAACAAAACACAGAACAACTTAAATTACCCAGAAACAAAACAAAACACAAAACAATAAAAATTACCCAGAATGGTAATAAAACACAGAACAACTTAAATTACCCAGAAACAAAACAAAACACAAAACAATATAAATTACCCAGAATGGTAATAAAACACAGAACAACTTAAATTACCCAGAAACAAAACAAAACACAAAACAATATAAATTACCCAGAATGGTAATAAAACACAGAACAACTTAAATTACCCAGAAACAAAACAAAACACAAAACAATATAAATTACCCAGAATGGTAATAAAACACAGAACAACTTAAATTACCCAGAAACAAAACAAAACACAAAACAATATAAATTACCCAGAATGGTAATAAAACACAGAACAACTTAAATTACCCAGAAACAAAACAAAACACAAAACAATATAAATTAATCAAAAATGAACAAAACAACATAAATTACCCAGAAACAAAACAAAACACAAAACAATATAAATTACCCAGAAACAAAACAAAACACAAAACAATATAAATTACCCAGAATGGTAATAAAACACAGAACAACTTAAATTACCCAGAAACAAAACAAAACACAAAACAATATAAATTACCCAGAATGGTAATAAAACACAGAACAACTTAAATTACCCAGAAACAAAACAAAACACAAAACAATATAAATTAATCAAAAATGAACAAAACAATATAAATTACCCAGAATGGTAATAAAACACAGAACAACTTAAATTACCCAGAAACAAAACAAAACACAAAACAATATAAATTACCCAGAATGGTAATAAAACACAGAACAACTTAAATTACCCAGAAACAAAACAAAACACAAAACAATATAAATTAATCAAAAATGAACAAAACAATATAAATTACCCAGAAACAAAACAAAACACAAAACAATATAAATTAATCAAAAATGAACAAAACAATATAAATTACCCAGAAACAAAACAAAACACAAAACAATATAAATTACCCAGAATGGTAATAAAACACAGAACAACTTAAATTACCCAGAAACAAAACAAAACACAAAACAATATAAATTAATCAAAAATGAACAAAACAATATAAATTACCCAGAAACAAAACAAAATAAATTACACAAAACAATATAAATTACCCAAAAATAAAACACAGAACAACTTAAATTACCCAGAAACAAAACAAAACACAAAACAATATAAATTACCCACAAACAAAACACAAAACAATAGAATTTAACCAAAAACAAAACACAAAACAATATAAATTACCCAGAAAATAAAACACAGAACAACTTAAATTACCCAGAAACAAAACAAAACACAAAACAATATAAATTACCCAGAATGGTAATAAAATTACACAGAAACAAAACAAAACACAAAACAATATAAATTAATCAAAAATGAACAAAACAATATAAATTACCCAGAAACAAAACAAAACACAAAACAATATAAATTACCCAGAATGGTAATAAAACACAGAACAACTTAAATTACCCAGAAACAAAACAAAACACAAAACAATATAAATTAATCAAAAATGAACAAAACAATATAAATTACCCAGAATGGTAATAAAACACAGAACAACTTAAATTACCCAGAAACAAAACAAAACACAAAACAATATAAATTAATCAAAAATGAACAAAACAATATAAATTACCCAGAATGGTAATAAAACACAGAACAACTTAAATTACCCAGAAACAAAACAAAACACAAAACAATATAAATTACCCAAAAATAAAACACAAACAACATAAATTACCCAGAAACAAAACAAAACACAAAGCAATATAAATTACCCAGAAACAAAACAAAACACAAAGCAATATAAATTACCCAGAAACAAAACAAAACACAAAGCAATATAAATTACCCAGAAACAAAACAAAACACAAAGCAATATAAATTACCCAGAAACAAAACAAAACACAAAGCAATATAAATTACCCAGAAACAAAACAAAACACAAAACAATATAAATTACCCAGAAACAAAACAAAACACAAAACAATATAAATTACCCAGAAACAAAACAAAACACAAAGCAATATAAATTACCCAGAAACAAAACACACAAAGCAATATAAATTACCCAGAAACAAAACAAAACACAAAACAATATAAATTACCCAGAAACAAAACAAAACACAAAGCAATATAAATTACCCAGAAACAAAACAAAACACAAAACAATATAAATTACCCAGAAACAAAACAAAACACAAAGCAATATAAATTACCCAGAAACAAAACAAAACACAAAACAATATAATATTACCCAGAAACAAAACAAAACACAAAACAATATAAATTACCCAGAAACAAAACACAAAGCAATATAAATTACCCAGAAACAAAACACAAAGCAATATAAATTACCCAGAAACAAAACACAAAACAATATAAATTACCCAGAAACAAAACAAAACACAAAACAATATAAATTACCCAGAAACAAAACAAAACACAAAACAATATAAATTAATCAAAAATGAACAAAACACAAAACAATATAAATTACCCAGAAACAAAACAAAACACAAAGCAATATAAATTACCCAGAAACAAAACAAAACACAAAGCAATATAAATTACCCAGAAACAAAACAAAACACAAAACAATATAAATTACCCAGAAACAAAACAAAACACAAAGCAATATAAATTACCCAGAAACAAAACACAAAACAATATAAATTACCCAGAAACAAAACAAAACACAAAACAATATAAATTACCCAGAAACAAAACACAAAACAATATAAATTACCCAGAAACAAAACAAAACACAAAGCAATATAAATTACCCAGAAACAAAACACAAAACAATATAAATTACCCAGAAACAAAACAAAACACAAAACAATATAAATTACCCAGAAACAAAACACAAAACAATATAAATTACCCAGAAACAAAACAGAACACAAAACAATATAAATTACCCAGAAACAAAACAAAACACAAATCAATATAAATTACCCAGAAACAAAACAAAACACAAAGCAATATAAATTACCCAGAAACAAAACAAAACACAAAACAATATAAATTACCCAGAAACAAAACAAAACACAAAGCAATATAAATTACCCAGAAACAAAACACAAAACAATATAAATTACCCAGAAACAAAACAAAACACAAAACAATATAAATTACCCAGAAACAAAACACAAAACAATATAAATTACCCAGAAACAAAACAGAACACAAAACAATATAAATTACCCAGAAACAAAACAAAACACAAAACAATATAAATTACCCAGAAACAAAACAGAACACAAAACAATATAAATTACCCAGAAACAAAACAAAACAATATAAATTACCCAGAAACAAAACAAAACACAAAACAATAGATATTACCAAGAAAGGAAACACAAATCAAAACAACAGGTATTACCTTGAAACGAAACCAAAACACTATATATTACCCAATGTCAGAAAGGTAAGAACAACAAAACCCACAAGTATATGTAATAGAGTTTACATGGAAAGGTAACAGAATCCATATCAAAATTTATATAATTCTCATTTAACAAAACAAAACCAGTCACAGAACAAAATGAAAAAAAAATCTTTAAAGCTTTTTTTATTTGGTCAGTGCTACAGTTCAATCCGTCTGAGAACTAGCTAACAGGCATTGACTCTATATGCTTACTACCCAGTACCGTATTTTCTGGGTTATAAGCCGCAGCCTTTTCCCTCTGTGGTCAGGCATGCAAGTTATGTACTAGTGCAGCTTACATGTGGATGAAAAAAAATATATGGTGGAATTAAAAAAAAAAAAGAAAGGGAATAGTAACATCTGGGCATCAGTTCCAGACCTTTAAGTATTTCAGAACGGACATTTTGTTGAGGCGTATCACATGCACTTATTTGACCTGTGTGACCTCCCACTCTGATAATTGTAGATGCTGTAACATGTCACACTTCCAGAAAGAATGAAAAATCGTGATTTAAACCAAGGATACCAGAACACCAGTATGAGATGTCAGTACCAAGTTTTTTACGATTACCTGTCCATCATGTGTTAGTGACTGAAACAGATCATCTAGAACCATCATTTGCAACTGTTTACAGGATGATTTCAAAATTGAAATAAAAATAACATGAATCACAATAATATCTTTTGAATTTTCATGGTTGCTTCGGAAGCCATAGTAGAAGTTTACAATAGCCTGTTGTATCCTGGGATCGATAGGTCATCAGATCAAATTAAAAAATGACTAACATGCTTGTTTACAGTAAGAATGGCTTCATCTAACTTACAAGAAATAATATGGAACTACCGTATTTATTCCAATAAACGCCCCGGGGGCGTGAAATTTTTCAGACAGGGGGCGATTAATAGAACACAAAATTTCATAATTTGTTGGTCGTGACATGCCATGGCTGCCACTTAAAAACATTGTTTAACAAACTAACGAATTACTCAACAAAGAATGCATTTGAAAATTGCAGTAATTCCAACATTGTTGTAGCTTTAAACATTGTTGTCAATTGCATTCTGATAACCTGAATTCTTGTATGAAATGACACGATTGACATCGTGTCAGCTTCAGTCAAAAACGTACAATGTTCATCATCGCTTGTAGGCCTAGTTTGCATAACAAAATAAAAAAACACAGCGGTATATAAGCCAGTCTGTTTCTTAATAAATCCCACATACCTGATAACAAATGTCTGAGACAAAATGAAATTACGACACTGCTTTCAAGCTTAAAGTTATCGCCTTCGCAGAGGAGAAGGGTTAACATGCCATCGCGAAAGTGTTTCGTGTTGACAGAAAACGAGTGCGGGACTGGTGTCAAAACAAAGAAAAATTTAAAAATCTTTCTAAAACATCTAAACACTGTAAAGGAGGTGGGAGGCATGTCAGATATGAAGATAGTGACAAAAATCTGATGAGATGGCTACAGGACAGACGGGAGGCCTGAATACGAGTGACTGGGAAAGCATTGCAGTTTGAGGCCCTGCGTATGCATAAGGCAAATGGTAGTCGATCGTTCAAAGCCTCATATGGATGGTTTTATAAATTCAAAAAGAGACATAACATTTCGTTCAGGCAATCTACGCATGTGGCACAACATGAAGTTTCATTAATTGATGATCGTATTCACAGTTTTTTGAATTTCTTGTTAAGAATGCGTGAGGCTACGAGAATACCCCGATAGCCATATCGCTAACATGGACGAAACCCCGGTGTGGTTTGACATGCCTGGAAAATCGATATTGGCAATAAAGGGGGAAAAGGAGGTCAGTGTTTACAGTACTGGCCATGAAAAACAAAAAATAACGATGACACTGGCAGCATATGCCGATGGGACTAAAATCGCCCCCCTTGTGCACATGCAAGGCATTCGTCCCCTTCCAAAAGATGACATACCAAGTGGTATTGTGGTATACATGTGCAGGGCCGGACAAAAATCCTGGGCAAACGAGGAAAGTATAAAATTTTGGTTTTTTGTGAATAATACAGCTAGGCGGTTATTAGTATGGGACGCTTTCCGTGGTCCTTTTACTGAAGATGTAAAAAAACTGGTTCATCAAAAATATAATTCAGACATCTGTGTTATACCCCGAGGATGTACATGTAAGCTACAGCCAGCCGATGTGTCGTGGAATAAACACTTCAAACAAAAACTTGGAGAGTTGTATGACAAATGGTGTTTCAGTGGCCCCATTGAGAAAACCAAAGCAGGGAATCGTAAAGCCCCATCTAAAGCTGTAATGTTGTCTTGGGTCAAGACAGCATGGGATAGCATTAGCCCGGACACAATCGTTCAAAAAATGCGGTATCACAAATTCCCTGGACGGTTGCGAGGATCATATTTTCCAGCATGATTCTGACGATGAGGAATTCCAGGGGTTTAGTGAAAAGGATGTCCAAGCTGCAGATGACGTTTTGCAAAATTTAATGGGTGATGTGAACGTGCCTTCTATTCCACAAATAGAACTGAGTGAAAGCGAGACTGGCGAAAGTGAAAGTGAAGACAGTTGTTCGTATGGCAGTCCTGGCCGTTAGGCCTGCAGTATATTGAAATGAACCGTGGATTAAATTGATATTACTTGTGTACATGTTGTGACAGTGTAATTTTCTTGTGCCAAAATTCATTTGTTCATGTTAATGGATACCAGGAATTTAAAATTTATTAAAAGGTAAGCTTTGTAACCTGACTCCTGAGTTGTTGAAATTTACTGAGAAAACAGGTGGGGGGTGTTTATTAGAGACGGGGCGTTTATTGGAATAAATACGGTATACTAATTTTGTCAGCATGCAAGGAATGGCCTTCATTAATATTGAACAGTACAGACACCAATGGAGATATTGTTAAGTAAACTGTACATAATGTCAGGCCCTATATCTGTGTGTGGACAATTTTTGAAGGCTCCCAAGCCAAACAAGTTCGATAATTGCTGTTTTACATTTTTCAAACAAATCAATGAAATAAAACACTATCTCTGTATAATTCATTTGCAAACTTTTATTAAAGGTTTCACTGACAAACTTGATAAATTGCCTTCTGTTGTCCAGTTACCACATCGTAAGAAAGGGTGTGGCTTATATTCTGGTGTATCTTAAATGTGGAATAAATAAAAAAAAATTGCTGAAAACCAGTCCTGCTGCTTATACTTGAGTGCGGCATATAGCCCAGAAAATGTGTTATATGTCTTTCTCAGCTTGATTTCAAATCCTTAATTTGGTATCTAAACACTTACCCTCCAGTTTCCAGCATTGAATATCTTCAGCACAAGGCCTATTAGTGCACCTATGGAAATAGACAACATAACAAAATTTAAAAGTGACGAAAAACTAAGCAAGAGACCCAAAGCCTTAATAGTCATCTGACTATCAAAACTACTATACAGCTTACAAAGAAGACATTGTTAGTTCATAAAAACATTTTCTGCAAACTTAAAATGATATTCTTTATACATAGCACTACACAAGTGCCTTTACTTAGGCTTGTAGAAAAAGAAATTTTAAGATCTCAACTTACTTAACCCAAGAGATCTTGAATATAGGTCTAGGTCAATTATTTGAATAAGTCCGCAGCCCTTCATCTACTTATATTTAAGAACCAATATGAACAGCCACGACCTTTTTGTTATTGAGAAGAAATGGTTTTGAAGATTTTAACACATTTGACCCCTGTGATCTTTAAAAAGAGAAAAGGTCATTCACATGAATAAAATTGGAAACCCTTCATTCCAGATGCCACAGGCGCGATTTCAGCACCCTAAGCCTATAGGGAAGAAAGTTGTCTATAGAGTCTTGACATATTTGACTCCTGTGACCTTGAAAAATGGTTAAGGTCAATATGAACAAACTTTGTAGACCTTCATTCCAGCAGGCTACAGGTCAATTTAACAAAACTCTGGGCATTTTGGTTATTGAGAAGAAGTCTTGTGACCTTAAAAATTGGTCAAGGTCATTCATTTTAACGAACTTGGTAGCCCTTCATTCCAGCAGACTACAGGCTCAATATCAGCACCCTTGGCCTTTTGGTTAATGAGATGAAGTCATTTAAAAATTTAAATATATTTGACTCCTGAGACCTTGAAAGTGAGTCAAGGTCATTCACTTCTAACAAACTTGGTAGCCCTTCACCCCATCATGCTACTGGCCAAAAATCAGCACCCTGGGCTTTTTGTTTATTGAGAAGAAGTCATATGAATGGAAAGTTTATGCATGGTGTACAATGACAGATGAAACACAATGGCTATAGGTCATCCAGACCCAACTGAATATAACAGGTATATAGGTGGTTTAATTGTTTATAACAGCATATATATAGTTCACTTGTATGCAAAAAGTAGATTCACAGTTAACTTGTATATAAAGATAGATTTGTAATTTACCTACAGATATATATCAAATTCACACAGCTATGTACTTTACCTGTATAAAACTGACAGATTTTTTAAATAGATGTAGATAAACACCTGTGTGTAGCTGGCTATTTATTAGGATGAATATCACTTTTTAAATATTTATGCATACAATAAAAAATCCATTATACTGATGATGGTATCTGATAATAGTAAATTGTGTTTTTACAACCGTATAACAAAACCCTTGCATCATTAACAAAGAATCATTATTCCTTGCTTTTAAATGGTACAAACAAGTTTGACCAACATTTAACTGTCTATACCTACCAAGTAGAATAACGGCGATACTCTCAGGTAGGTAGTAAAACTTGGTTGCCAGTAACATATGCACAATCAATATGGCCAGTACTGTAACAAAAATCATCATTACAAGTTTGTATATCAGTATGGAAAATTTCAACAATAATGAGGAGCAAAGTACAGGAGTATACACAGATCAAAGAGTTATATCAATGTAATAGATATTTTATGCAAATTATGCTATGTGATAGCTTTAATCAGATCATTGGAAAAATGAAACGAAAATCAAAGGGCCTGTATCATTTACTGATACCAGGTATTAAAGCTACTACTGAAATACATTTGCTGTGGAGATTCTAGGAAAATTATTTTTGCCTTGTTGATATCTGTTAGACGTAACTGAGGTCTGTATCTGTTGAAATTACATATCATCATATAAGTATGACAGACAATGTAACAGTAAAGTGTCTGGATTAATCCCATCTCGAAGTTTGATCTTAACCATATATCAAAATCCTGAGAGAATTGAAGTCTGGAGGGCAATGGAGGATGTTACACAATTAAAAGTGACAAAACAGGAAAATTACACTGTTTTAGAAATGACAAGATGGACCTTAACACCATCTTTTAATCATATGGTCATCCCTAGATACTTCTGATATCAAGAACTTCTATAACCAAAGTGTTCCAAAAATTCAGCTTCATCAACAATAAGAATCAAGAGTTTCAATATTTGTATGTACATCCCTATTAACCCCCACTCCCTCTCCTACAAACATCACACCACCATCAACAACAATAACAACCCAAGGTTACAATATATGTATGTACATCCCTATTAACCCCCACTCCCTCTCCTACAAACATCACACCACCATCAACAATAACAACCCAGGGTTACAATATATGTATGTACATCCCTATCACACCACCATCAACAACAATAACAACCCAGACTATATGTATGTACAACTCCCTCTCCTACAAACATCACACCATCAACAACAATAACAACCCAGGGTTACAATATATGTATGTACATCCCTATTGACTCAACTCCCTCTCCTACAAACATCACACCATCAACAACAATAACAACCCAGGGTTACAATATATGTATGTACATCCCTATTAACCCCCACTCCCTCTCCTACAAACATCACACCACCATCAACAACAATAACAACCCAGGGTTACAATATATGTATGTACATCCCTATTAACCCCCACTCCCTCTCCTACAAACATCACACCACCATCAACAACAATAACAACCCAGGGTTACAATATATGTATGTACATCCCTATTAACCCCCACTCCCTCTCCTACAAACATCACACCACCATCAACAATAACAACCCAGGGTTACAATATATGTATGTACATCCCTATTGACTCAACTCCCTCTCCTACAAACATCACACCACCAACAAATAAAACAACAATCCTTGAGTTATAAATGCATTATCAATGTTTGTAGAATTCCTTCCCAATCAAATACTGGATAGTTTTAATTATTAGCAAAGTGAGCCTTAAGCTCTCATACAGCATATACAATGCTTTACTGTGCTATATTCATATGTATATTGTGAAGTGTGACTGTCAGTTACTTAGAAAAATCATCTACAGTTACAATATCTTCATTTACATTGTCTAGATAACATCTGTCTGAAGAGGAAGTGTTTAATTTAATTGAATGGCTTTTAAGTGACCTCGGAGTATCAGGTATATCAGACTTACAAAGCCTCAAGGCTAAAGCTATCATTACCTGTTCTACGCACACTGCACAGTTACAAAGCTGCTCATTATATCTGTTAACTCAACACAATGAAATTTCTAGGAAAGTGGAAAGATATGGGATCTGAAACTTAATTTCATTTAGTGTAACAATGTGTATACTTGCATGTAGATTCATGATGTCTTTTTGAGTTAAGGATCTATGGTACCTCAAACAAGAGAGTTTCCCATAATCATGTATATATCTTAAGATGACATGATACTTTTAGATACACCAGATATTTTTTAGTTTCTGAAAACCTCCACTTTCTTAATATTTGGTTAGAGCTTGGTTTGCAAAATTTTCATGTGTAAAGGATACATAACTGAGAATATAATTCACAAATCACAAATGTAAATTTTCTGTGAAAGCCACATTTTATTCATGGCAACAGCTGGGTTTGCTGCTAACCATTAGTTTGTCAACTCTTTCACTGACCAATCCTTCGCAATGGATATTTTAGCTAATCACCTTATCGTATGATTGATTGCCTGGCCACACAAGATATTTCAACTCTTGACCTCATGTCAAATGACAATTCATTCATACCTGATACTTTAGCTTTCAACCCAACATCAACCCAAATATTTCAGCTCTTGACCTGATGTCCATCCAGTATTATCATAAGGGATATGTTTACTTACCGACAACTATTATGATAAAAAACAAGGTGAGACTGCTGCTGTGCTCCTCCTCATCTGCCCCAGTCTCGGGCAGGAAGCCCAGCTCCTCGGGTGTGGTGGTGGTGCTCTGTGTGGTGGTTGAGCTGGCTGTTACATTAGCATTAGTATTGTTGGAATGACTACAAATTTAATAAATAACAAATATATTGATAAATTCGCGGTCATTAGTTCTTTAGTAATGGCAAAACAAACGAAAAAATAAAATTAACCTAGTCCTTTCCATTTTCAAAACAAGATAGACACCAAATACAGATGACAATAGCATATAATTTTCTTCAAAATTTGTACACTTCAAATACTCCAATTCTATGAATACTAAACATTGAAAAAAAAATTTGAGAATCATGCTGTTGTCATTCTGACGCACACTGATTTACAGATTACTGCTGCATGGGAGCACTTGTTTACTCTAACAGAAGACATTCATAGTCGTTACTTAATAGAGCTAGGGATTATCATTACCAGAATCCTTAGGTAGATTCCATCTGTCAGACAAGTTGTTATCAAGGTGTTTTCTCATATTCTTTCTGAGTTGAAATATCTCACAGATTTTAAAAGAAAATGTCTGATAAAATATGTAAACAAACCACAGAAGCTTACATCTCAACAAACTTTGATAAACATGGAGCTGTAACTTTGTTTAGTGCCATGTAAGGTAGGATTCAAAAAATAAAACATAATGCATTATCCCAGGAGGTACATAGGATTAAATACAATTTTGACAATTAAAATCAGGGAGCATGATACAGTAAAATATCTACATCAACCTATCCCACTGTGCATCATGGTACCCTGATAACACCTCTGAAAATGGATCACACATTTGTGTCTAAAAATAAAGTATTTCATTGTTTTCCTGTTTTGTTATTTGTACTATTACTTTGAAAATATATAGCTATTATGGATTTTGAGTAAACTGTCACTAACCATTATGTTGACGTTGACGTTTTTTACTTTCATTTTGCAGCTACCAACTTGTTCTTGAGATACATGTTTATATATTGCAATATTATGAACAGAGAGGTGCAATCACAACACGACCTGACGTACTCTGTTAACGATGCTTTATTACTGTATTTTAATGCCGACCGGTTTCGCCCTGGGGAGGGCTTCGTCAGGGCCTATTACTGTATTTTAATGCCGACCGGTTTCACCCGGGGGAGGGCTTCGTCAGGGCCCTGATGAAGCCCTCCCCCGTGCGAAACCAGTCGGCATTAAAATACAGTAATAAACCATCGTTAACAGAGTACGTCAGGCCAGGTTGTGACTGCACCTATGTCTTACTTATATGCAATCACCCTGCATACTTGAAGGTATCCACACCTAGACGACAAACCCGATACTTCCACACAAAGAACCTAGGCATTGGCTCCTCTCTTTCTTTTTCTTTTTTTTTTTATTGCAATATTAGTGATAACTGATGGTAATTTGGCTAAGTAATTGGCACATAACCTTCTCAAAAACAGCAAATGATCAATGGCCCTGATCCTGATAACGAGGTCAACTATTGGCAGTGGCAGTTTACAGAGGTGTATTAATTGTGACTGTTATGGAACGACAAGTCTGTCAGAGACTGTACTACATACCATCTGTGATGTTGAATTATACATTAATATATAACAAAAGATAGACAAGTAAGCCAAATGGTCAATAATTATCCTACATTATGGCATTATAATTTATTTATTAAATATGCAAAATTCTGTCTTTTTAAGAAGAAAATAAAAGCAAACTACTGTGATTGATTAATGTAACAGAGACTAGATTTCTCATATTGTAAACCTCTATTCCTTGTGTTCCTATTACAGGTTTTTTCCATCCAATTTATTTACTGACATCATTATATAACTATGATCACAGGTTATATGTAGCTGTCAAAATTATCTCTTAACAATTTTGATGAGCTTGTAGCTCTCTAAATCTGTTGATCAGGAATACAAGACTTTTTAATTCAAAGTCCAAACTAATATGTACATATACAATTCTATAATTATTATTACATTGTGATAATGAGTTCCTCGTAAAACTATACTACATCAGACTTCAAATATTAATTGCCATATTTGTTGTTGGATTTTTATGTATGGGAAAGATTAAACATGTAAATTTTCTATCAATCTTATTTTGAATAGTCTAAAGTAGATAAAAATGTTTTTCATATCTATTTTGAAACATTTTCAAGAATCAAATGGTCATAAAGTGTGTTGTTAATATGAGAAACCAAGAACATGCCTGTCATTAGAAGCTAGCATCTCTTCAATCTGTCTGCTGTCAACCGGGACAAACTTGTGATTCGGCTCATTGTCAGGCAGAGCTTGGCCTTCGAGTATTAAACCTGACGCGTAGAACACGATGATTGCTACACAAGCGGCCCAAAGAGGTTGGTATTCCATACTGAACGGGTAATCACTGACGAGATGTAAAATAAATTGCCGGTCTAAGTCATGAATCCCATTGTGGAAATACTGCACTCGTGTATGTTGACACGGGAAGTGACATTTATCTAACCGGAAATAGTAAGATTTAGCAGTAACACCGAGAAATTGGTAAGAGGGCAAAAAGAACACCAGCACCTAGCTCGATAAAGTTGAATACATGACAGATAGTAAATCGTGAAAAACATACCTATGATGACTTTGACGATGGTTAATTCAGTGTGTAGATGTCAATAATCTGAAAAACGACTAGGAATTCGGTAGAATCTAACCCTATTCAAACTCATTGTGTGATAGGGGAAATTTCATAATAGGAATAATTGGTCCATGTAAAAATACTGAACGTGATTTATTCTAGATTGAATAAGTATTATAATATATATCATTTTATGTTTTTTATGTTATTTTATGTAGCAAACAGGATATAGGATTATTTCTTGCGTCTACTTCAATACTTTCATTATTGTAATACTGCACTAACCCGGGCATTTTTTTTGCGGAATGAATGGTTATCATTTTTTAAGTAATTAGATTGGTGTTCCTCTTGCGTGGTAGAAAAAGATGAATTTTGGATTCAGGCATTTCATTCATGAATTTATGTTCATCTTAAATGACTCGCTTTCATTTTGAGAACAAGCTATATTTATCTTAATTTTTTTTTAAAAGGCACTGATCTAGACTTACATGGTGTTTTACCCAGATGTTTTAGTCAGTTACCTTAATATAGTACTCATAAGCATCTAAAAAGGATCTAAAAACTGTTTTTGTTTCCTATGTAATTTAGGAAACTCATCTTCAATTTTTCATGTCAGCAAATTAAGTCTCTAAAATTCTTATACTTTGTTTCTTACATCACATTAATAATGTAATGGATGGGCTTATTATATGGCATGGGCTTATTACAGGATAAAACAGAACTGGATTATGCAAATTCATGTTGATGTGGTTATTCCTGATAACGTGAAACTGAGCGACCGAGTTGAAAATGTCGTTCACGTACTTTTCTCCCCCATGAGAATTTCAAAAAGTTGGCAAGTATGCATTATGAAATGAAAATGTAAGATCTAATATATGTGTGCGCAGCATGTTATTGTCATCTTTATTAATGATTAATGACAGTTTACTTACAATAAGTGTATTATGGTTACAGGCTTAAAGTCGGGGACCTGAGAATGCCATGTACCAGTGTCTGAACAACGGCTTACAGTGAATTTTGTTTACTAGCGATCTCACAGAAACATTCAAAATGCTTATTAATGCAGTAGGGTTTTATGGCTCCCTGTGGCTAACTGCAGATTATGTAGAACAGAAATTTGTGTGTAGGAAGAAGGCATATGACCCTTACAAGGCAGCTCGTTCTGTGACTGTTGGGGCAGGAGTAGTGGCTCCTCTTGTGTATACATGGATGAAGGTTGGCGAGAGAATACTGCCAGGAAGGTCACTCCGCACGGTGGTAACCAAAGTCTGCATTGATGCATTTGTCTGTGGTCCTATAACTCTGACATCATTTTATTTATGTAAGACTTCAAGTATCTCAATAGCAGTCCTCATCATGAAAATACAACTCCCTCATTTAAGCTTTTCATGTAAGAAAACTGACTTCCTCATCAATCCAATTCATATAGTACGTATCTTTGTTCAAGTCCATAATTATGATGTGCATGCATATACACTACAGCATATGATAACACTGATTTCTTACCATGGTAATTTCTTACATGGTCATTGATTGCTGTTGGTGATGTCTTATTCAGAGTTTAAACTACATCATTTATGACCCCAGACCCTACATAATTACTTTGATGTAAAAGATATTCGGCTCTTACAGTTTCTATATTCTTGGTGTTTTCAGCATCCTCTCTGTTGGAAGGAAAGAACATGCAGGATTCTGTTGATGAATGGAAAAGAAAATTTTTGCCAACATTGAAGGTTTGTCTGTGTTACAGCATAGGTCCTACTGGTTAACAGTTTACTGGTCAGCAGAATCTATAGAAGATAATACTTCATGTTAAAAGAAGCAACTAATGTGTGAATGCCTGCAGCATGGATTTACATGTGTACCCTCTGCTATGAAAAATACTTGCAATAAACATGCTGAACTCATTGCAGCATATTGGATATGTTTTCCTATGGCTCCCAAAGCACTAAATTGATTATTTAATAAGCCCAAGGAGTCTGATCAGAGATGATGACTCAAAATAAGGGTGGGGTTATTGTTGGACAGTGAAATACTATTTCTGAACAATTTTTAACTGAAATTCTTTTTAACATGAGTGGGCTTTTATCAGGTTAAGCAGGGTAAATATGGCATGGACCTTTTTGTGCTCTTACCATAGAATTAGAGAGGATACAGCGCTGCCCATGTCCGTCCTGTCAAATCCCGTCACAATTTAATGTAATGTAGAAAATCATGAACTGATTAAATTTCAGCACATAGCGATTTCATTCTTTCATAGATTTTTGGCAAAACTGTATGCAAAGATCAAGTATGTGTATACTATAGATATCATTGTGTTTCAGGGGTCCAAGGTCAAGGCCTTGGCAGTGGTAGCATTTATGCCTTACAAACATTTTCTGGATTTCCCAATACAAAACCTAGCAATACTATAGATACATGTATATTAGTTAAGTGTTAAGTGAATCAATATCATGTAAGAAGGCATTACTCCATTCAAACAATACCATCCATTAGTCAACACTACATTCATCAGCAGTATCATGAAGATATGAAAAAATAATAACATGCTTCAACAGGATTCAGATGAAGGGGATTTCTTACAAGAGGGTATGATGGAAAAACAGTTAGTATTCAGTAAGCCTTGCTGTTGTATGTAGCAACTTGAGAATCTTGAGATGAGTTTTCCTTTCTGCATGAACACCAAATTATGGAGAATTCTATAATTTCATTAAGAACATATGGTTCATCCATGTGTCAGTTGGCATGAAACATATATATCTCAATTTTTTTTGTCACAATAGGAGTTATCATGATTGTGGAGGAGTTATATTCCTTCTCTGAATCTCGTGTACAAGAGTTAAAGGGATTTAAATCTCGCCAAAATACCACAATATTTTAAAGGCAAATAAGCAGTAGAAATCATTTCTAAAAGGAGAGAAATCCAATTTTCAGCTTTTCTGCACTTTTAAAACACTTTCATGATGAAAAAGTATCTGAATGGAGTCAGATGGTAAAGCTTAAACAGCATATTCTAAATTAAAATAAAAGAGACACTTGATCAGATATTTATCTTTTGTTGTTTTCCTTTATCTTTATCAATGATGAATCAGTAAGTTAAATCTCTAGTTACAGAAACGTGTCAGAAGTGTTTAGAAAACATGATAATTGAACAGCACCAATCATAAGATATTTGCCACCATGCTTGATTCCTTATCAGAGTTGTCCTAATGGCATGCCTAAAATTGCCTCCATTTCAAAAAAGTTCCTAATTTTGATAATCACTATCATGTTACAACCATTTATATTTTTAAAAACCAAACCCAACTGTAATAAGATTTTTTTTAGATTAACCTCCTTTCCATTACAATTTAATCCACTGCCAAAAGTCTGATAAAGTATACCAAAGTGATGCAAGGGAGATAATTGCAAACATTTTTAGGTCATCTGACCGAAGGGTCTGATGACCTATTGCGATCGCCTTTTGTCCAGTGTCGTCCGTTACCTGAAATGATCGTGACATGATCTTGACCAAAGTTTGTTAATTTCGGGTTGGTCAGAAATCCAACATGGCCGCCATCTTGAAAAAACCTTGTCGACAACTTCTTAAGTTCAAAATTTGAAATCTTGTGTTTTATGTCAGATGACCATTAAGGCCCATGGGCCTCTTGTTTATTTTTAGCTATTGGATGTATTTATTTCTTTTTCATATTTCCTTTTTATCGTTACTGATACAAAACCATTTCATATTTCTAATGTGAATATTGAAAACCTAATTGAGGAATGATATCAACATTGTTTTTGTTTTTTAGAGAGCCTGGTGTTTGTGGCCGGGTGTACAGATGGTCAACTTCATGTTTGTGCCCCCAACCAAGAGAGTTTACATGATAGGGACTGTGTCGCTGTTCTGGTCTGTGTTCCTGTGTTACATGAAGGATAATTCTGTGAAACATGGAGCAAGTACAGGTAGGTATTGAAAACAAAGGCCAGATAACCTGTACAAGTGAGTATAGAAAACAAAGGGCCAGATAACCAGTACAGATGAGTATAGAAAACAAAGGGTCAGATAACCTGTACAGGTAGGTATAGAAAACAAAGGGTCATATAACCTGTACAGATGAGTATAGAAAACAAAGGGCCAGATAACCTGTACAGGTAGGTATAGAAAACAAAGGGTCATATAACTTGTACAGATGAGTATAGAAAACAAAGGGTCATATAACTTGTACAGATGAGTATAGAAAACAAAGGGCCAGATAACCAGTACAGATGAGTATAGAAAACAAAGGGTCAGATAACCTGTACAGGTAGGTATAGAAAACAAAGGCCAGATAACCTGTACAGATGAGTATAGAAAACAAAGGGCCAGATAACCTGTACAGAGGAGTATAGAAAACAAAGGGCCAGATAACCAGTACAGATGAGTATAGAAAAACAAAGGGCCAGATAACTTGTACAGGTAGGTATAGAAAACAAAGGGCCAGATAACCTGTACAGATGAGTATAGAAAACAAAGGGCCAGATAACCTGTACAGGTAGGTATAGAAAACAAAGGGCCAGATAACCAGTACAGATGAGTATAGAAAAACAAAGGGCCAGATAACCTGTACAGATGAGTATAGAAAACAAAGGGCCAGATAACCTGTACAGATGAGTATAGAAAACAAAGGGCCAGATAACCAGTACAGATGAGTATAGAAAACAAAGGGCCAGATAACCTGTACAGGTAGGTATAGAAAACAAAGGGCCAGATAACCTGTACAGATGAGTATAGAAAACAAAGGGCCAGATAACCAGTACAGATGAGTATAGAAAACAAAGGGCCAGATAACCTGTACAGATGAGTATAGAAAACAAAGGGCCAGATAACCTGTACAGATGAGTATAGAAAACTAAGGGCCAGATAACCTGTACAGGTAGGTATAGAAAACAAAGGGCCAGATAACCTGTACAGATGAGTATAGAAAACAAAGGGCCAGATAACCTGTACAGAGGAGTATAGAAAACAAAGGGCCAGATAACCTGTACAGGTAGGTATAGAAAACAAAGGGCCAGATAACCTGTACGGATGAGTATAGAAAACAAAGGGCCAGATAACCTGTACAGATGAGTATAGAAAACTAAGGGCCAGATAACCTGTACAGGTAGGTATAGAAAACCAAGGCCAGATAACCTGTACAGGTAGGTATAGAAAACAAAGGGCCAGATAACCTGTACAGATGAGTATAGAAAACAAAGGGTCAGATAACCAGTACAGATGAGTATAGAAAACAAAGGGCCAGATAACCTGTACAGATGAGTATAGAAAACAAAGGGTCAGATAACCAGTACAGATGAGTATAGAAAACAAAGGGCCAGATAACCTGTACAGGTAGGTATAGAAAACCAAGGCCAGATAACCTGTACAGATGAGTATAGAAAACAAAGGGCCAGATAACCTGTACAGATGAGTATAGAAAACAAAGGGCCAGATAACCTGTACAGATGAGTATAGAAAACAAAGGGCCAGATAACCTGTACAGGTAGGTATAGAAAACAAAGGGCCAGATAACCTGTACAGATGAGTATAGAAAACAAAGGGTCAGATAACCTGTACAGATGAGTATAGAAAACAAAGGGCCAGATAACCTGTACAGGTAGGTATAGAAAACAAAGGGCCAGATAACCTGTACAGATGAGTATAGAAAACAAAGGGCCAGATAACCTGTACAGATGAGTATAGAAAACAAAGGGTCAGATAACCTGTACAGATGAGTATAGAAAACAAAGGGCCAGATAACCTGTACAGAGGAGTATAGAAAACAAAGGGTGAGAAAAACCTGGCCAGATACAGATGAGTATAGAAAACAAAGGGCCAGATAACCTGTACAGATGAGTATAGAAAACAAAGGGCCAGATAACCTGTACAGATGAGTATAGAAAACAAAGGGCCAGATAACCTGTACAGAGGAGTATAGAAAACAAAGGGCCAGATAACCTGTACAGAGGAGTATAGAAAACAAAGGGCCAGATAACCTGTACAGAGGAGTATAGAAAACAAAGGGCCAGATAACCTGTACAGAGGAGTATAGAAAACAAAGGGCCAGATAACCTGTACAGATGAGTATAGAAAACAAAGGGCCAGATAACCTGTACAGATGAGTATAGAACACAAAGGGCCAGATAACCTGTACAGATGAGTATAGAAAACAAAGGGCCAGATAACCTGTACAGGTAGGTATAGAAAACAAAGGGCCAGATAACCTGTACAGATGAGTATAGAAAACAAAGGGCCAGATAACCTGTACAGGTAGGTATAGAAAACAAAGGGCCAGATAACCTGTACAGATGAGTATAGAAAACAAAGGGCCAGATAACCTGTACAGGTAGGTATAGAAAACAAAGGGCCAGATAACCTGTACAGATGAGTATAGAAAACAAAGGGCCAGATAACCTGTACAGATGAGTATAGAAAACAAAGGGCCAGATAACCTGTACAGATGAGTATAGAAAACAAAGGGCCAGATAACCTGTACAGATGAGTATAGAAAACCAAGGCCAGATAACCTGTACAGATGAGTATAGAAAACAAAGGGTCAGATAACCAGTACAGATGAGTATAGAAAACAAAGGGTCAGATAACCTTTACAGATGAGTATTGTCTTCATATTAGTAGAAACTGGAATTTTTCCTAAACTTTAGTAACAGAATTACATTGTTTACAATATCTTTGTGCCCTTGGAATATTTCTATATGTTCTGGTCTCTATGGCAGGAGAATGACATGATATACAGATTCTAGCCAAACATATGTTTAATTGGTATATATTTACTTATGTAAAACTGTAAAGAAAAAGTTTGATCTACAAGATATTTATACTTACAGCATTTCTGTGAATTTTCTAATGAAGTCATAATTAATTGCCTGATCAAATATTATTTGCTTAATCTCCAAAGAAATTAATTTTGTCGAGTGACACTATTAGGATTTATCCAGATATCACTAAAACATGAATTATCTAATTTTTCCTTAACAGAGGTGCCCCAATTAAAAACTTCTGTTACACCGGTTTAACAGAGAATTATATGATTTGGACACAATTACAATAATCACAAAGTCGAATTTTAAACCAGTATTTTATCTTTCTATGTTTTCTCAAAAATTCCAAAGGAAACTGTCCCAATTCAGAATAAATCATGCTGCTACACACTGACTTCTTTACAGCTTTTAACAAAAATCCTGATGCACATGTTCTACATCAGGCCCTTTTCATGAACCTCATATTTCGCTTGCATAATAAAAAATACAACTAACATGATCATCTAATAAATGTAACATGGTTTTTATATTAAGGTTTAAACCTTGGACAGCCAGGTGTTATTGTATTTTAGTAAAATTCCTGAATATGAAAACTGATCAACACAAGAAACCATGCAACCCATGTAATACCATTTCTCGTTACTATGTGATCTTCCACCTTTATGAAAGACAAGAATTTAAATTTTATCTAGGTTTACAGTGAGATTCCATTCATTACAATAGACATCTTGATTATCAAGCAAGTCTTGAAGACCTTCCACAGATTCAGTAATAATACAAAGTCATTGGCATACAACAGTAGATATAAGCTTAATTCTTTCAAGTCGTAAGTAGATTTACATGTTTGAATAAAAAATTATTCAAAATCATAGATGAAAAGAAAAATGAATATTGGCAATAATATTTCTAAATATAAACTTTATTTATTTTACAACAATTGCGAAACAAGTTATGTCAACTTATACTAATCACTCTTGTTGGCCCGGATGTAAGTGTGCGAGGGGTCTTATTGTGGGAGGAAACCGGAGTACCCAGGGAAAACCCACGTGGTCGGGTAGGTGACCCCTTACCTTTTCACGTCGGTTCCGGGAAACGAACCCCGGTCGGCAATAATATTTCACTCTGCAAGAGGCAGACATTATCGACGAAGAAATCTGGCAACAGGTTAACATTTAATTTTACAAATGATTTTGCATGTAGTTACATAGACTCTATTAACTTCATCAAAAGCTTTGCGAAAATCGACAAAGCAGCAGTATAATCTTTTTTCATCATTCAAAGATTTAGATATTATAGAATAAAGACCAAAAAAAGCATCAACAGTACTTAGACCACGTCTAAACCCAAATTGTGCATCATATATCATATCCTATGTTTGAAACCATTTCAATCATCTGATATTCAATATCGATGTAATCTGTTTCCCTAAACAGCAAACAAAACTTATAACTCTGAAATTTGTTGAATCAGACAAATCTCCTTTTCTATGTACAGGGATAATCACAGCAATTGACCAGTCAGGAAAAAATCCAGATTCTAAAATGTTGTTGAAAGGAGTGCACAAAATAGGCAATAAAATATCTTTACCCACCAATAAACATTCACTTACAATACCATCTAGACCATGAGACTTGCCTCTTTTTAGATTCTTTATAGCATTACTTATTTCAACAACAGTAATTGGAACATCCAATTCATCATTCAACAATGGATTAGTGAAAATGAAATATCGTGGCAGATGGAACAATGTTTAAATAAATCATTAATAAATTTGCTGATGAGTAAACCTACTTTTTTAACTTTCATTTTACTTTCACATATTCACAACCAATGCAAAGGCACAAAAACTAACAATTCTTAATTAAAACATGATAAGCAAACACTGATTTCAATTTTTCTGATTCAAGATAACCTGTCATGGTCAAATTAATAGTGACCAGAAACGGGGTTCCTTATGGGGTTCAAATGGAAACTATGCACTTTGAATTTTACGGAGGTTGTTCAGAATTTGTGAGAGTAAATCGCTGTGAACTGGTTGTATTGCTGAAATTAAGTAGGCACAATAGAAAAATGATTTACAGTAAAATTATGACATTAAATTTTCAATGAAATATTCTTTCAGATCTTGTGTGGTATCTTTGACATAACTTTACATGTACCTGTATTTTAAGAGAATTTGTACAATTTTTAAATGTCAACTCACCATCTTTTCATTTGAAAACATTGATTAAGCATCTGTATATAGGACTATAGGACATCAGACTCAAATGAATGAAATAGGGCAAAGTGTTAATACCTACCGTGCATGGTGATTAACAGTAATTTTGTTAAAAAATCTAAACATCTTTAGTAGAAGGATGTAGTAATGAGGATTTTTTTTCACGTTACAGGTTTAGATGAAGACTAGAAGATGTATATGGGAGACGATGTAACTGTACCTTGGGAAAATCCAACACCGGTGATGACATCTTTGTCATATTGTAGATCTCAGTATTCTTTTATCAGTAAAGTACATGTATAATGAAACCTGTGTTCACCAACAGGGGACATAGATTATCGGTATGATATTCTGTCAAAATATCAAGGAAGTTATGTACCATCTTTACTGACATCAGTAAGGAGCATAACTTTTTGATCAGGTATAAAAGTAGTCAATTTATTCAGGATACTGTCTTTACTGACATGAGAAGGGGACATAACTCTTTAGTATGATATATCTGACCAAAGAGTTATGTTCCCTCTTGATTACAGTAAATATCCACTGTGTAAGTACATTCAGGGTAAGTCACATCAGTCTTGGGACCATATCTATTTTGGATATTGATCTTTAATGACAGGTGTCAGTATATTCAGGTTTTATGGTAAAAATGTATGTACATCATACATGCATTTTTTAAAAATTATTTATGTGTAATGAATCTGGTTAAGGTATGATAAATGATGATGCCATTGTCTATTGATTTAAATTCCTATTTCAGTTTGATTTGTAATATAATATGAAAAAATTTACAAAATTTCATAATTCAAAGATCAAATAAATGGTATTTGGTTGTATAATACAATTTGAACACTTTTTTCAACACCCATACACAGGGAAGATTTTGTCCTACATACAATTATCAGATAGTAAGTTGTAGTTTGGTACCAATGTACTCTAACTAAATGTTTAAATTGTTTTATTCTTGCTTGTCAAGCTAAACTCTATGAAATACACATGGTCTGTTATACTCAGGATTTTGCTAATTTGTATGGCCATGTTTACATCATTTTATGTAATCACTGTCTTTTTTAGGGGTTTTTATGTTATTTTTTTACAGAAAATATATTTTAAAGATATCTCATGATTATTCAATACATACATATATTACATATCAAGTAGACATATATATATGTTCAGAATTACAATTATATTTTTACCTTGTAATTCAAACTAAAAAAATAGCTCCTATTCACCTCATTGTCAGTGGTTTAGCAAATCATTTTTGCAGTGTATGCTTTTGACAGTCTGGTTAGGTTGGGTCCAGGGGCCCTGGTGGGGGTCAGGGCAGTCTGGGGACAAAGCCATAGTGAATCCATTGGGGTTATAAGTGATCAGAAATGATTTTTCATGTAGTCTGAAAACTACATCAACATACATGTATATTTTACAATAATTAAAACCTGGTGCTGTGAATCTGAAGCTGACAAAATACAGTAATTAATAACATCATACAATTTTAATACAACTTTTTTGATACAAAGTATCTTTATTATGTATCAACAGTTAAAACTAATAATTGGTTTTACGTTATACATGTGCATTTTGTTTTAGAAAAATCAGCTAATCAACATTTTCAAAGTAAAATGCAGATCCAATGGAAATAAAAGCCATAGGAGGCTTTGCCAAGTTTGACCAGAAAGTAAAAAAATGATAAGTAGGTCCGTCTTTATCCTGGTCCCAATAGAAAAATGAAAGCAGACAAGGTTTAAAATACTTGCTTGTGATACTGTGGTATTCAAAAGAATACACAACCCAGATATTTTTCATTCATGATATTTGTACTTGACTAAAATGTCCTCAAATGATGGTTAGATATTACTGCTGTTGAAATTTCAATATACAGATCTGTATAAAACCTAGTTATATTGCCAGTAGTTTTCCAACAGGCAAAATCAAAGAGAGAAAATAATTGTTGATGTAGAGAAATATTTAAGAAGATGAATTACATCTGTGGTTAAGCAAGTGAAACAAGGTGCTAGACATCCAGGTTTGACTGTAAATGTGAGGTTTTGACAGAACAGCAATTTATTTATGATGAGGTATGCACAATCAGCTAATACTTATTAGGGTGAATACTTTGAAGATATCAAAAGTTTCAAAAGTTTCATAAATGGATATTTCAAAATTAAGTTTTCAGAAAATGATATTTCAAAAATTAAGTTTTCAGAAGAGAAGTCTCCAAAGTTAAGTTTTCAGAAGAGAAGTCTCCAAAATTAAGTTTTCAGAAGAGAAGTCTCCAAAGTTAAGTTTTCAGAAGAGAAGTCTCCAAAGTTAAGTTTTCAGAAGAAATTTAAGACTGAAATTGTATGGTTTATTATTTACACCCTCGTTTATTGATATTTTATGGATATTGTTACTAGTATACTTGTTACATTTTAAACTGTTGTATTTTGATATTTTGATTGCAATGGTAAACATCAATCTATAATGTAAGTATGTGATGTGTATGATTATTACACAGACCTATTGATTATCAGAGATAATAGATATGTGTCATTATATCATGTGTATTTTTATATATTTGAATTTGTGAAGTTATTATTTTTTAAAATAAGTAATCTTAATCTTTTACAAATAAATTCTGCCTGACATTTTAAAAATCAATCAATGATATTGAAATATCAGTTTCTATTGTCTTATTTAATATCTTGTACAATAACGTTGTACCAAAAAGATTGTATGCTAACCAACTGCAAAGTTTCTCAGTTCAGCTTATTACCAATTTCTTTGAAACTTAATAGATTTTCTTGAACACCATTTTGGTTTAACAATATGGGTTAACACATTGAATGGAAAAATAATTGTGCAAGTTACAAATAAGAGATACATAAGTGACAGATTTCTTTCCAATTTTTATGTGAGATTTTCCAACACTGACATGTCACAATTCCTGTTTTTGTTTTTTCAAGCATATAATGAATATAAATATGAGATAATTAATAAGTGGATATATAACATAATACTGTGTTAAATTCAAAACATATCAGAAGTTCATGTATGTAAATGTCTTATTGAATTAGAAGAAATATCGTGCTGTAAACTTATAAATGCATCTTTATTCTCTGGAATTGGTGTGATATAAAGTCTAAGATTCATTCTCACATTATAACTGATGTTTACAACAGTTTAACGGTGAAATATTAAGTTCGATGGTGCAAGTTCATATTTATTGTGTTCTGACAAGTTTTTGTTATACCCCTGTTATGTGGGGCACTGATTTGGTTTAAATTTTACCTTACATCACATCAAGTTCTGCCATGTGCTATACCTTATCATGTTAAGGTTGTCATCGGTCAAAGGGTCAAATGTCATTCAAATTCATCCAACGGTGATGCTTACTTGCATGGAAGCACGGACATTGATATTTTTAACCTTCTATTTAGAATGCGGGGTATAATATAAGTAAAAATCTCTGTGTAAAATAACTATATTTTTGTTCATTTCAATATCAAAATAAAACTTTCTTTGTATCACAAGTGATTAGTGGGTGGTAGCTATGAGAACATGGTTTTATTACAAACATGTGATAAAGGGTTACCGGTATTAGCCCCTTTTTTTATTGTTCCTACACTACCAGCATTTATGTTCATTGGTACGGTTTTGTCTCCTGGCTGGCTGGACATTGACACTTGTGTATTCAAAGAAGATGCTTCTTTTCGCGAATGTAACATACAGGGCTGGCATATAGCATAAGAGTTGGACACGGCATATATGGTGGAAAATAAGAGCAGATGGCAGTAATCTTTTTGAACATGCAAAAATATTTCTTATTTCCCAATTTCAGCACATTTTCAGAAATATTTCATTCCTATTACATAAGAAATATTAGTACAGTGACTTTTTATCTAATCTTTTGACTTTTCACACTGGTAAGATTATGCAATACTAAAAAAACAGTGAGTTTTTAATGATCATATTTTAACTATAGATAGTTTTTATCAATGTTTTGCAATTTATATCTGTGATTTATTAGTTTAGATATAATCTTTGATAAAGATGATTTGTTGATACCGGTTTATTTCAAGTTTTTGTTCACTATTGACTGACAATGGAATTAATGTGAGTTTTACAGATGTATCACTTAGTGGTGAATTCAGGCATTGTCAACTTTACAATAATTATACTACCAACAAGTGTATAGGATTGTAATATTAAGACATAATTTGTAAATACATTTGTTATATTATTTATACTTTTCCAATCAGTGCTAAATAATTGTTAACTTTTAAAATTTTATGTGTGAATCAACTAGTTATTTCTTACTAACCATAGCTGATACAATTAGATGGAAGTGCTTTTGAGTTTATTTGTTAAGTTTATTTTTAGCATCACATACCCGTTAACAGCTTATTATTTTGAAACTGTAGACATGGACTTGTAACCTGTGCGGTTACATCATGATGATGAATCTAGTATGGTTATTTACATTTTTTACATGTTGGAACTGTGGGCTACTACACTTTGTATTTCCAGTATGAAGCATAAATAATGCAGAAATCATTATTTTTCAACCAGAAATGGATCATTTGCAAAACAAGATGAAACTTACGTTAAAAAAAAAAATCATAAAACCTTATCAAGATTATCAATAAGACATTATTTATAAATTATTAATCAGATACTGTCTTCCAACTTTCTTGTGTTTATCAGTGAATCCAGCAATATCAAGAGGACACTAATGTGTATTTTAACTAATTATCTCTTATTTCCTTCATTCTATTATTATGGTGATTTTTAGAAAGATTTAGATGTTTGCACCTGGATATCATTGTTGAAAAATGATTGGATCATCCTATTTATTAAATTATTTCAAAAATCCATGATGTATTATTATTTATTAGCTCACCTGGCCCAACGGGCCAAATGAGCTTATGCCATAGTGCGTGTCTGTCCTGTGTCCGTCCTGCGTCCGTCCTGCGTCGTCTGTCCGTCCTGCATCCGTCAACTTTCCATTTAAACAACTTCTTCTGAAATACAGAAAGGCGTAGAGTTATCATATTTGGCTGGAAGATTCCTCTGATGAAGCCCAACAAAGTTTGCAAAACGAAATGACCTGTACCCATGTTCAAGGTCACAGAGGTCAAATGTGTTAAAAAATTTAAGCTACTTCTTCCAAAATATGTGGATTATGGTTTATAATTACGTGTACCATAATTTTTCCTGTCTTTATATTCAATTGTTGCTATATATTGCTGACTGTGCAAGTCTCAAATCTGTGTTTGTAAACAATGATCTAAAGGGCAAGTAAGCTTCTGATTCTGTCCTCTGTTGTTGTCAGGCTAGGTACTGGTCTGTCTGTCCTCTGTTGTTGTCAGGCTAGGTACTGGCATCTCTATCCAGGTCTACTGTCCTTTGTTGTTGTCAGGCTAGGTACTGGTACCTCTATCCAGGCCTACAGTCCTCTGTTGTTGTCAGACTAGGTACTGGTACCTCTATCCAGGTCTACAGTCCTCTGTTGTTGTCAGGCTAGGTACTGGTACCTCTATCCAGGTCTACAGTCCTCTGTTGTTGTCAGGCTAGGTACTGGTACCTCTATCCAGGTCCACAATCCTCTGTTGTTGTCAGGCTAGGTACTGGTACATCTATCCAGGTCTACTGTCCTGTTGTTGTCAGGCTAGGTACTGGTACCTCTATCCAGGTCTACAGTCCTCTGCTGTTGTCAGGCTAGGTACTGCTACCTCTATCCAGGTCTACAGTCCTCTGTTGTTGTCAGGCTAGGTACTGGTACCTCTATCCAGGTCTACAGTCCTCTGCTGTTGTCAGGCTAGGTACTGGTACCTCTATCCAGGTCTACTGTCCTCTGTTGTTGTCAGGCTAGGTACTGGTACCTCTATCCAGGTCTACAGTCCTCTGTTGTTGTCAGGCAAGGTACTGGTACCTCTATCCAGGTCTACTGTCCTCTGTTGTTGTCAGGCCAGGTACTGGTACCTCTATCCAGGTCTACTGTCCTTTGTTGTTGTCAGGCTAGGTACTGGTACATATCCTCTGTTGTTGTCTGGCTAGGTACTTTATAACAGTATCATTGTCTGCATATGTATTGACAATTTAGGCCTATTATCATCAACTTATTGGATTTTCAGTATGTCTGTCTTGTGACCACAAAAGAAGCAAGATAAGGGATTCATCTTTGTCATTCACATCCCACATTAAAAAATTAAGTTTCTAAGGAAATGTAAGACCATCTGGGGCAAAATGCAATGAAATCAGAGATTTAGTTTTTGTCTATTTCTTTTTTATTACAAAATTTGAAATTTTGATGGATTTTGGGAACTGCCAGTTACACTCTCAAAAACAGTGATATTGATTTGAATACACTGTTTGAAATAATGCACTTCAATACATAGAACACATTATGCTGATCGAATTAATCAAGACTTACTTTTCAGAATTTTTCTATCATTAGAATTTTAGTAATTTCTGTGAAATTGTCAAGAAGATTGCAACTATCCATTTTGGATTTTGTGATTTCAATTACTTCATGTTACTTAGCATTCTGGTAAACTGGCTGAAAATTTTAAGCAGATAGGACCATTTCAAATATTGCTTAATGATTTTTCTTTAATACTAATGGTAGAATCAGTGAAATTGACTTGTAATCTCCGTTTCTCTATTGTGTCTTTCTCAATCTGTTGGCATAGTCCATAGTATATTTCATGAAACATACCGAATACTTATAAAGCATTTGATTTACTAAACTTTATGAACAAGCAAAAATACTTTTAATTTCATTTTAATAAGCACAATAATTCTGTTAAATATTATGACCTGCTGATTAATGCTAAAGATTTTATGCTAGTAAATACCCTTTAAAGTATAATTTAAGAAACTTGAGAAAAAGTATAACAGTCATCAAAGCAAGATTTTTAGCAACATATGTTCGGACAAGAATATAACACCATACACAAGACTTTCCATACAACAGTTTTATTCAAATGTGCAATGTTTTATTATCTGAGAAATAGTATTACAGCTACTTAAGAAACTTCAATGGCAAATACGCTTTGATACTTTATATTTTTTCCACATTTGTAGAAGATATTATTTCTGAATATTATTAAGACCATTAATACTTCTACAATAAATCAATAACTTTTCATGAAAAAAAACCCAGAGACATATTAGCAAATATTGTTACTATCAGCTTGATACCACAATACAGTTTTAGGTGTTTAGTTAAGAGTACCAGTGTTAATTTAGACATGGGGGAAAATACACACACAAATTGAATACATTGTACCCGTTTTTATATTTTAAATAATGCAAAATTTACTTTGGCATCAATTTGTATTGTGATCCAGAAATTATAGAGTTTTTAGACCAGTATTAATTCTCAGATTTGCATTATGAATCAGTCCAACAGAGCATATATACCTGGTAAGATCATTTCATTGGCTTGAACAAGGACAGTGTTAAACACATACAATGATCCTATAGAACTTCAGTATCATCCTTATCGTATGTATACAATATCACCAAGTGAAGCAACTACAATGAAGAATTCTTAAACAAACAACACCTGTAAGTCCCATTTTCAGTCTAGTCTTAGTTCTCTGTTTTAGTCCTTAAATTTAAGGGGGAGGGTAATTACCTAAACAACCTGCTCTCAAATACATGATGAACTTATCAAATAAAAACTTCAACCTTCATCCTTAGTTTCTTTTTCTATAATTTAAAAGAGTGCTTGAGATTAAAGTACAATGTAGTCCAGGAAAGTATTTCAGTTTTCATTCTCACTTAGTCATAATATATATATAGAAGTCATTTAAATTGTGTTCAGCTCAAGACTGTGCAAAAATCTAAGCTGGCACACAAATAAGTACATAGTACACTTGTATATCATTGCTAGTGGAATGATACCTTAAAAAGCCTGAATAACATGATTATGCAAAAAAAAAAAAAAAAAAAAGAAAAATAGATGAAATTTTCCGGTTGAATTTGCAGGATACTTCTTAATTCTTACATATGCACAGCAAACAATGAACATGTGAGTTTCCTCAGTTAATTTATGGGGGATAAAAACAGGAAGATTTGTTTGTACAAGTGATGATTCAGCCTATATAATACTATACAGGCAACACCTTCTTGTCTCTTTCAAAAACAAGACAAAACCAAAGATAATCAAGTAACATTAACATATATACATGATCAGTCAGAGATAAAAAGTCTGAGCTTTGCAAACGGATTCTTTACTCTTCTACTGGAGGCCTGATCCATGAAAACAAAAATTGTGACTATCCCAAGCATTTTTTAATGATGGGCCTCAGTTTCTTGACCCCACACTGTCCTGGCATGTTGCTGGTGGAGAACAAAATCACGTATTTCCTTTCAATTTCCAAATACTTCTAGTGGACAAACTTAGGGGCCAATGGAGTCAATACTGAAATGAAAAGCAACAACAGCATGTAAGTGTTTCATTCATATGCCTGCATCCTCAATCATATCTTCCATGAAATAAACTAGTAGCAGCCTGCTAAGACACTCTCTTATCTAATAGAATATTATGTAAAAACAAGAGGAGGGTAATTTAAAATTTTGATCTGTTCCCCCATTAGACCCCATCCTCTGTCTTCATAATAAGGATTGTACCTTCAGAATGCACAGTTTCTATGGAGCACTGGTTTTAAACCATAATATTTAATATAATATCAAGTAATTTGTAAAAAAAAAATAACAAATTGGTGTGAGTTGTCGAGGTTAGTGGAAACCACAGTACTTACCGATCTAATCAAAGGGTTTTCAATAGTAACCTTCCCGTGGCTGCTGGCATTTCCAATTTTCTTTTACTTTCATTTGATTCCTCAATGCGATCAGTATGGCTTGAATAGTGAAATAGTCTTTCCAATCTCCTAATAATTTAGATAGTTTCACCTGTGAAATAAATAGCATGTATAAATCTAACAAGAGACCACCACAGGATTTCGACACCCACCATATTATCATTTTATTGGTTCTAGATAAACTGGAATTTTTCCCACTTTTTCAGTTCTTTTCCTCTTTCTTACACTTTTGTCAGCCATTTATTTTTCCCAATCACTCCAAAAAGCAATATAATGCATAAGAAGAGACCAAGAGCAACCTATATACAAAATCAGAGAAAGACCCATCTTATTGTCTTTACAAGAATTACTACAGCAATAACAAACTTTAACTAGGGAAATCCAAGACAACCACCTGTCAGACACTTCGATGTTTTTCTTTCACTATCAATCAATAATTTGTGAATGTTCTATTGTGTACTTCTCAAAAAATATTGATAATCAAAATCCAAAATGGCTGTCTGTCACCACAAAAATAGATATTCAAACACAATAGGAAACCAAAGGTAACCTAAATATGAAATTTAAGAAATTTTCTCATGAGGTGAATATTTCTATTAGGTGCAAACTAGATAAATATTCATCCAAAAACAAGAAATATCCTTAATATACCTTAATATACACAAATAGTTATCATTTGTTTTTGTAACTGTACTCACTTGAAAATGTTAATCAAACAGGCAGCCAGTATTGCAGAAAAACTTATAACCCTTAGGAACCTTTTCAGTAACATTTCTTTTTGTACGACTTTACAAAAACTTACCGCTCCTTTCTCATCTACACAAGGTAAAGCTATTTTACTCTTAAATGTTACAGTGGGCTGATTCACAGGGTAATCTCTGTCACAATGTATGTTTACAGTGTAGATTTTAGCATCAAAGGGAGTCTGTAAAAGGAAAAATTCATAAGCTGAAGGTGGCCACAGCCTTTATTCATATACTCTCAACGATGGCATGGTACTGAGCATATCAATAACTAGATGGTAATTTCTCTTCATAAAAACCAAGTAATTTCTATATCATTAATAAAAATCTTGTTATACATATATAAGTAAAAGACCAACATGGTTTACATTAATATTGCTAGAGGATTCACATTATAATTTTGAAAACATATCAAAATGGATCTGCAGTTTTCCTTTATTGATTATGACAACAAGAACATGTACCTACATGTATATTATAAAACATTACTTATCATCTATATTACTTTTAAGATTCAAGATATATGAAACAAGAGATCTCAGAGGGATCTTGGCACCCACCATTTGAGGATCTGTTTTCAGTTCTTGAAGACTTGTTTATTTTTTTTTGTTTGTTACAGGTGTTGTAAATGTTCATGAACTGGTCTTCATTGAATGTACTCAATGATGGCACAAGATATTTTTATCAAGCACCTATTAGCAAATATCATTTGAAAAAGATCCCAAAGCATTATTAGATAGCAGTCAGTTACAGGTGAATAATGGACAATATGCTTGTGCTGTATTACTGTCGACATCCAAGATGGCTGCCTGTGGGCCACCTTGATTTCAAATCAGTCCAAAAAAGGTACAATGCACAACTAGGGACCAAGGGAAACCAATATCTATGAAATATCAGAAGGATCCATCCAGTACTTCCTCAGATATAGCAGTAACAAGATTTTACTCTCAAAATCCAAGATGGCTGCCTGTCAGCCATCTTGATTTCGGATCAGTCCAAAAAAGTATGATGCACAACTTGGAACCAAAGAGAACCTGCATATGAAATTTGAGAAAGATCTATCCAGTACTTTCCAAGAAATAGCAGTAACAAACTTTTACTTCCAAAATCCAAGATGGCTGCCTTTCGGCCATCTTGAATTCGGATCAGTCCAAAAAAGGTACAATGCACAACTAGGGACAAAGGGGAAACTGCATATGAAATTTGAGAAAGATCCATCCAGTAATTTTCCAGAATTAGCGGTAACAAGAATTGTTTACGGACGGACAGACGGACCATGGACGGCAGGGCGATTTGAATACCCCACCATCTGATGATGGTGGGCTAGTAAAATGTGACAAATGTGTGATATACAGAGGATCTTACATGGGCTTGCATTTATATCAGATTTGTGAAACAAGTATTTCATTTTTTTTTATTCTACTGAGCATCTGGCAGGATGAAATGAAAAAATTGTGATGACTTTCATAAATCTCCTTTGAAATGGAAAAATGTAAAATTCTGTTTATCACATAATTTAAGATACATGCACATTTTTCAAACATTTGTGAAAACAGCATTTAATTAGACCGATGCTTGAACTTGGCAATAGTCTCTGTCTTCATTTCTTCACTATGTATTTAAGTGAGTAGCCTGGGTAAAGCAATTTAGTGAAAGTAAATATATAGTAGAAAAAAATGGTTGGGCTCTACCAGGTCTTATTACAATTGTAGTGAAATTGTACTTAATGGTTGTTAGCAGGATTGTGATTTGTTGAAATGTGTACATGTGTAGTGATATGCTGATAGTTACATTAGTTGGTCCTATGATGGTACAGGTCCAGCTCGATAGTGTATAATCAGAGTCATCTTCAAGTCCCCATGATACTGTTCCATCACCACTTCCTTTTTCGCCACGTTCCAACTCATTTAGAAGTCGAAAGTTTCTTGGAACAACAACACCTAAAATTTAATTAGATTACAATGATTTAGTTTCTTTAAAGATAGCTCTTTTTCAGTCAGCTTAAGAGCCATTTTAACTTCATTTTAAGTATTAAGTTATACCAAAGTCTTATCACCTCTGATTTTACAGCACAAGTATCATTTTCAGACTCTATCAGTGATCACCACTTACCAGTATCTGTAACTATAAAAAGCAATTTTTCAGAATTTTATTATCAAATCCGTTCAGCAACAAACCATAAACCACTGATATATATATATTGCTACCAAAATTATTTCACAGTTTTGTGATAAGTGATGACTTTAAGACATATGGTGTTAAATATCCACCCTCTGGGCTTACAGGGTTAGTACAGCACACATTGAACATTTAGCCAAGTTTTCATCCACTTGGACTCTAAATCCCAAGTAAACAACATATGGTCAGATAATGGTTACCTATAGTAATTTTCACTTCACCCTACAGAGATCACCATTTTAAAAATTAAAGCCAGCAGAGAAAAAATCTCCAATATTCGATAAGCTAAAGTGTATGTTGCAGTTCATCAACCAGGTTTTGTATGGATCCATATAGAAGGATTCAGAGCTCTCCCAGCAGATGAATGAAGTATACAACAATTTGAAACATAGCATCAAAAGTTCATCCTCTTCCTTTCTGGTTCATTTTGAAAACTGTTCCAAGATCCAAGAAAAGTGAAGTCAAATAATTACTTTATTAAAAGTACCATTTTTGCTGACACATTTCTCTGTATCCACTGTGTCACTGATCAAACAGTAAACAATCATAACAGCTGCATAATCTGTTTTAATTGTTCACAATGTATTGATTCTACAGATATGATCCAATCACTGTGCATACCTTTTGGTATCCACTAAATAGTATTTTTTTGCACTCACTTAGTAATTAAGATCATCAATGGAAAGGCCACTTATGGAGTAAAGTATATTTTTGGGGAATTCAGCCATATCATGAAATATTATGAAACTGGTAATGGGCCAGTATTCTGCCCCATGGAGTCCCCTGAAAAAGCCCGGTAAAGAACACCCTAGATCTACCTAAATAGACTATAACGTAAGCTCCATTCCTGGTATCTTACTTATATAAGATATAATCACTCTACATTAGAGACTGCTTCCTGTAATCCTTTACTAATCAAAGTACTGAAAGTACTGGTATGCTAAGACCATTAAAACAATAAATTCTTTGTTATTAGCTTGCTATATACTGAAAAAAACTATATGCAAGCAGTACATCATTGCAGCCCATAAAAAATGACCAGCAGGTATCAGAAATAACAAGCATAGTAGTATTACTTATGTAATAAATGTCCCAAGTAGGCTCCAAGATGATAGGGAAGTTGTCCATTTCTTTGGATACATTGTAGGGAATGTTGATCTTGGACACCATATTATCACTTTAAAGACTGCGTATCTTATTGGTTTAAGATCATTAGCTAGACCATCATGCAAATAACATGCTACGTACAAATATTGGGCAGCTTCATTTTCCAGATTGTTTGTAAATGACTGCATGAGAGTGCCAATTTTATAAAACAAACATGATTTGTCACCATAACTTAAAATAGAAGATGCCTATTCTTCTGGAACACTTGGTCTTATTCTCCTTGTACTTTTTCAGGGAATCTTCAAGTAGATATTGTCTTTCTTTCAATTTCACACTTGTTTTGCTGGTTCTACAATTCTGTTGACATGTTTATATATTCTTTGTTCTCTAAAACTTGTCGCAAGATATTTTATTCCTCTTGTATTATCATTTTTTAACATCCTTACAGTGACCATGAACCTTGAAATTTGCAAGATGTGAATATCTTTTAGGTTGTGAAATTTGAAAGAAGAATGAGGGTAATGCAAAGGAAAACACACCCATGCAACTATCCGTTTTTTGACTGTGACCTTGATCTTGGACATCTGACCCTGAATTTCTTAAGAAACCGAATTCTCATAAGGGATACATGTTCCAAATTTGATTAAGGTATACTAACTGTTTTAGTCTCAATGCGTTTACAAGGTAATCATATTGTACTTATGCAAGTACTGTGACCTCTACATTCAATCCTCAAAATCATTACTATATCCTCTCCACATTGCCCAGGGATAACTGAAACTGTAATCCAAATGATAACTAATACCCCCAACACCCACAGCCTTAGTTATCTCCCCATGGTGACCTTTTGCACAGAAACATCCTCTGAAACACAGCGGCATGTGCACATATTCCCCGACATTCCTGCGAATTTTTGTTGAAATTGGTCCACAGGTTTGGAAGTTGACCAACATGCAAAACCTGTCTATATTGACCAGTTGCCATGGCAATCAATATTTCGAGAGAAAATGGTGCATGCACATCTACACATTGTCCCGAATATTACTGTAAAGTTTCATTTGAGTTGTCCAGACAAGATGTGTCTACAGACAGACGAACAGATGGATGGACGGATAGACAACCTGATTCCAGTTTACCCACCTTTTGGTGGTATAAGAATGCACAAGAGTGCTTACAAATTCCATGTGGACAGACATCATTGAAAAATAATAATGATAATAAAAACATGATAAAGATGCTTATATCTTGTTTTATTCAGTTTTTAGATACAGTATTCTTTCCATGCTTTGATCAGCAATGTAATCTTGTCATGTCAATATCCTAGTACAAGATTGCGTACACAAAATTGTTGTAGGTGGGCTTTTAAGATGAATAAAAAAAAATACATGCCTAAGTTTAAATGAAGGTTTTAAACAGAAGTCGTAATATGTTCAGTATACAGTGATTTTTCTAGACAATTGTAAACTATAAACTTGGTATACAGCGATCTTTTCTACACATTTGTAAACAACAAACTCAGTATGCGGTGATCTTTTCTACAAAAAGTTTTTTTTATATATATTGTATACACTAAACTCAGAAAAAAAATAAATAAGTAAACCTTTCTATGTACACTACAAACTCAGTATACAGTGATCCTTTCTACACAAACTTAGTATAACTAGTGAATCTTTCTACTCAAGTAAATTGAAGATTGTATACAAATTTACTACAAATGCAATATACAAAGATCTTTTCCACATTTTTTAAGTTTCTGCGATTTGTTGATTCTTCTTTTGTGATGGTAAATATATTGCCGCCTTTAGAGAGTACTGTGACCTTAAAAGGCAACATGGTTGTTAGCATCTCCTCAAGTGAATAATCATCTTCAACATCTAATTGGAGGCCGGAAAGAAGGACGTTTTTCTCCACCATAAGGTCCTCAAATCCATTGTTGGTCATAATAGCCAATTCCAAGTTAGAAGAATCAATAGAGATACCTTCTACCATTCCAGATTTCATTTCTTCAGGGACATCCACCTGCTGAAAGAGAGTAAGGGAAATAAATAACTATATTTCATTATTGCTATGATTATGTGCAAGAAATATACACTTCTGTATAAGCTTATAGTCTTGAACTTCCCAATAGGAGTCTATATTAAATATACTGTAATTACTTATTTTGACATTCAGGACTGTCAAATTATTAAGCGATGGACAGCTAGCAAAATAATAATATCTCGACCATGGTCATACAGAGATTGTGTAATTTAATTAATTACATTGGACCGTCATGTAATGGTAATCTAATTATTTTGAAAATACCTGTAATGGAAATGCCATTTTCATAACATAATTTAAATTTATTTAATTACATCATCATGTAATTGCACCCATGCCCATTACAAACATTAGCTGTCCTAACTGATCCTAAAATTAACTTTGGCTACTTCTATCACAAAATTAACTTTGGCTATGTCTATTACAAATGCCACATTTAGCTACAGTAGAGGTATTTCAAAAATGTATGTCATTGTAGCTGAAAGGACATAATTAATGGTTACTTAACCAGAACTACAGTTCTGAACAAACCACTACAAAGCCTGGTTAACTGTACTAAGAAAATGTCCTCTCAATTAATCAATTTCATTGATTATTGACATCTTATTGTTGTACTCACTTGAGTTTCTTAAAGTTTCCATTTGACTTTTAATAAGGCCCAAAGTGATAATACTGCAATATCTTAATTAGCTCTCGAGGGGTATTGGTTTGACTATTTATCCCATTTCATTCCATTCACCATGGAAGCAAAACTCTAAAACGCTAAAAAACAGTCGACAATTAATGACAAATATTGAGTCAAGGGCTGTGTAAAATAGATGAATCAAAAGTGTTGAACTGAAAGTGGATGCAGTTGACATAATACTGAAATGAAATGAACAAATACAGTACATATATTAAAAGTTCAGGCATAATAAGAATTGTACCAATTTCACTTTACACATTCACACTGGGACCTTACACTTTACACATTCACACTGGGATCTAACACTTTGCTAGGTTTATCCTAATCTTTATTAAAACACCTTCCGGGATTCAGATGTTAACTGACATCTTCATTATTCCCAATCTTTATATTGCAATCGTTCACATGCATCACTCTTCAACAGAATCAATGAGACATCATGTCAGAAAGACAAAAACTAAATTTAAGCTAAAACTATATATATTAACTTCACATGTAAACCTTACAATTGGCATACCTGTAGAGTTCCCGTACGATTTCATACCCTGGCCTTGGGGTACTTATAAATTATCTCCGATTAAAAATTTGAAAGAGCTAGATCTACAATAGCACGGACAGTGACCGATATTTTAAAGTAAAATCGATATATTACACAGATAGATTCCTAGATCTATTCACGGTAGCGTAAGTAGTACAGTACAATATTACGGATAAGTTTTTTTCTGCTTAATTTCCGATATGTTGGGCCACTGACAGAAGTGACTGCAATGAGACCATTATGAAACGATCATTCAAAAATAAATCCATTTCAAAATACTGAAATACTTTACGGAAGCAACAAAAATGTGCTAGATGCTTACATAACATTTTTCAAATGCATACTGCTTCAAAGCCAAAGGAAAAGTCTTGAAACTATTTTGAAAAAAAGTGCCATGGCAGCAGTGCCCAGCTTGCGCGTCGAGCCTAAATTCAATACATGCGATGGCTCATTTCAAATGAATTGTTGCAAAAATGCAATTGCTAGTTCAGTATAAGTATTGACATTAAATTCAGCTTATATATATATATATATATATATAGTGATACTTACCTACATAAGTTACCCGCCATCTTCTTTCAGCCGCCGTCTTCTTTCCGGGGCAGCACCGGGCACCCCGCCTGTTTCCGTCAAAATTTTATGCTACTCTAAATCATTCTTATTTTAGTTTCATTCTTATTTTCAACTACATATTTCAGTATTTTCAAAAGTTTTCAACAGTATTAAACGGGATGAAAATTTTCGAAAAAGAAAAAAAAAGAAAGATATGACACCCACAATGCATCGCGCGGAAAAGAAAGTTCAGCCGCCATATTGGCATCGCCTCGCGAAATTTACCACCATAAAACGTGAGTCTTTGTCATTGTATTTACAAATTTCGATGTCTGATTATCATTAATACACAACACAGAACGTTTTCTTGATGTACAAGTAATGAAGAAAATGTCGATAAGGTTGTTTCATTTAATGACTAGGATCAGCAACTTGTAGGGGCGATAATCCAATGATTACGGTAATGTCCGGCAGATGGAGTAGGAGTAAACTTTCGATTTATGAACCAATGAAAACGAAGTACTGATACTCAGGGCCAGGGGCGACAGCAACATGCTGAAGAGCATTGAAAATGCTCTTAGCATAAAAAGTGAAACTTATTTTTCTTTCCATCAAAAGGTATACATTGCAAACCAATTTTACAAATGATTAATAAAATAAGATCTACCTTACTATATTTACTATATGTAAATAACTGAAAAATCTCCTTATATTAAATGATACCTTTTTCAAAGAAAGCACACATAAGCATGAGTGAACTGCACATTTTTTACTTTTTGGTTTTAGGTTATCTCCCATTAACAATCAGTTAGGGACATTTTACAGTAGGGTCTTCTTATTGTAGATGGTGAATTCCTTATTACTGATGATTATCACAAGTGAGGCCTGATAGCTCAGGTACAGCATCAGCCTTTATTGCAACCTTAGAGAAGATCTGACTCAAAGTTGTGTGGTTTGATTCCTATCTAGATTGATTTTCTCAAAAAGTTACGACTGCTCGATCTAGTGTCCTCATTGTATCCTGAGACAAGGTACTCCAAACCTTGCAATTGCTCTGGATAGGGTCAAGTATCTTGCCTTAGCTGTATGTAACACTGATCACTTTCTTGGTTCTTTGTGTTTAGAAATATAACCTCACTTTGCAAAAACTAGTAATACTGCTCTGTGCTATGAAAACACTATAACAAAGACCAGAATTGATTGGAATATTAAAGACACAGGGATTTTGTCTAACATTTACATTGACAATTTCCCATTAATGTGATCTAGTGCCAGACTATCTGCTGACTGCTACCTCTACTGGATCATCAAGATAGATGGGAATATACAAGCATCCTGCAACAGAACCAGCTGGACTGCCACAAAGGCCAGGAAAGAGACTGGCTGATGACTTTTTATCTAAACTAATATGCAGTTAATTGTATTATGAACAATCACACTAAGGGTACTGAGATATCAAGTAATACCTCTCATCACACAAATCAAATATCAACCAGGCCTGTTATAAGATGTTGGTGAAGTCAACCAATGGGATCATTCTAACAAATTCATAAACTCCATTAAGAAAGTTCAGAAGAGGGTGGCATGGTTCATATTGAGGGATTATGGTCAAACCAACAAACACCACCACAATACATAGTCCTATATATCCTCAACTACTTGAATCTTGAAAGCCTCAAAGATCAACCTATTAAAGTCTGAGCTACTATGATGGAGCAGATTATCAATAATCTGACTGGCATCTTGTCATCACTTCTAAACCAGACAGGATCTGCAACCTAAGGGCATGGTTTTCAGTTTCTCCAACTGTACCATGTGAAGAGTTTCTTCCCAGCCAATATCATTTGAAACTCCTTACCAAAAGCATTCACCAGTGAAAGCTCTACCTATCCTGAATTTCTGAGGTAGCTGTTTTTCCTTTCTTAAATTGGATTCTCCTTTATACTGTTCATCCGTGCATGATCATTTCCTTAAACAAGCGGCAAGTAATACAAATACAAGCTTACAGTACACAACAGGCTCAAAATAGTATTCGCTATCCCAATATTTGACTTATATATACTGTGCTGTATACACTTAGTATTACGTTTCTATATCACTAGTTTATACGTTCACCACTTTTAATTGGTCATGTTATGGACATGCCTGCATCATAATCCCAGTATCATATGACCTGGTCACTAATTAATCGATCAATCAACAAACTTCTAACAAATTAATATTCATGCATTGCAATGTCTCTATGACGTGAGGTTGTCATGAGGAAGTGATGGCAGTAAAAAGATGATTTTTTAATACCTAAATGGGGGTGAAATATGCTTAAATAGGAAAAATCGTTTCCATCACCACAAAAATATTTGAATTACACTGATTACGTGTGAAACGACTCGGTAATGAATCCATAAATGCCTATGTTATAACAGTACCTTGTGATGCTCCTTTATTCGCCATTTTATATACGCCAATCTAATGGAGAACCGGAAACGGATTCCGGATTCTACAACCCACCTACTCTCGTGCTATGCGTATTGTGCGTTGCAACTTCATTTTAAAAACCAAATTAGGTTTCGATATAATTTATTTTTCATTATCAGTATTGCTATCTGGTTCAAAACTCATGTCATATTCTAAAATCAACACGCTGTCATTATTTTAACAATGAAACATTTTTCATATTTATTCTCGCGTATTTTATGAATGGGAGTGGTATTATATTCATGGAATACAACTTACATATATATGGCACGGGTTAACAATTCTTAGCAATTGATGTCAGCGTTTAAGACTTAAGTATCATGATGCGATCTTCAACACATGGAACGTAAAACCATGTAGATCTAACAGCAACAGAATGTACCTAGAATTGTTAACCAGATGGTCAAATATGATACGGTCAAGGCGGACGTTAACATTTTCCAGCGTGTACTAGGTTCATGTAAAAAGTACCGAATAAATGAATGATTAAATAAAATGTGTATATTTTACATATTTATCATCGAATGTACTAATAGTATCAGTCCAGACTATGTAAAAAATGAATAAACAAATAAATCTGTCCAAATTATGAAAAAGTCCCTTTCAACCTACCATCATTGAATACAGGGAACAATCATGCTTGTTTAACGTTATGTCAGGAATAAATCCCTCGTGGTGGGCTTATTCAGGACAGGAAGATGTAACTTTTATGTCACAAAAATGTGCGTATACCATAATAAATGTAGTGTTATTTAAAAGCCTATGATATGGACCTTGAGGTTCTTAATTTATTGTTTCATGAAATACTTCAGACACAACATGCACAGTACAGTAATCGTATTAACAAGGTCTCTGGAGTATTTTTTCAAATATTTTATTTAAAGAATTGCTGAGCAATCCATCAGAGTCATCGAAGAAAAAAAAATCTATGTATTTCGTTCTTGGATCCGACCCCTGACTCGATGGATATATAATATATCCGGAAAGGAACCGCTTTTATATTTACACTACCTTCATTTTCGTAATTATTATAAACTTGGGTAATAAAGATAAACTTATGATTTTTAAAAACCATTAATGTTTAGCACACGTTTACTTACCAAAAACTATCAACAATCCATAATTTGTACCAAAATATTTTTAATCCGATTATTGTCTACCGGAAGTGGCGTAATGGTAAACAAATATGGCCGACCAAACATTCTTTCTTGCCGGAGACCCGTCTGCTGTCGAATAAATTGTTCTGGAGTAGATCAGAAACGCATATATATAATGACTGAGGTAATTCTGTTCCAAGATTAAATTTGATAAGATTCGTTTTAGTTTAGAACTTGAAATTCTTACGATAAACCAGAAAGCGTGCAGTGCAGATGAGATGACACAACACAACAGTGACACAGGTCATATTTGAACTGTTAAATGATCACATTGACTCTGCTGACACAACTTTATCCATGGATGTAACTGTCACAGATTATCTCTTTCCCTTCAAAACCTGTTTTGTCAAACACCTCCCCCTCCATAATTCTCTGATTACTGACCATCTCTTTTGCCTGTATATGTTGTCTTTGACATTTGTTTAACAAAAAATAATCCGAAGAAAATATATATTAAAAAAATGATTAAATCCGCCACTGTCTAAGAGTGAGTGCAATGTGACCAACAATATGAGATGCAAATTAAGAAGTGAACTGTTTTGAGATCCTTGATAGGGATCCAGTCTGATGTCAATGAGGCCATGGATAATTTTGTAGAACATCAATTGCTGGATTCCAGATGGATCCTCCTGCTGAGTTTCTGAAGCATCCTTGTGACATGACTATACTGTGATTACTATTATAATCACAGACATACTGGCTGCCTTTCGTTAAATCTTTTTCAGGTTATGAGTGTTATAATTGGTTTGTGGGTTGCATATAACAGATCTACATCCAGGTCCTACTGCAAATTTTATGAGTCTGCAATAGTGTAGATTGTTCTATACTGTAACAGAATTAAATTGCAAGAAGACAGTTCTTTGATATATACAAGGAGGGGTCCAAGCATTGTCTCATGAGGAACTTCTGATAATACTTGAATGTTTTGTGTGCACCCTGCTATATTTGAGATTTATTTCAGCATCGAAATGCCTTGCTGTTGTATTTATAGTGAATTTTAAAGACAAATATTGCTCCATACATAAACATCTCAATGTGTTACGTTTCCTGTCATTACTTTGTTATATAAATCAAGTATCATAAGTACTATGGCGAGGCCAATATACTTCAATGTTTTCTACATATATTTGTTATTTTTTGAATTGTTAACATTAATTTGTCTTGTTAAACTATATTGGTTATTTCTATTTTAGAGCACCTGTCATGGCAGCAAATACCTTGGAGCAGATTAATGCTCTGTTGATCACAACTTCAGCTAAAGGAGAGTTGGAGCTATTGCAAAAGGTTCATTCCAACTTACAGCCTTTGTCATTGAAACATTCCTCTCCAATACAAATTCCTAGAGATGATCTAATTGAGGAGGAGGTCATACTCCCCGTCAATGGTCGCTGTCAGAATTTTACAGATCCCTTGGAATTCTGTGGTACACAAGAAGCACTCAATAAATTTACATGTTATGTCTTTGATCGTCGGTTTGGTTGGTCTGAGGCCAATAGTGATGGTGGGGGACGAGTCAGACGGATGTCCTGTACAGGAACTGTGTTAGCCTCCAGTGATGGTCATCACAAGGCAATCATCATTGATCTATTGGATGTATTTCTAAAATGGTATGTGAGAACTCTGAATTAGTTAACACAGATATGTCTTGACATATTATTTTATCCAGTTTGTAACATTTTGTTTTTCAAATATGTCAATACAATATATATGTTGGTACCATGTTAATACAGTAGTATCTTATTGGGGGTTCTGTTGTGGAGATAGGTGCTACATGCATGTTGCTGATTAAAGGAAAGTGTGTTTTAACTTTTAAATGATTTCTCAATCAAAATATTGATACAATACACACCTTTAAATAAATTTGCATTTTGATAGTTCAACAAGATATATATATATAAACCTAGGTATATTATGCTTAACTGAAGAGATGACTGTTTTGTTAGGTATGCTCAGCAGGACCTGTACAGTTCCCTTACTGAGGCCTACAAGTACACACTAAAACAGGGTATGTTTGTCAAAATACACACTGATAGTCTGAAACAGGGTAGGTATGTCAAAATACACACAGACGTATATATGGTGTGTTAACAAACTATCAGTTTCAAAGTTCACATAACCTGAAGACCACTTAACTAGTAAAAGGATTTGTTGTTTTTCTTGTCTTTTTTTTTTCAAACTTTTTTTCAAAGTTTGATTCTCTTGTACTATACATGTATTTAGGTGTAACTTGTTTATTCGCATATAAGAACAAATGACTTGATTGGCTAATTCTTTCCTGATCTCATCTGTGACAGGTACTTTTCTCTTATCTACCTCAAGTTTGATGTTCAGATAAATTTGCTAATATTAAAGAAGTTCCTGTCTATATAAGTTACATGAAACCAAACAATGTTTTGTTCTATCTAAGATATGTCAGCTCAGAGAAAACAGCAGTATTTACTTTACATATTATATATATATATATATATATTCAAAAGATCTTAAGTAACTTCTAGCAGGGATTATTACTGTTTTTTTTATTCCAGTTGCAAACATGCCAGTAGTGCGAAACCGAACAGTTGTCCATATAATGGAGTGGTTGAAGGAGAACAGACACAGTCTTGCTGACTGTCAGTATGCCAGCAGTACATTGGTAAGTGTGTACTCCATATCATACTTATCATGCCAGAAAGTTTTTTATTAATCTGTTAACAAGTTTTGGTAAATATTTGGTATATTTATTTTAATAACAAAACCCATTGTGACATATTGAAAAACATTTACAGTGTGTATAATGTCACAATGTCATAATATAACTGAACAAAATGCAAATGTACTATTAAATCATTCTTCATTTTCTCTTTTGAAATCTTAATGTTCTCAAACTGAGACTTAAAATTTGGGAAAACCCAAAGTATTGCTGGCTTATGATTCACATGATTGAAGTTGACATAAATTGTATTATATTGGTTTGATGATGTGTGAAATAATTTATCAGTTTTTGTTGCAGGACCTGATTAAATCAGCTCTAACTGATGTCTGGTCTGCAATAAGAAATGCATGTGCTAAACAGTTTGTACACATAGTTGGATATTTCAGACTGACAGAACAGGAGCTTCTTTTCAACAGCTTAGTGCAGGTCTGTTTATAATCTTGTTTATTGTTAATTTTTATGATTCCTTTTACAATCATTTGAGATAAATTGAATGGGAAGACAATCGTGTTACTGCCAGTACTTTGAATTTGTTTTTTCAACTTAAATTTATTAAAAGATCTGTGCTCAGTAGCTTAATATGTATGTAATATGTATTGAATGAATGTCAGCTTAATATTTCAATCTAATAATTTGTATGTTTACATCAATTTCAGATTTGCAAGTGCGATAAAAGTTTATGGCAAGCTAAAGAGGGCGCTATTATGGGTATTGTTTACATTTGTTTTAGTTTTATTGCTAATCAAACACTTACTAAAAAAAGAACATTGTTTTTCTAGTAAATTGTCAAGTCTTGAATATGAAACATTTTAATTATTTGAACCTACTGCTGTTATCAGTATGTTGAGTCCTATATTGGTGTATTTGTATTTTACTGTGAATTTCTTTGTTCTGTATACTCCTCACAACTATTGTCATATCACATTTTTATTTCAAAGCATCAGATAATATCAATCTAAAACATTCAAAGGATTAAATTGTACATTGATGAGTCTCAATACTGTCCATACTGCTGAATGACATACATATATATATAGTAAATATAGTTAATAGATTTATATAAGTGTAAGCTGTGTTAATAAACATACAACATTTAATTGAGAATTACATTTCCTTGCAGGCATCAATTCTATGATTCTGCAGTGCCAGAATAGTTCAAGTTCTCAGTCACACACTCCTCAGTTTTTTCTGGAGGCAGACTCTCAGGTAAACAAACTGTTATTGTTACATTGAATTGAATGGTTTAAGGAGAAAAGAGGGAATCTTGCGCAAACATGTACTGTAACATGTATATCTGATCAATAAAGTAATAATGACTGAAAGGACATGTTAATTGTCAAATTTTCAATGCAATCTGCACTTTTATCAAGACACAAATATTACGTATATTATATAAAAGTATTTATGATAAAAATCAGTTAAATGCACAAAAAAGTTTTAAAATGATATTTTGAATATGGTCGAACAGGCCCCAGATTCTTCCACTCGCCTACAAGAAACTCACCCCAGAAAACTAGATTTTCTACTTCTGGACTATATAAATATAATATATATTCATAATTCCACTTGTGATATATTTATGTATGATTATCAGAGAGAGGTAATGCATTATTTGGGATCCTGAGAGAGTAAATCAGTTATTTTTGGATCCTGAAAGAGGTAATTAGTTATTTATAGATCCTGAAAGAGTTAAGCAGTTATTTAGAGATCCTGAGAGAGTTAATCAGTTATTTAGGGATCCTGAGAGAGTTAATTAGTTATTTAGGGATCCTGAGAGAGTTGATCAGTAATTTATGGATCCTGAGAGGGGTTATTAGTTATTTATGGATCCTGAGAGAGTTAATCAGTTATTTGTGATCCTGAGAGAGTTAGTAAGTTATTTAGGGATCCTGAGAGAGTTGACCAGTAATTTATGGATCCTGAGAGAGGTTATTAGTTATTTATGGATCCTGAGAGAGTTAATTAGTTATTTGTGATCCTGAGAGAGTTAGGAAGTTATTTAGGGATCCTGAGAGAGTTAAATAGTTATTTGTGATCCTGAGAGAGGTTATTAGTTATTTATGGATCCTGAGAGAGTTAATCAGTTATTTGTGATCCTGAGAGAGTTAATAAGTTATTTGTGATCCTGAGAGAGGTTATTAGTTATTTATGGATCCTGAGAGAGTTAATCAGTTATTTGTGATCCTGAGAGAGTTAATAAGTTATTTAGGGATCCTGAGAGAGTTGACCAGTTATTTATGGATCCTGAGAGGGGTTATTAGTTATTTATGGATCCTGAGAGAGTTAATCAGTTATTTGTGATCCTGAGAGAGTTAGTAAGTTATTTAGGGATCCTGAGAGAGTTGACCAGTAATTTATGGATCCTGAGAGAGGTTATTAGTTATTTATGGATCCTGAGAGAGTTAATTAGTTATTTGTGATCCTGAGAGAGTTAGGAAGTTATTTAGGGATCCTGAGAGAGTTAATTAGTTATTTGTGATCCTGAGAGAGGTTATTAGTTATTTATGGATCCTGAGTGAGTTAATCAGTTATTTAGGGATCCTGAGAGAGTTAATCAGTTATTTAGGGATCCTGAGAGAGTTAATCAGTTATCTGTGATCCTGAGAGAGGTTATTAGTTATTTATGGATCCTGAGAGAGTTAATCAGTTATTTAGGGATCCTGAGAGAGTTAATCAGATATTTAGAGATCCTGAGAGAGTTAATCAGTTATTTGGGATCCTGAGAGAGGTCATTACTTATTTATGGATTCTGAGTGAGTTAATCAGTTATTTAGGGATCCTGAGAGAGTTAATCAGTTATTTAGGGATCCTGAGAGAGTTAATCAGTTATTTGGGTTCCTGAGAGAGTTAATCAGCTATTTATAGTTCCTGAATGATTTAATCAGTTAATTAGGGATCCTGAGAGAGGTAATCAGTTATTTGAGATCCTGAGAGAGTTAATCAGTTATTTAGGGATCCTGAGAGAGTTAATCAGTTATTTGAGATCCTGAGAGAGTTAATTAGTTATTTATGGGTCCTGAGAGAGGTAATCAGTTATTTAGGGATCCTGAGTTAGTTAATCAGTAATTTTGGGATCCTTATTGTTTTAATCAATTATTTAGGGATTCTTGGATAGGTAATCGGTAATTTAGGGATCCTGAGTGAGTTAATCAGTTGTTCAGCTGTAAAATTTCTGATACTTAAACAAACTGTCCAGAATAAGGTTATTAGAGGGCTCACTGGACAAGGTGTTTAGAATTTTAATTTCTGGTAAAATATGGTATATAAAGCAGTCAGGATAAAACCTCAAGTAATGTAAAAATCTCATAAAGTACTCTTTAACCAGTAAGAAGTTTTGCTGATCGTCTGTGTTTTTTTTTTGTCCTTCGTGTGAACAGAAATCAGTTCCGGATTTTGTGTCAAATCAGATACATACAGTGGTGTTTAGCTTACTGTCCAACCCCCAACTGACCATCAGGGAGAATGCTGCTAAAGCTCTGTCAGCATTTATATCCTCTTCTGATGGCAAGGTAATGTACAACTTAATGTAAAATTCATTATCTCTGCAAATAGTTTTCTATTAATTAATCTGGGTTTAGATTCTAAAGAATAAAACAAGATCTGATTTATGAGTTTGAATTTGAATAATATGACAAGTTTTATTTCCTTAATTCTGTTTATTAATTATCTGGTTGTATTTTTCATCTGTATTTTTTCATCGTTTCACTTTTTTGAGGTGTTGTGTTACATGTTAGTGTGTCAGTTTTTATCTTTTTGGTAATTTGAAGTATGATTCATTACATAGATACCATCTCTAACATTGTATTGTTTTTAACAGGAAGCACTGTCAACATTAGAAAAAGTTATTTCTGTTCTTTGGAGTGAAATCAACATGAGACAAGTAGATAAAAACTATGGAAATGTGGTAAGAATGTTTGGATTTTTTTGTTTTTTTTTTTTAAATAACATGTGTTCCATACCTCAAGGATTTTGAAATATCATCTCTGCATATCTGTTTATCAGGGATTTTTGAAAAATATTATCTCTGTGCATCTGTTCATAAAGGATTTTATTTTGAATTATTATCTCTGTGTATCTGTTTATCAGGGATTTTGAAATATCATCTAACTGTTAATCAGGGATTTTCTCTGGAAATGTTATTGATATGTATTTCTTTAGTACTACCAATAATTTCTTAATCAGTTTGATGATGTTTATCGATAATGATAAAATTTTTCAGCAATTACCGGTGAAATTTCTTGATGCCTATGCAGCTGAAGGGATTTTAGATGTCTGTCTATTCCTTGTAAAGGTATTTCTATTGTTAAGTGAAAATATCAGATTTACATTGTGAGACACCAGGTAAGACTACATAAACAATAAACGACTATGTATATATCACCAGATCTGTTGACATTGATCCACAATCACAAAAATTACAAAAAAAAAAAAAAAAATCAGATTAGCTTTGTTGATCCAGTTTATCAAACATTGTTAACATTACCAGATTAGCTATGTTGATCCAGTTTATCAAACATTGTTAACATTACCAGATTAGCTATGTTGATCCAGTTTATCAAACATTGTTAACATTACCAGATTAGCTTTGTTGATCCAGTTTATCAAACATTGTTAACATTACCAGATTAGCTATGTTGATCCAGTTTATCAAACATTGTTAACATTACCAGATTAGCTATGTTGATCCAGTTTATCAAACATTGTTAACATTACCAGATTAGCTATGTTGATCCAGTTTATCAAACATTGTTAACATTACCAGATTAGCTATGTTGATCCAGTTTATCAAACATTGTTAACATTACCAGATTAGCTATGTTGATCCAGTTTATCAAACATTGTAGACAATACCAGATTAGCTATGTTGATCCAGTTTATCAAACATTGTTAACATTACCAGATTAGCTATGTTGATCCAGTTTATCAAACATTGTTAACATTACCAGATTAGCTATGTTGATCCAGTTTATCAAACATTGTAGACAATACCAGATTAGTTATGTTGATCCAGTTTATCAAACATTGTTAACATTACCAGATTAGCTATGTTGATCCAGTTTATCAAACATTGTTAACATTACCAGATTAGCTATGTTGATCCAGTTTATCAAACATTGTATACATTACCAGATTAGTTATGTTGATCCAGTTTATCAAACATTGTAAACAATACCAGATTAGTTATGTTGATCCAGTTTATCAAACATTGTTAACATTACCAGATTAGCTATGTTGATCCAGTTTATCAAACATTGTAGACAATACCAGATTAGTTATGTTGATCCAGTTTATCAAACATTGTTAACATTACCAGATTAGCTATGTTGATCCAGTTTATCAAACATTGTAGACAATACCAGATTAGTTATGTTGATCCAGTTTATCAAACATTGTAGACAATACCAGATTAGTTATGTTGATCCAGTTTATCAAACATTGTTAACATTACCAGATTAGCTATGTTGATCCAGTTTATCAAACATTGTATACATTACCAGATTAGCTATGTTGATCCAGTTTATCAAACATTGTAAACAATACCAGATTAGTTATGTTGATCCAGTTTATCGTACATTGTATATCAATCAATTTTTTGTGTTTTTTTTTGTTAGGTGCTGCCTCTTCAGCGTCTCCTTCCACGCTGTCCACAGTACCTGTCTACATTTCTCCTCTACTTGTCACATCCAGCATCCACAGTGCGACAGGCTGCCAGTAACATATTTAAATATCTAGGTGAGATTTCAGACAGCTGAAGTTCTTTGTTTATAGTGAGACTGACTTTAAATTGTTAATTGATACTGAGCTATGATAAGTCATTATGGAGACCAGAAAAAGTTTCAGATAAACTTCAATGGTTAAACTATTTCTTGAAGTAATAAATTTTCAACACTCCTGTATGGTGTTAAGTGAGGTAGCCACCAGCTATTAAAATAAGATCCCGTCTCAAAATAACTTTGTCTTTTATTGGGGCATTAAACCCAACATAGAAACCAGTCAATGCCTGTCTAACAACAGTATTTGTATTTTAGTTGCCAAAAGTAGTCACAGTGCAGTGCTTGTGAAACTTGTGCTACAAGCTCTAACAGAAGGTTGGGAACCTAATCTTGATGCTCTCAGTAGAGAAGAAAAAAGTGGAGATGCCTCAAGTCACAGTACCCGGCCTTCAGTGTCAGATGCCACAGGTAAATTGCTTCTCATTACTTTCCAGAAATATACAGCCATTGAAACCAACCCTCGGTTTAAAGGCCATAGATACTATATTTGTTAATTATAAGCTTCACCTTTTATCCTTGTGAGTCGAGCATGCACGTTGTATACCAATGCAGCTTACGTGGACAAAAAAAATTGTCAGGATGAAAAGAACCACAGGATGCGTACCAGTACACCAGTACGAGACGGTACCAAGTTTTTCAAAGAATACCTGCCTTTCACGTATTTGTAGCAGAAAGAGATCGTCTTGAACAGTCATTTTCAATCATACACAGGATGATTTGAAAATTGAAATAAAAACAACATTCTCTTGGATTTAGTTAATCATACCTTTTGATATGAATCACAATAATATCTTCTGGACTTTCGCGGTTACTTTAAAGACATAGGGGAAGTTTCCAATAGCCTTTTGCATCTGGAATCAATAGGTCATCATGTTATAGGGCAAATTTTAGAATAAAGGATTATCTGTGTGAAATTAATTTGCAAACTTCATTAAATTTTTCACTGACCTTGATATGTAGCCCTCCATTGCCTGTTATGTCAACAAACTAATGGTTACCACTGCATAGGTACTGCCTTCTCTCATTTATTACTAGTATTCCAATTGTCAACAAAAGTGGTCACCATATCGTAAGAAAGGGGGTGGCTTATACCCAGAAAATACACTAAGTTATCTCTGTTACATCAAATTTCATTTCACAAATAAACAGCCACTGTAACCAGTCCTAAGTCTCATCAACTACAGGAGATATTTTTTTTCTGTATAAAAAAATCCCATTTTCATACACTCAACTGTAATAAGCATTTCTTTATAAAGAATGTAGTAAACATCAAACCTCTTTAAACTGGTTAGTTATCTCCCCTGTTAGGACATAAGGCCCAATGCCTGCCAAAGACATGGAGACCATGGTTATCTCCCTTGAGGTGATATGAGACAGAACCAGAGTTCTATAGGCAATGGTTATCTCTCCTGTTTTGACAAATTAAACTAGAATAAAGACCTTTAACATACATTGCCTAACCCTTAAACCACATGTTAGCACTCCTGTTAGTAAAGCAGTTATAGAGATTTTGGAGCCACTTTTCCTTTTTTCAGTTACTGACTTGCATCTTGTAATTAGTGACCCTTATGTGTATTAAGTCACTCTGACAGACTATCCTCTCAGTAGGCCACTGTTTAGTTATCTCCCCTCAGTAGGAAGAGCAAGTCAAGTTAGCTAGATCTTTATTAGTGGTAGATAAATTTCGTGCAATACTGCATTTATCCTTTTTACCTGTTACTGATAATTCTTACCATTTGTATTTTCCACAGAAGGTAGTATTCTTGAGACATGGGAAAGCAGGGAAGGAAGACTGTTTGCCTATGAGCTGATAATGAAGTTCTTGATCAAGAACCACTGGCTTTACACCTTTGGTCCTGCAGGATCTGGTGCAGGAATGGATTGGAGGGACAGATCTGGGAGCATGGAGACAGACAGAGAAATACTCACTGGTTTTGAACAAGGGTAAGTGCAGTGTATTATCATTTAAGTAAATGAAATATCACTCAAACTGTATTTTGATATAAATTTGTATATCATTATATTACAATCTGTGTTACCACTTGACCTTGTAATCACTTATGATATCATGTGTTTTTACCTGCTCTCTGCTATAAATGTCTCTATTTCGACTTTGATAATCTTCAAAAAAACATAGATGGCAAAAAATGTACATGAATGTTCTGCAAAAAATATACAAGACTCAATGTTTGAATGTTCACTTGTACCATAAATATTGCCTGATTTCCAGATCAGTGTGATATGTTTACGGTCTGGCTTAATAAGTGTATCCCAACAGGCACGAAGTTCTGTCCAATTTAGAGGCCATTATATATACAGCTCTAAATTATCTTAGAATATGATAGGTATGATGGGTCTCATTCACTTTTTGGTTTACTTTGTACTGTTGATTTATGTATACAATGGGAGTAATGATCAAATTGTAGAGTTATTTGGTACTGTGTTTTGTCCCTGGTGTTTCCTCAGTACTGTTGAATTATTTATAAACTAAGACTAATGATAACATTGTGGGGTTATTTTGTGCTGTGTTTTGTCTCATGTTTACTTAGTACTGTTGATAAACAGAAAGATAATATTTCTTCACTAAATGTTGTTCCAGACAAGAACGACAAAAAGGTAATGCAAATGGCAGCGACCTCCTTCAACATGGAGATATGCAGGTAAATTTTACTTTTGTTCGGGGTTTTATTTTCAGTTGTAGAATAGTTGTGTGGTTGGGGTTTTCCTACCAGTAATACGTTATTGTTTTGCCTTCTTAGTAGAATTAGTTGCTAGGTTTTGATATAATTTGTTGTCTATAAGATTTTATATCTTTGGTTAAATATAGGTCAGACATAGTCATAAAAGTGATTATGCACTGACAGCAATTATGGTAACATCGCTAAAGCTAAAGCCTGCTTAAACATGTTTTGTTTAAACTTTAGGATTTGTGTACAGTGATAATTCCTATCATTTTATTTCCTGTTTGTGATGTTATGATGTTGTTATTGAGAAAGACACAGAAATGAGAATGTTTTATTATTCTGGTTGACTATTTATCTCTGAGAAACATCATATTTTGTCATATTTCTCCAAGTTAAGATTAATTTTTGATGATATGGTACATTTTGTGTTATAGTTTGAGACGTTAACAACCCCAGTGGAACCAGTGGACGATCTGCATACCTCCGAGTCAGAAATGTCCTTCGCAGTAAGTACAGTCATATATCGCTTTCCTTTTATTTTGCTTTAGGTATTAACACTTTTGAAATTTCTTGCAGCTATATTTACATATTATCAAAAGCTAGCATTTTAAAATTGCACTCTGTAACACCTGTTATGTAGGAGAGACTATTATATGTATATAAATATTTATCATAATAAATGTTAAACTCACATAAATAACGGATGTATTAATGAAACAAATTGGATATTTCACAGGGAAGCAATATACTAGTAAATGTATTAATCTGTTTAAGTTTATACAATCACCAAAGATGATGTTCCTCTATGATGATGTGACATTACTATATGACTCTATGTTTATGTAAAAACCTATATATATTGAATCACATCTGGTCTTACACTGCAATCACTTGTCCAGCTCATTTTAACTGCAATACTTTATATTATGATTAGGAGCTGATATTTCCCTGAGAACTTTTGTCCTTGTACATAGTGTATCATCTTCAGACATGTAGGCAATGCTGTTATTTTCAGAATCATTTTGGTTTTATGATGCATTATCATTTTTCTAGGACTAGAGATTTGTACTGTGTACATTGTAGCTTGGTGTGTCGGTGTAGGCTAACATTGTACCTGTATATCATTTATAGCGAATCAGGAGAAAGTACTGGAGAAAGGTAGAATAGAGACTGCTTTTACCCTAGTTACTATGGAGATGTGTTAGCTTAGTTTTCATCTTAGCTTGTTTAGGTACCACCTTAGCTTGCTTAGTTGACATCTTTGAGTGTATAGTTACCATCTAAGCTTGTTAAGTTTCCACCAGAGCTTGCTTAGTTACCACCCTAGCCTGTAATTTTGTCTTACTCCAACTTTCACAGTAATGATGTGGAAGATAAGCAGTGTTTGTTGTACAATTCAATATTACACAAGTGTCATTATGTGCTGTGAAAGAAATACATAAAACCATAATATCACAATGATATGCTGACATGGATATGAATAACTAGCTTTATGGGTCAATGATGACATCTCTTGCCCAATGACACTTGTGTAGTGGCTGATAGCTGCTGATCATTGCTAGAATTTTCGAGATTACTCTACTGTAATTGATTTCAACATGGATTTCACTGTATAATTGATAGCACAATGAAGCTAAATTGAAGTTGTACCACAAACACAGCTTTCCTGTTAGCTGCTTGTCAAGTTTTATAGAAACTTCAGTATGTCAGAAATTTCTTTAGGTTTCACTGTTGCATGGATTTTTAGGTCACCAAAGTCTCATGGTGACCTATTGCAATTGTCATTTGTATGGTGTCATGTGTTGTGTGTCAGTAAACAGTCAACATTTTCGACAACTTCTCAAATACCCTTGATCCAATTTCAAGGAAAAACTGCAGAAACCTCCCCTGGCCAAGATGAAGCAAAATAGTGAATTACGGATATACGGTCCCCACTGTCCAGGGGCCTGAGAGGCGGGATAAAATGCAGTCATGTTGACTCAAATTTCAAAAAAAAATTTCTCAATATCCAGGTATGGGAGAATCAAATGATTTTCATGGACGGAAGAGTCTTCAGGTGCTATGACAAAATTGTGAATTTCATGACTTCATGATTTCCCACTTGGAAGGGATGAAGTTTACTATAGTTTAGATAGGAAAATTGCATTTTTTTAGGATAACATTGATTTTTCCCTTTGGAGATAACTCAGTAAGAATTATTAGTATAGGGTGACAGTTTTGGTGACCCCAAAGGGCTGGAAACATATCACTTAATTCTTGCGGTCATCAATGTATTTTTTGTGACACTGAAACTACTTACCCTATAACCTTTATATTTCAATATTGCTTACTAACAGGGCCACTAGTTCACTATTGCAATATTATCAATATGGGGTAAAGCACGATTGTGAAAGTCAAACTAATGTGGTATTCTTCTGCGACACTATTGGGGACTTAATTCTACTGTTCAGATGTGTATGTATAAAGTTATCTTGTAAATGCATATATGCATGAGAAATCATGTAAATTCTAAACCCACTGGAATTAGATGAATTTGATTTACTAATGTAGAACAATTAAAGGAGACATGCTTCCCAAAATGATCAGCCTCACATGAACTTAAAATTACATTATGCTTTAACTCCGTATAATTTATCGCTTTGTCGTCTACAAAATGAGGTATTGGTGGTCGAATGGTTAAGGTGTCTGACTGTCTTTATCACTAGCCCTCCTAGCATTATAATATCCCACAAAAATAAGATGTTATGAGAAAGACTTAATTCAGTTAAATGGTAAGGTGTTACCCAGGAAAGATTTTACCCTGGAAATGATGTCTTTAGTTTAAAACAAGAAAGTACACATGAGCATGTCATGTTATAAATGGCATTGATGGTATTACTAGAAATATGATTATCAATTTGTTGCTATGATAGTATATGACAGCTTCTGTTATAACATATGATTGTGAGAGAGTGTCTTTCTTTGTAGTGAAGATACATGAACTAAACAGTACAGTAATAATACATATTCAGATACAGGTCTAATTTGTAATCAGTTTGAATAAAAAGTAAAATAAACCTGACATCCATTGGATACATTCTCTGTTAAATTAACATGATCTTTTTAGGTCATTTCTGATGAAATGTTTTAATTATACTGGTGAATACTTGGGTAATCAACTTTGCATATTTAGATATTAACTTTAGAACTACTAAACCAGATGCTGCAAAGTGCCATTCTCGGTAAATTTAAGTACATTGTATTAGGATGAAACTTTCTTTCTAAGGATGGATTCAGTTGTATTTGCAACCATGGCTGAGTGGATCACCATTCAGCACTAGACGTGAACTGGCACATCCTCCACTCACTACAGCAGCATGTGTTTTACCACTTACTATAGTGTTGGTGATAGAAAATCCCTCTTGTTTGTGTTGGGCTTGCAAAGGATGCTGTAAAACATTCATTCTACTTTTCAGTATCCTGGATATATTTGTTTAAAAGTTGCAAGCCTTTCCATAATTTTCATAAGCTTGTCACTTCTAAACACAATTTTTCAAAGTTTCATTACCTGAAAATCAAATCCCTGTGCATCATAGTCATCCCAAGACTAAATTATATCAAAATCTGCTGATCTGAATTCGAATAAATTCTATCAAAATCTTCCGATCTGAATTCAAGTTATACATAATTGTTCACGTTGTAACAAAAAGGAGTGAAACAAAAACTAGTCACTTGATGGTTAGAATGATGAAGATTTGATGTATATTTCTATGTGTTAGTAATGTGTAATGGATCTCACTGATAAGATATGTCTTTGTAGGTTCGCTTCTTCACACAAGACATGTCAGGTGACCATAATGAAGCAAAACCCAATGACAGGTGAGGAGATTTCTAACAATATCATAGTTCATTGTCATCTGGTCAAAGTGGCTTATCTACAACAATGAAGGAAGTTAAGGGAGGGTAATATATAGGAATCTTACTTGGATTTCTACTGCCACAATTACACACATATATATACATATTTTATAAGTATGGTCTATGTACACTAATGCATTGTGATGCAGCAGTAATTCCTTTTTATCATTGATGTTGTAAAGAAGATGTATGATCGGTCTCTTGTCTAGACATTTACATTAATATCAGTGCCACCTTTCTCTGGCTTAATTATACCAAATTTATAATATACAGGTAATTTGGTGTGTAGAATAATCATAATAACTGGAAATATAATTGTGATACTCACTGGTAATTAGTATTGTAGTAATACTTTGGTATACTAGTATTTGATTTTATAATATTGAAGTTTGACTTGTTTTAAAGGATAACAGGAGCAGTAAATGGTTCCTGTCCATCACATAAGATCAAGGACACAAGTCCAAGTCAGCTGGACAATACATACTCCATACTGATGCAAGTCAAGTTCCTTGAGGCAGTCAAAGTAAGTGCACTCTGTACCAAGTAGGCTTTAAACAGTAAGTTCACTCAGTACCAAGTAGGTCTTCAACAGTAAGTTCACTCTGTACCAAGTAGGCCTCAACCAGTAAGTGCACTCTGTACCAATTAGGCCTTAACCAGTAAGTTAACTCTGTAACAAGTAAGCCTTAAACAGTTAGTTCACTCTGTACCAATAAGGCCTTAAACAGTTAGTTCACTCTGTACCAAGTAGGCTTTAAACGGTTAGTTCACTCAGTACCAAGTAGGCCTTAAACAATAAGTTCATTCTGTACCAAGTAGGCCTCAAACAGTAGGTGCACTCTGTACCAAGTAGGCCTCAACCAGTAAGTTCACTCAGTAACAAGTAGGCCTTAACAGTTAGATCACGCTGTACCATATAGGCCTTAACCAGTAAGATCACTCTGTACCAAGTAGGCCTTAACCAGTTAGTTCACTCAGTACCAGGTAGGCCTTAACCAGTAAGATCACTCAGTACCAGGTAGGCCTTAACCAGTAAGATCACTCTGTACCAAGTAGGCCTTAACAGTAAGATCACGCTGTACCATATAGGCCTTAACCAGTTAGTTCACTCAGTACCAAGTAGACCTTAACCAGTTAGTTCACTCAGTACCAAGTAGGCCTTAACAGTAAGATCACGCTGTACCATATAGGCCTTAACCAGTTAGTTCACTCAGTACCAAGTAGACCTTAACCAGTTAGTTCACTCAGTACCATATAGGCCTTAACCAGTAAGATCACTCTGTACCATATAGGCCTTAACCAGTAAGTTCACTCTGTACCAAGTAGGCCTTAACCAGTAAGATCACGCTGTACCAGATAGGCCTTTAACAGTTAGTTCACTCTGTACCAAGTAGGCCTTAACCAGTAAGTTCACTCTGTACCAAGTAGGCCTTAACCAGTAAGTTCACTCTGTATCAAGTAGGCCTTAACCAGTAAGATCACGCTGTACCAAATAGGCCTTTAACGGTTAGTTCACTCAGTACCAAGTAGGCCATAGGAAAATTTGATTCTTAATTTTGTGTAGAAACAAGAAATATTATCAATGTATTCATGCAACCTATTATTGTAACCAAACATGATTATATTCTGCTGATTAGATTTTTTTAACACATAAGATTTTGTGAACAAAAATCTAACTCTCATCTGCTGTACTGTCTCTACAGTCAGACTCTCACCTAGTGACACGTCATGTCACACAACCAAAAAATAAAACTGTCAGATTCTCACCAAATGACTTCCCTGTCACCCTATAAAAAGCAGATAGTCTGTCACTTATTGGCACTGTCCTGTCACACAATAAAATACAGACAGTCTGACTCTCGCCTAGACACGCTGTCATGCCATACAGCAAAATATAGACCATTGAACTCTTATCTAGTGTCCTGTCCTGTCACTCGATAAAAAACTTTGAAAGTCTTTTGACAACACAGTTGCAACCCTAGAGATTCTTAGCTCTGTTCCGTGAAGTGTCAAAATTTTATCTGTAGAAATAACGCCACCACATTTACTTAAGTTAGTTTCTATTGTAAAAGTACATGTTATAACTTAGTTTGAAATTTAGAAAATGATGATAAAAGTTTCATGTTATTACAGGATACAGGTAAAAATCACATCCCTGCAAGTCACCAGCTTCAGACACTAGAGCGACTGTTCCACCAAAAGGATGAGAGGTCAGTTTTCCTTTGGCAGGTCTTTACATTTCTTTATATGGAACATAGTCAAAATTATTACTGTGAATTCAGATGGTATTTTTATAGTCAAAATTATCACCATGGATTCAGATGATATTTTCATTCCCATTGAAGTGAGATAGGCATAGTGAAGCATAGTGCAGTAACAAAAAAACCCCACAAAAATTCAGATCAAAATGTTTTACACAGCATGTAAACTGTGTAGATTATTGGGTTTGTTTAGATCAGGATACCGTAGTCCTGGAGTTAAGTTCTCCCTGGACCTATAATCCTGCCTTTGTCATTTATTGGCATCTTTCTGTATGTCCTTTTCACATTTCTTTACATCAATTAACTTAAGTGCAAAAGTTTCATGTCATGCTTAAAAAAAACAAAACTTCTAAAAGCTGGGACTGCATTATCTATTGTATACAGTATTCATTATTGTCTTTGAAAGTTGAAATATTTTTTCCTATGATGAGATACTCTTATGCATGTTATGATATGCATGTGATAGTGTTGAGCGACAGATGGTGGAAAGTTGGCTACAGGCACAGGAAGTGTCTAATCTAAGATCCAGTCTCGTCCGTGTCCTTCATCAAACTCTTGAATGTTTATCGGACTCACGTTGGGAACTCGGACGCATGGCACAACAAGTAAGTAATAGATTACAAACATAAAAATTCTTGGACCTGTTGTACCTGTTTTATCTTTTAAAATATCATTTACTCCTTGGTTCTAATCTTCACTACCAGAATGAGTTGACTAGGTTGGATGTTATAATAATATGTTCGTTTTAGGAATTTCATGTAATCCTTGTTTCTTATGAGTAGCTGTTGAAGTATGGTTTCAAAAGGTGTCAGCCCAACTCGCTATAACTGGTATTCATCAGAAGAGGATTTTGTAAATAGTGCAGAGCTTTTTAAGTTGCTGTGATTATATTGATGTCATATTGACCTCTTTGTTGAAGGTGTTGCCCTGTTTAGCAGAGGTCATTCGATGGTTTGACATGAGTATTTTAGAGGACTTGTGGAAAACACACCTACCACAGAATACCAGTCTGTTTACCTATGCTGCAGCATTGCTTCTCAAGGAGTCTGTTATACACTGTGTTAGACTGGAGCCTCTACTTCACAAGCCACCAGGGTCATGGCAGGTCAGTAAGGGTCAAAAGGTTGCCCCAGTATTGCAAGGTTTAAAGGTCATGGTAGGTCACTAAGGGTCAAAATGTTATGATTGTACTGAAATGATTGAAGGTGTCAAGGTCATGGTGATCAGTAAGGGTCAATAGGTTATAAATATTTAATGCACTTGTAGCCGAGTATGATAATGAAAATAGCACTCTGTTCTGGGTTTGATTAATTAAGACTTACAATTAACAATAACTTGACATGAACATACAATAGTGTGGGACAAAAAAAAGTGACATTTACAAATGTAGACATTACAAAATATAAAATTATGTTTGAAATATCTTACCAGGGATGATGAATCAACTGCTCACAGATATGTAGATGATGATAATTACTGAATCTGATGTCATGCCCAGAATGATAGTGGGGAAGGATTGTGCAGGGTATGGATAGGTGTTTAGTATGTGCACACATTCTTACTCACTCAACCTACCAGTATCTCTTATGCAGACTTGTTTGTCACACTGCTGTATCCTTTACACTTCCCCTTCAGGACCATGATGTCTGTAAGAAGATAATCTCAAATATTGTAAAAAGTCTGACCACTCAGCTGCACAGTTGTCTCCCTTGTCTGGACAATATCGTACAACGACCAGTATTTGACCGCCTGTCTGTGATAGCAGCCAGCACGATTATTACAGTGCACAACCACTTCTCTATACAGGATGACCAGGTACACTAGAATGTCTGATTTAAATTTAATTGTTTATTACAAAGATCAGATACAGCTTGGATAATATTGATCCTTTTGATGTACCATATTTTCTGGCCTATAAGCCGCATTTTTTCACTCTGAGTTGGATGTGCGGCTTATATGCCAGCACATCTTATATGTGGACGAAACCAATGAAATTGGTAGAATTGGGAAAAAATGTAGTACAAGTACAAGACATCATAAACTGGTTTTTTTATGAGTTCCATGTGTTTGTGACTGAAACAAATCACATAGAACGTTCTCATGGATTTAATTAATCATTCTTGTTGATATGAAACAGTAATAGATTCTTGACTTACATGGTTTCTTCACAACAGTATATGCAAGAAAGTGTAGTGGATGTTTCCAGTAGACTAATTGTTCAAGTTAGGAACTGGAACGTTTTACCCTGTGCTTCATACATGTTAACACAGACATTGTTTTGTCATTTACATTTAAAGTACAAATTATGGATAATTTTTCAGAGAGTGAAACAGACTGCCACAGTGCTATCTTTCTGGAAACTCCTGTTCTGTTTTACTCACCCAAACTTGCGAATCTCCAAAGATTTAATACATGGCAACACTGATATTAAGCTTTTCTCATCACCATTTGAGGGCTATTTGAGGTAAGCTACTGTAAATTGTGCTACTGATTGTATTAAAGCTTTTCACGTCAGTTAGAGGGCTATCTGAGGTAAGATGCTTTGAAATGTAATGCTGTTGTATGAAAGCTCCTCTCATCATAAGAGTTGTGTTGGGTAATGTTCATGTACAATACTGTAATTTACCTGAATCCTTATTTTAGCTGTTTGGCAAAAATGAAATGTTTTTAATTAATGATAGCTATAGTAACAGTGTTGAATATTTGTACAGAGGAATTGTATCAATTTAGACATTATAAAGTAGACTGAGGTTAATTGGGGACGATGTGATATAACATGATTCTCAGCATTAACAGAGAGAAGTTTTACAATCTTATAGAAAAGTTTATATGACAAAGGAATGTTTGCATTTATTGCAGTTGTTGCTTGGTCAGACCTGACAATAAACTACAATGTGCCAAACAAGTGGAGAAACTATTCATCACGGAGATCCATCACACCTGTAGACATTTCCTACAAAACCTGCCAGTAGAAAGTTCCTCCCTCCTACTTCCTATGGTGGCTCACTACACTGGTATATTTGTGGAGGACTCGCATATCTGTAAAGCATTAACAGAATGGTAGGTTGGTGTATGGTCAGTAATTTAGCCAAATCAAGGTCTGTTGTGTGGATAAGAATGGGATGGGTTTGAGTTACCAGTCGTTACCTGTGTTATTAGGGTTGGAATGAGGAGTAAACTTTGTTTGGAATGAAGTTTTTAGGAGTAACAAATTGTTTTTTTACATAGGTCTGAAATTCTTGTGAAGAGAAAGAAATGACAGACCCTCAATTTCAGTAGAATGATATAATTTGATAAGGTTAAAATGGTATGTTTTAGTAAATAAAGTACATGTATGATTATTGTTTTTGGTTTCAGTCTCAGTGTGGTTGGTGCCAAGGTAGTGGAGTTAACCATGAGAATGGAAGACAATGAACAAAGACAAAGCTGTCTCAAATGTGTTAATTTGTCCTTAAAAGAGCTGTCAGCAATTGTAACAATGAAGGTATGCAATTTATCTAACTGATCAGCTATTGTAACAATGAAGGTATGCAATTTATCTAACTGATCAGCTATTGTAACAATGAAGGTGGGCAATTTATCTAACTGATCAGCTATTGTAACAATGAAGGTGGGCAATTTATCTAACTGATCAGCTATTGTAACAATGAAGGTGGGCAATTTATCTAACTGATCAGCTATTGTAACAATGAAGGTGGGCAATTTATCTAACTGATCAGCTATTGTAACAATGAAGGTGGGCAATTTATCTAACTGATCAGCTATTGTAACAATGAAGGTGGGCAATTTATCTAACTGATCAGCTATTGTAACAATGAAAGTGGGCAATTTATCTAACTGATCAGCTATATTAACAATGAAGGTGGGCAATTTATCTAACTGATCAGCTATTGTAACAATGAAGGTATGCAATTTATCTAACTGATCAGCTATATTAACAATGAAGGTGGGCAATTTATCTAACTGATCAGCTATTGTAACAATGAAGGTGGGCAATTTATCTAACTGATCAGCTATTGTAACAATGAAGGTTGGCAATTTATCTGATTGATCAGCTATTGTAACAATGAAGGTGGGCAATTTATCTAACTGATCAGCTATTGTAACAATGAAGGTGGGCAATTTATCTAACTGATCAGCTATTGTAACAATGAAGGTAGGTAATTTGTCTGACTGGTCAGCTATTGTAACAATGAAGGTAGGTAATTTGTTTGACTGGTCAGCTATTGTAACAATGAAGGTAGGTAATTTATCTAACTGATCAGCTATTGTAACAGTGAAGGTGGGCAATTTATCTAACTGATCAGCTATTGTAACAATGAAGGTGGGCAATTTATCTAACTGATCAGCTATTGTAACAATGAAGGTGGGCAATTTATCTAACTGATTACCTATTGTAACAATGAAGGTGGGCAATTTATCAGATTGGTCAGCTATTGTAACAATGAAGGTGGGCAATTTATCCGACTCTTCAGCAACTTGTCTGGCTGGTCAGCTGTCATATTAATGAAGCTCTGCTATTTATCTGACTGGTCAAATAACAGTCAATAATGCTTTTTCATATCTATTTCAATATCTATTAACATCTAAGCATGATTGTTGCAGAGTTCAGAGGTACACTTGGTACAGAAAGTGTTGAATATCTACATTACGTTGTGTCAGGCCCTAAACCCAGTCAAGCATCTACATCTTATCCTGATGGCTATCTGTTCCAGGGTTAACAAGGTGAGTTGCAGTCTTACTATGTGTTCTGATTTGAATCAGTTATATCAGGAGGATATATTTAATTTCTATGCAATTAATATGTTTATAGAGATGTTGTACTCTTTAAAATCTTGTGTTTTATTGTAATTCTATGGAAAGAAGTCAAGTTGATAAATGAATGTGGATTACTTATGTATATATAAACATCAATGTTTCAGCATTTCAAAGTAGAACTTATCAAATTCTTACTCTAAATCTGGTTAATCAATTGGAATTACATTCTAAAACAAAATTAGTCCAAATAATCTATTATGACTATCAATATAAAGGTTTATTTGTACAACCACGCCTCCCTTATTGAATAATTCTGTAAGGCTGTCAGTATTAAGATTTATCATGTACAACAATGCCTCCCTTGTTAAACCTTTCTGTATGGGTCTCAGTATTAAGGTTTATCTGTACAACCATGCCTCCCTTGTTAAACCCTTCTGTCTGTCAACTTTCAGGTTTGATTGTATAACCAAGCCTCCCTTGTTAAACCTTTCTGTATGGCTGTCAGTATTAAGATTTATCATGTACAACCATGCCTCCCTTGTTAAACCTCTCTGTCTGTCAATGTTCAGGTTTAACTGTACAACCACACCTCCCTTGTTAAACCTCTCTGTCTGTCAATGTTCAGGTTTAACTGTACAACCACACCTTCCTTGTTAAACCTCTCTGTCAATGTTCAGGTTTAAGTGTACAACCATGCCTCCATTGTTAAACCTCTCTGTATGGGTCTCAGTATTAAGGTTTATGTGTACAACCACACCTCCCTTGTTAAACCTCTCTGTCTGTCAATGTTCAGGTTTAACTGTACAACCACACCTTCCTTGTTAAACCTCTCTGTCTGTCAATGTTCAGGTTTAACTGTACAACCATGCCTCCCTTGTTAAACCTTTCTGTATGGCTGTCAGTGTTACAGTTTATCTATAAACCACGCTTCCCTTGTTAAACCATTTTGTTTGGCTGTCAATGTTCAGGTTTATCTGTACAATTATGCTTCCCATGTTAAAATGTGACTGTGTTTTCTAGGATATCTACTTCAGTGCTGAACACTCACCTCGTCCTGGGGATGACCTTTCCTTATTATCTAACAACATTCCATTGTCCAGCAGTCCCGACACAGCCCAACATTGGGACCAAGAGTATGTGGTCATCACTGGTCAGTACTTCTCCTTCTACCACTATCACAGTTTTTATAGAAGTTAATCTTAATTTTTTTTTCATTATGAAAGGACTGATCATAATTATATTATTGATTGAATTTCACACATAAATTACAAATCAGTTTTATGTAATTCAGATAAATATACATCACTATTGTGTAGTTCTTATGACTACATGTGGTCAAAATAACAATAAATAACCATTTTAATCTACACTAATGCACTGTTCCTGTTTTGTCTTCTGTAAATGTTTCATATTTAGACCATGGAGTTGTTTGCTTATTTTATACCCAACTGTTTGCCATTTTGAATCTACACAGGAAGTCCTGGAGTGTTTCCGGAGTGCTTGACTCTGGACCTTAGCAACAACAGTGGTAGCCTTCCATCTGGTCGCCTCAGTTCATTAAGTCAGTATAGTGATAAAGGACGAGCACGCTCCCCCACACAAAGTTTGGAAAATGATGATGGGGAGCATGGTCAGGAGGGCAATGATTCTGACTGGGATAGCTGGGATGAGGAGGAAAATGAGGTAAGTACGGAGAATGAAAACAGGAGGGTACAGATACTGACTGGGATAGCTGGGACAAGGAGGAAGACAAGATGAGTTTCAGGAGCAGATACAGAAGGAATCTATTTCTGACTGGAATATCTAGTACGAGGTGGAAAATGAATCAAGTTTACATATAAAACCCTGCTACTGAGTGTTGGGTAGAGTCAAAGTTAGATGAAACAACACTCCACACTATTGATATGTTTAGCTACACATTGACATCTATGTGAATGTGATAGTATTCTTTGTATTATTACAATACAAACAATAAATTTAGAGCTATTCAATTACAACATCTCCATGACTTTTGTTTAGGGGTACAAGGAATTTAATTGGTTATTAGCTTAAAAGTGAATGGCAAGGAAGTAAACCATAGATTTATTGTTATTGTCACTCAAAAATAAAAGTCTGTTCTGTGTCTGTTACATATTTATGTCTTAAATGTTCCCTGTTATAGGACAGGTTAAATAGTTGTTGACTGTTACACAACAGGTTAACTGGTGGTTTACTGTTACACAACAGGTTAACTGGTTGTTTACTGTTACACAACAGGTTAACTGGTGGTTTACTGTTACAGAACAGGTTAACTGGTGGTTTACTGCTACAGAACAGGTTAACTGGTTGTTTACTGTTACACAACAGGTTAACTGGTGGTTTACTGTTACAGAACAGGTTAACTGGTTGTTTACTGCTACACAACAATTTAACTTATGATTTATCTTTACAGGGATCTGAAGCACTGAAGGAAGCATTCTTGGAGTTCCTCATAAAGCTCCGAAAAATTTGTAATTCAGGTGAGCTAGTTTAACTTTCAGATTACTAACGATGATCATATACACACAAAATATTTTCCCTATCTACAAACTGACAGAAAGAATAAAAGTCACTTTTAATATAACTTACTAATTATTTGGTCAATCTTTAATCATTACCATATAAGACTTATGTGCTATCTGTTTCACAAACCAGACAATATGCCATTTCTTCTGGCTGTGTTTTATCTTGATAGATACTGCAAAGGCAATATATTGTATATCTGGCTATAGACCATCCAGATGAAAACAACCACAGCAGCTTCCATGTCTGAGTTATTTAATTTATTACACTCAACTGTAATGAATAGAAAAACTCAAACTTAGAAGCTGTTGTGGTTCCTTTCCCCTGGATTGATCGCTACAACACAGCCACCTTGCATTCCTTTGGGTATCCATAAGTAAAACCAAGGAATTGGCTCCATCCCTGATACCCTTCTGGCTAAAAATGATACATTGTTTATATGGCTGTGATAGATTAGATTCTGTCCAGACATTAAATCATACATCTAGCGGTATTGTGTCTGATAGATCTTATTGAGACATTATATTGTATATCTGGCCATGTTGTGTCACTTACATTCTGTATAGACAATATATGGTATATCTGACTGTGTTGTGTCTGACCGATGCTGTATAGACAATATATATCGTATATTCTGTATAGAAAATACATCTTATATTTGGCGGTGTTGTGTCTGATGGATTATGATGTATAGACAATATATTGTATATTCTGTATAGAAAATTCATTGTATATCTGGCTGTGTTGTGATTCTGTATACATGGAGTTATTAAGTGGTTTTGTTTTGAGTAAAAATTACATTTTATGTTAAGCATTCACTATTGCTTGTGTTTAATATTTTTCAATACTGTTATTACAGTCTGGGTTATCAAGTTGATATTGCAAGTTTTCAGAAATACAGGTTAGACCCTAGCTGGTTGACCAACTGGCTACATTGATTGTAGACAGTGCAAAATATTCTGTAATCATTAATTATGTATCATATTAACAGTCTTCATATTTTTTTCTCTTTCAAAGGGTCAACAGATATTTTCACCACAGAGCTTAATAAGTTGGAGTATCGCGAGAAAACACTGATCCTGGACATCATGGAGGGATGACAGGAGTCACAAATATGTATACATTATCCGTCCAAAGATTCACTTTTGTCTTACTGGGTCAAAAATAGCAATTCAGTTGTATGACTTTTTATTTCACCAGTTTTTTCTATCATTTTACTGACATGTGCTTTTGTTTTGCACATTATTACAGATTTTGATTTGAGTATTGTCTTGATGAATTCTCAGGTCTGCTGTACCAGCTACATTCCTGCGTTATTATCAGTTGATGTAAAATTTACAACATTGTTGATGCTGTAGGTGTCTTCTAGTCCTCATTTCCTTTATACCTGTTTGTATGATCACAAACTTTGTATTAAATACTCTTTTGTGTCAGCGATATATATTTTTATATAATTGTTTTGTATAATTGACACCAGTCATGTTCTGTAACACACTGTCATAACATTAGTCTACAACTACTTTTAACATGTCTTCTTAAGCAAAGGTCCATTGATATTTTGTCAACCTTCATTCACTTCTACTTCTCAAAACATTTTGTTAAATTTCTTGTAAACTGCCAGGCAGGAATCTATGGCTCTTGTACAATTTGACAATCTAGTACTATTGATTACCTGTAGTATTAGCAAATGACATCAGAAATATGAGTGAAATCTTAGTTGTCCTCCACTCACATCAGACATGCATGTCGCTGACATTTTAGTTGTCCTCTAATTACATCAGACATGTGGCTGATATCCAGGTTGTCCTCTGGTGACATCTGACTGTAGCTGACATTTCAGCTGTCCTCAAGTGACATCAGATATCTGACTGACATCTTAGTTGTCCTCAAGTGACATCAGACATGTGGCTGACATCTAGGTTGTCCTCTAGTTACACTAGACATGTGACTGACATCTAAGTTGTCCTCTAGTTACACTAGACATGTGACTGACATCTAGGTTGTCCTCTAGTTACACTAGACGTGACTGACATCTAGGTTGTCCTCTAGTTACACTAGACATGTGACTGACATCTAGGTTGTCCTATTGTGACATCTGACTGTAGCTGACATCTTAGTTGTCCTCAAGTGAAATTAGACATGTGGCTGACATCTAGGTTGTCCTCTGGTGACATCTGACTGTAGCTGACATCTTAGTTGTCCTCAAGTGACATCAGACATGTGGCTGACATCTAGGTTGTCCTCTAGTGACATCTGACTGTAGCTGACATCTTAGTTGTCCTCAAGTGACATCAGATATGTGGCTGACATCTAGGTTGTCCTCTAGTGACATCTGACTGTAGCTGACATCTTAGTTGTCCTCAAGTGACATCAGATATCTGACTGACATCTTAGTTGTCCTCAAGTGACATCAGACATGTGGCTGACATATAGGTTGTCCTCTGGTGACATCTGACTGTAGCTGACATCTAAGTTGTCCTCTAGTTACACTAGACATGTGACTGACATCTAGGTTGTCCTCTAGTTACACTAGACATGTGACTGACATCTAGGTTGTCTGCTAGTTACACTAGACATATGACTGACATCTAGGTTGTCCTCTAGTGATATCTGACTGTAGCTGACATCTTAGTTGTCCTCAAGTGACATCAGACATGTGGCTGACATCTAGGATGTCCTCTGGTGACATCTGACTGTAGCTGACATCTTAGTTGTCCTCAAGTGACATCAGACATGTGGCTGACATCTAGGTTGTCCTCCGGTGACATCTGACTGTAGCTGACATCCTAATTGTCCTCAAGTGACATCAGATATGTGAATGACATCTTGGTCATCTTCTTATGACATCAAACATGTGAATGACATCTTAGTTGTCCTTCGTTGACATCAGACAATGACCGACATTTTGGCTGCCCTCTGGTAACATCAGACATGACTGATATTTTAGTTGTCTCATGACATCAGACATGACTGACATTATAGTTGTTTTGTAACATCAGACATGTGACTGACATCTAGATTGTCCTTCTGGTCACATCAGACATGACTGACATTTTAGTTGTTTTGTGACATCAGACATGTGACTGACATATTATTTTGTCCTTTTTTACGAATGTTCATATTTGAAAATGTTTATTTTATTTGTTGCCACATTTTGATGACCTGATGTTGATACACATGTATTATGCCAGTATCTTCATTTTCTAGTGTTATAACCACAGATTGTTGGTGTAGTGGTATGAACTGTTAAATATTGTTGTTCTCTAATTACTGTGAAGCCAAGCTTGTCAAGTTATTTTAAATTGTTCACTTAACTTGTCCACATAGTTCTATGAATAGTTTTATAATTTTAGTTATATCGTTTTGCTATATTAGTAGTCATTAAAAATAGCACAAATCCAGCGAGTATTTTGACGTTGAATTAAATCTCAGAAAGATGTATGCTATATATCTGTTTACATGCATGCCAGTTTGTACACTCACTCAAAATATAATCCCAATAAGCAGAAAGCAGGATATCTGCAAGATATTATTGAATGTACCGGTAATGAGATTTTTCATCGAGAAATGTTGGCATCATTGTGTAGAAAGTTTCCTTTGAAAAGTTTTAGCAGCATATTTATTGATAATTGTCAGATTAAATTACATCATTTCATATTGTATTTGCTTTTAGAGTTCCTTAGTAAATGATTTAGAAAGCAGGGATAGATTTGTAAGTTCAATTTTATTTGTTGGAAGGTGGAAGATAGAGTTAGATCTGGAGAAAGTTCTGTACAGTGTCGGTATAAAGCTGTATTTTTAGATCATGTGTAATATCATTTGATGTAGTCTGAGCTAAATAATGAAGAAAAAAAAACTGTGAAATCATCATTTCAAGAGATCTGGCAAAATGCTAATCAGGATTAGAACTGCCAAAGACATTGTTTCCCATATCAAAAGTTTGGCATTGTCATCTGTACTGTTTCAAATATCACATGTTCATTTAATGATACAGGATAATAATGCTTCACACATTTAACAGTACAGAATAATAGTTAACATTTTGACAATACATAATAATGTTTCACACATACTGTACATTGTTGATACTGACCAGTCACAGATTGCCTTCATGTAATAGACTTATCTATATTATCTAAAACTGTAGTTTAGTCTGTTTGACCATTGAGTATGTTGTGATCAATCATGGACTAATATTGAATCTCGTAGTTTTATACTCATTAGTTTTGCTTGTCGGGTTGTATTAGGACATTTAATAGTGTGAAGTTAGGATTTGGTAAGGCAGTAAAAAGATGTTTATGTACAAAACGAATTGATGAATCAGTTATTTTCACAAAATACATGTGTCTGTTCAGTATTTATCTATTATTTGTAAGGAAATACATGAACTGAAATATGAAAGTTAATTTCAATAACAACGAATTAACCTGTTCTCAGTTAAAATTATTATTTCTAATCCTTTGGTCATGGAAAGGTTTACTAATGTACACACATAGCTTTATCATGGTTGTTATCCTACCACTTAAATAGGTCTTCTGTAATACTTATAGTAGCAATATGTGTCCTAGGTTCACATAAACATTTTAAAGTTTTGTTGTATTATGAAGGATCAAACTCAATATTCTTGCGTTTGGTCACTGTAGTACACCTAGCATAGTACTGCATACTGTGTCCAAGTACAAGTGCATTGCTGTGGCATCTTTCAAAAATTGTGTTGTTATAACAAATATCTCATATTCAGTGTTAAGTAATAGTATCATTTTTTTGTGATGTTAATTATTTTTTTGAGATATACAAGTAATGTATTAAGGTATGGTATTGACTGTCCATCAATCATGAACTTTTACAATGTCTGGAGATCTCTTCTCACTCACTCCATCCGATCACTTTTTAGACATAATTACCAGGACTTGATGCTTTCCAGTATTTCAGTTAGATTTTACTGTATTTTGAAGAGTTATTGATCCCCTATTCAGTTTTCAAACAGTCTCCATCAGACTTGGTAGGTTGTAAATATGACATTGTCAGCATTTAATGTTGTCTCTTTCAGTTTATCAGGTATACAACCATGATGTAAAACGGTATAAACTTTATCAGCATTTGATTGCCTAATCTTTTTTTAATTTATTTCCCCAGGTACTTCTCTCAGTGTCTCTCTATCAAACTTGTTATATCTTGAAAACATGTAGCACTGGATTCACCCTGGCAATTTGGCTCAACTATTTTGGAAGCATTATTATCTTTCATTCTTTTAAACTTTTTGAACTTGTCTGTAAATCTTCTCATTCATTTTTCGGTCAATTAAGTTCAAACTCAGGATAATTGGTTATAATAAGTCGTGTTTTCTTGATGGCATTTTGCATTGACACTCATTTTCATATTGATATCTGTATTACGTTTCAAATTATTTTTCCTTCGCATATGTTTCCTTTGCATAGTACTGGCGTATATTGTTGCATCCCAGAATAGTCTTGTATGTTTACAAGATTGCTATTCTTTATTCTGTAAAAACATCAAACTTTCTTTCTCTGAGGCTTAGATAAGGTTTAAGGTCTTGTATTATTAGGCCACTATAGAGAATCTTACCATTTTTTCTATGGAAGTCAGCATGCCTGGCTAAAACCCACACAGTTGGTCACTGTAGCCAAGGCCTTTTAATGTTCAATCGGGAAATTGAATCCTGGCCACCTTGATTACAGAACAGTGCCTTTGTATCAACCTCCCTTACTAGCCTCTAGAAGTGATGCTTGAAACAAGTTCCCAAACACACTGGAATCCTGTACCTTTATCTACCAACTAGGTGCATTAACAAATCATGTTTGTCGAAGGTTTAACCTTTATATATGTAATATTTGAATGTCCATTTGTATGTGGGGAGGTTAGTCACTGTTAACATTAGACAGAGTTCATAGCTACTTTGCTGACAGCAATACCCAAAAGGAAGAGTTTTTTTTAAGGGGGGAGGAGGGTAGTTTTCCTTTCAAACAATGTTCTTGACGAAAGGTAACACCAAAACAGGTTTTTTTTCAATATTAAGTTCAATGAAATTTACTTTATCTGATACCTGTAATGTTGAATCTGAGTCTATAAGGTTTCTTACTTTGACTTCAGTAGACAGATGAGTGGCGACAGAATGACACGTCAGAAAC